TAAGACTTTATGCCCCCTCCACTACGACAGGGGCATAAAAAATCTTAATCTACCTGCAATATTACTTAAAGATTGTGTAGGAGTAAAAATAAGTAAGTATTTATAATTGTGGTAATCACAATATTTTGACAAAGTGTGTAAAAATATCAAGCTTTCTATAATTAAAGTGTAGACTGGCAAGCAAAGTGGTTTGATAAATGCCTTGAAAGATATGAATGTCCTTGTATGATTATGTCACCCTATGATGTTATTTTTTTATGTTATCTAACTCTCCTTCAACTCAGTAGCAATAACAACTCGCAGCACCAACCGAAAAATATTAGCTTAATGTACAAACACACTGTATGACTACTTCTATAATTTATCTGATACAAAATCCTGTTTTCTCTTGATGAGGAGAAATGAGATTTATAAGAATGTGACATCAAACAACAAATTATGTACAAAAACCTAATAAACTTCATTAACTCAAGTTCTCTTTGTGTGAGACCCTTATCATCCTTACAATCTATCTGAAACCAAGTGTTGCATAAGTCAACAACCAAACTTTATAACACTTTCTACAACTTGCTGAACCAAAACAAACCTATAGGGCATACATAACATATATACCAGTTGGGTCATGACTTTTTGTCATATCATCCTAAGGCAAGATGCAAATATTTCATAATAAACCACAACAAAGACAGTATATACATCAATAACACAAATACAGCCATACAATTCCCCAAATCACCATGCACTAACTGTTTACCAATAAATTGAATTGGTCAGTATATCTGATTAGATCTAACTGGAATATCTAAGAATGTCCTAAATGTCATCCTGTTTCACAAAATTCACCTTCCGAGGGTCTGTATAATCTGGTTACTAAGAACAAGCAATACCCCTACACCTAAGTTCTACCTGTCCTGTTACATTCCATGGCCAACATACATGGCATACACAGACTTAGGATGGCATAGGTTTTATAACTAGCAATCATTCATTAGCAATAGATGGGTTATGTCTATCACCTGTGTTTTACATTAAGATACAATTAACAACAAAAGCTTCTGCTTATCCACTTGATTACTACAAAGGATGTATCAACAGTTGCCTAGATGCATCAGTTCAACTGAAAAATACAAGCCTATGTTGTTCCTATTCAAAACAGCATCATTGAGTCCCAATATAAACTATCTCCTATTCTTAGCATAAGGGAATAGGACCCCAGTTGACTGGATACCAATCCAGAACCCTCAAAAGAAGTCCCTTAATCTATCATCTTTTGAATGTTATTTTGTATGGAGAGGAAAATATGTAAAGGAGTTGAAATATGTAGTATTTGCCAAGGGTATTTATCCAACTTTCAACTTCCATGAAATTTTGTGTGGATTTGAAATTCATATGGTGGAAGATTATCTGAGTAAATGGTCCAAATATAATTTCTGTATTCTCTGTAATTCATATTTCAACACCTCTTTCTGTAATTTAAAACATGAACATCTCTTTCCTGTAATGCGACATCAAAGTTGATATTAAATGTTTGAAAGTCTGGTTTGTTCAGTGGTAGTTTACTTTCCTTGTCTTGGACTCCTTTTCACTGCCAAATATGTCACATTGTAATTTTTTCTAGCCCCTACCTCTTAATCCTGTTTAGAGGAACATATATAGTGGAATTGTAATACAGGTACTGCAGCAGTCACAGATGATGCAAACATTATACACATGTTCCTTCATTTGACCCTTAAGACTGGGAAGGTTACAGGGTAACTGGATTATGGGCAATAAGGTTCATGATGATGACTGAAAGGTTAAAGTTATAACATGAGAAGCTTTTTTGTGGTGGAAATGTATTAATACTATTATGTACCAAAAGAAACCAATTCTGATGATTCTACAAATAAGCATGGGCAATGTTAATATAAATTACCAACAAGGTTCACAATGGTTGGCCAACAAGGTGTTCAAATCAAAGATCATTAACCATTTTGAGGTCAAAGTGCCAATAGTCAGATAGACAAGGTTTTCTCTAAAGCACCTATAGCCTATATATATAGGCTATAGGTTGTTGGTCTGAATCATAATCTTTCATCTTCTGTATTGAATTTAGTCACATCAATTGGGAAGAGATTAGAGGAGGGACCTTATCACTTTCCTATTGTTTAAATAAATCAACAAACACAAAAAAGCAATCATTTCCTTAAAAAATTTAATAAATCATGTGCATTTTATGTTCCATTAGCAGGTTAGGGTATCAATTTGAAGAGTCTCTCGTATTAGTATTAAAAATCCTACTAGTCTTAAGTATTATATTATATGAAAATGTAATTGAAGGATTGTACTTATGTCTCATTTTACTGTATATGTACAACCAAAACCATATGTTCTTGCAAATATTGAGAAGTGTCCTTGAAGTGTTCCTGTGTATACTAATTTGTCACAAGTTGTGAGCTTGCACATTAAAGATTGAATTTAACACATCAGACTCAACTAAGCAATATCTTCAAATGTTTCATTAACCTGTTATCATTTTGAATATGAATATAATATTTGACGCTGGACATTAAGCAGTCCTCAGTCACTTAGTCGGGTTATAAAATTATTTGGATTATTGAAAACAATCAATGATCAGTAATTGTCAGCATCAAGTCTTCAACAATAGACAGCTTTCTCAATTTATTGGAAAAAACATGAGTTATTATAAAGGTAAGGATTCAATGGAATATACAGGATAATTATAATTCATCATCAGCAAACACTTTGTTAATATAAATATATTAAATTGCCCATAATTGTATTAAATATTAAATTTAAAACCAATATTGCTAGTTATTTAAGGTATGTATTGATTAGCCAATTTATAAATCAGAGTGTCTGATATTGGCTTTACTGACAAATACAGTAATTCTCTTATCATTATTTTGTATTCTCCTATTTATACATTTATGTTATATCAAAGAGTGGCAGTCAGAGCTAAATTTAGATAGGTACATACATGTACTTATCTTAGTCTGAAATAACATGTTAACATTTTTTTTTTAAGCTTTAGTCCTTGACATATATATCAATTTATCAAGTTTCTTTTAGCTTTAGTCATTGACATATTTATCCATTTATCAAAAGATAATATTAGATTTACATAATTTGACATCACAAGATCAACTGCTAAACATCCTTTTATCCCTGCTTAAGAAAGACCGTAGAATCACCATGAGACATTGATCTTTTGCCTTCAACCTGTATATTTCATCCTATTCTCATTGGAAACCATTGAACAAAAGTTGGAAAAAGATCAGACACAAGAGGTATTCTCTTACATTAAATGCTTGCAAGAATTTCAATACTGCTAGCAGGTGACCTTGAACTTAAACCTACATAAATGACCACACAATGGAATACCATAATCAGCCTTGTCAAGTCTGCACTGGTACATTGTCAGCATCCCCTTTTTGCCACGAGAATTCAGGGAAAAAAACTTTTTGTAACTGCTTGAAAACTTTTTGTAACTGCTTGAAAACATCTAATGAAACTCCGGTAATTTCAAATCATGTTTGATCGTTTGCTGTATTTTCATGGAAAAACCTGCTTTCCATCATAAAGTAGAAGTTGAAAGTTCTTGTAAATGATTCTAGAACACTCCTAGAACTGTTAAAATAAGTCAAAATCAGGAATAAACAATTGGGATGATGTGTTTCATATTAACCAGAAGTTTATATAGCATGCGTACATTGAAAATAATTATGGTGAGAGTGTGTGGAAATCTGTACTTCATAGTTACTACTAGAATAAGTTTTTGAAACTAAAACAGTTCTGTTCTTAAGTTAAATATTATTAAACATATCCATAACATTAATGTTTGAAAGATCTTCAGCTAAAACAAAACGCATATGTCAGTATGAAACACCAACACGGAACCAATAACTGATTACGTTTTGTAGTTTATACATGTTATACATTGCATAAGCTGGTTCCCAACTGATTTATATTCTTTTTTCATTCTGGTAAATACAAGCAGATTCCAGTTTATGTTATACAATGCTATGAAAAGAAATTTGCAATGAAGCATTTAATATTGATATTTATCAGTTAATATTGGATTTTGAATTAAAATTGCATATTAATATATGGATTAAGTAAATTATTAGTTTTGAAAATTATAAGGGCACCCTCTACATTTTCAATAACCAAAATGGTGGAACATAAACAAACCTGGAAAAATCAAGTTTTTCTCTTATTTCTTGTATATCGTACTCTATAATCTGCACCTCTGCCTGGCAATATTAATTTTGGAGAAAAAACTGCGGACTATACAAGCCTCAATACGGTATGTGTTCCTCCAATTCCATTTTGAAGTCACTGTTTAATGAGTGTAAGGCCACACTTAAAAATATTTTGGTTTGCCCAAACCCTACCCAAAGATAGAGACAGTGGGTAGGTAGGTAGGCATTTTCTTTTTTTTTTCGGTAAAGAGTAATTGAAGTGTCAGATGATTTTTAGTCTTCATGCCTATTTGATTAAAAAAAAAACTTGTTCACATCAAGACAATAAAAGATTTTGAGTAGGCAGCTAATATATGGGTAGGTAGGGTTAGGGCAAACAAACATATTCTTTTTTATGGCCTAATAACCTCTGAAGTGTATACATGTACTAGCCTTTTTAATAGTACTATCTGGAGACCTCTTGCCTCTGGTTTGATAAATATATTTTGATTTCATCCTCTTCTCAGTATAGTATTATATACATGTAAGGTCACAGCAAGCATTTATCGATACACTACCTTGTAGGACTTTTGAATTGTGAATTTATCACTATTACATTAAATAGAGTCCAAGCTCTCCATAATGATGGATAAAGATTGGCTGAGCATAAAGATGCGTACCAGTGTGTTACTGATGGTACAAATGTAATACTGATAGTCATATCCATAGGCATTATTAAATACCTTACACACCAAGTAAGGGAATGTAGTATATGTACACCAAGCCCACATGAACTGCAAATACAAGTATACTTACTGTGCCATTCTCATACCAAAGCATGGCATGATTTCTGGATAAAACTTTGCAATCAAAAATGCCATTGTTGTTAGCTGGTCTGGCTCTGGCTACAGATCTGCCAATCTTGACTGGTTCATGAAGCGAGATATGCCGCTCACGAAATGGATGTGAATTTGGCTGACAGGACAAAATAGCCACTGCAGACATGGCTGACTTATGCTAACCTCTTCCTTTATCCTAAAATACAATAATATAGAGGACCTGAACTGAGAAAAGTTATTTTTTTTAAATACATGTAGTTGTCCATCTACGATAGCAAAGGGTTACAATCCGGTCCCCTCCTTTTTCCCCTTGGCAGATAAATTCTTGTTTTTATAAAGACAGAATTTGTGTATACACTATACAGCAATGTGCCAACTAGTAACAGACAGAAGTAATGCCCACTCCCACTACATCATTCTTGACCAATGACAGCATTATACTTTTCATTCATAATTTGAAATTTAGTTAATTTTTTAGACAAGTTATATTATATTGTACATCATGAACATGTGTATGATTCAGTGGATAGCCAAATTTAATATACAGTTTAATAACAACACTCAACAGTCAACACATTTGGTGTTGACAAAAAAGGATTATTCACTTCCCTAAGTTCCCAGAATAAAAATATTTCTTGACAGTTGTAACATCACATCTTTCTATATCATTCATGTAATAACTATACACGAATACACCAGGAACGCGTTTTTTAGTCTTTAAACTGAAAATATTTATTATTGAAATTATTCTCAATACTACAATAGGGAAGCACCTTACCATAACAATTCTTGTAAAGGTTAATTTTACCAGTTTAAGACAACAGTGACAGATTATCATGTTGCTATTAAATATTTTTCCACGTATGTTCATATTTTTAATATTAAAAATGTCTTTAATCAACTAAAACATCTCAAATTAAGCTGATATCTTACCATTCATTTTCTTCTTTCCTTTCAGGAGACAGCCATCTTAAAATTTTACTGTGATTTAATCTCCAAAGAATATTATTGTTTTCATCCGTGTGATATTAAGTATGTAATGCTAGGTTATAAAATCAATAATTAAAGTTAGTCTGTTGGTAATGTTTTTTTAGGAAACAGAAGAACTGAAAATAATTAATTTTTGATTCGAGACTAACAACAATAAAGGTGAAGGACACCTGCCAAAAATGGCAGGAACGAAAGAAGAACCTGTCTTCCTTAGAGAAAAGTCGCCAGATGATGGCCCACAGTCACCTACAATGTTACCATGGGACAGATTTTCAAATTGGTTATATTGCGCTTGTGTTGTTACATTTGATCTGGAATTGGGTCAGGCCATGGAGGTATGAACACTTGGAAATTGTCGTTGAACTTTTCGTTTTATAAACAGCAGATAAAAAATAAACGTTTGATACTGATTTCAGTGAACTTGACGCATGGGTAGGATGTGTGTGTATGCTCTGTATAAGCCTCCTTTCTCAGTATCACCATGGAGTAAAGGCATGAAAGGAGGAACATTCAACTCATTGTATTGGCACAAAATAGACTACTTCCGAATGTGTGCACTTTCCCGTAAATTTCCTATGACACAATGCTTATGTTATTAAGTCACAGTAAGAACCGATTGTTTGATGACTTCGTTTACGCTGATTGACCTCAGGTTAACCGGTTAAACTTATTCATTAAAAAACAACTTGAGATTGTTGTATAATGTTGGTATCGAGTCTGTTTTGCATATAACATGTTCACCAAGACTCAAGAGTCTGTTCCCCCTTAGTATTATTTCAAGTATGTCATTAGTATTAACTGCTATTTAGTTGCAAGATTCATGTATTTATATAATTCTGGTATATCAAAATGTAAATTTGTTGGGGGAAAGAAAATTGTATTTATAAGAATGAAGTGATATGATTAATTGCTAATCTTCAATCTTCAAATAGTAATGCCTGTACATGTTGATACACATGTTTATCCTTAATTTGTACATTTTTGTCCCGAGCACAAAACGCTGCAGGGGACATAGAAATATGGGGCGTCTGTCTGTCTGTCCGTCATCAGCACATTAGGCAATAACTTAAAAAAGCTTTTACCAATTTTCATTAAACTTCGGTGCATTGTTTATATCTATCGATGTAAGCTCTCTTTCGATTTTTGTAAACTTTAGATGTTATGTTTCCAAGTTATGGGATTTTATTCATAAAAAAATTGGGGATTTTTCAGTTTTTGGACCATAACTCAAAAATGCTTTGAGCAGTTTTCCTGAAACTTTGGTAAATTGTTTATCTATAAGTTCCCTTTCAATTTTTACAAATTTCTGATTTTACATTTTGTAGTATTTGGACTTTATTCATATAAAAGGGGGGATTTTCCAGTTTTCGGACAATAAATCAAAAATACTTTGAGCAGTTTTCATGAAACTTTGGTGACTTGTTTTTATACGACAGAAAAAAATAAAATTTTTGGTCGTATATTGGTATCATGTCGTTGACGTGTTCAGCGTCGTCCGAAGACAGATGGTTTCTGGATAATAACTTTAGTATAAGTAAAAAGAAATCAATAAATTTTTAACACAAGGTTTATAACCCCTAAAGGAAGGTTGGGATTGATTTTGGGGGTTATGGTACCAACAGTTAAGGAATTAGGGGCTTAAAAAGGGGCCCAAATAAGCATTTTTCTAGTTTCCAGACAATAACTTGTGTTAAAGTGTATGAATATCTCTGAAATTAAACCACAAGTTTCCATACTACAAAGGGATGGTTAGGATTGACATTGGGGGTTATGGCTCAAACCATTTAGGAATTAGGGGCAAAAAAGGGGAAAAACAAGGGTTTATCTGGTTAAAGGACAATTGAGACAAATTAAAAGCAGTGTAAGGGAAGTAATCCAAATCAAAATCAAAATCAATTTAAATAACAGTGTTTGATTACCTCCCTTAAACTGCTTGTAAATTATGTATTAAGAAATGATGATTGTCTGAGATACTGACCATTATTTGAGGGAAAGAATTATTTTTTTGAATAAAGGAAAGGGGGAGGTGAAAAAAATTGGAGGGGGACAATTTTTCTCATTTCAGATTTCAGAAATTAAAAGAAAATTTCTTCAAATATTTTTTTGGGGGGTTAATATTCAACAGCATAGTGTATTGCACAAACGCAAAAAAACTGGGTAAAATTTATTTGTTTTTTTTGGGGGGGGGGGGGGGGTCAATTCACATAGTGTATTGCACAAAAGCAAAAAATTGAATATAAATTCAAATCATATAAGCAATTCTAAGTTCTTTGACTACAATTATTCTGTGTCAGAAACCTATTATGTGTCAAATATTTAATTACAATCCAAATTCAAACCTGTATCAAGCGTGAATATTGTGTCCATTTTTGCCCCAACTGTTCAGGGTTGGACCTCTGGGGTCGTATCCAGCTGCGCTCAGCGAAGGATTTTATTATACGACCCCAAAAATTTTGTGGTAGTATATTGGTATGACGTTGTCGTCGTCGTCGATATCCGAAGACATTTGGTTTTCGCACTATAACTTTAATATAAGTTAATAGAAATCTATGAAATTTAAATTTAAACACAAGGTTTATGACCACAAAAGGAAGGTTGGGATTGATTTTGGGAGTTTTGGTCCCAACAGTTTAAGAATTAGGGGCCAAAAAAGGGCCCAATAAGCATTTTTCTTGGTTTTCGCACAATAACTCTAGTATAAGTAAATAGAAATCTATGAAATTTTAACACAATGTTTATGACCACAAAAGGAAGGTTGGGATTGATTTTGGGAGTTTTGGTCCCAACAGTTTAGGAATTAGGGGCTAAAAAAGGGCCCAAATAAGCATTTTTCTTGGTTTTTGCACAATAACTTTAGTATAAGTAAATAGAAATCTATGAAATTTAAACAAAAGGTTTATGACCACAAAAGGAAGGTTGGGATTGATTTTGGGAGTTTTGGTCCCAACAATTTAGGAATTAGGGGCCAATTAAATTTTGTTTGATTTCATCAAAAATTGAACTATTGGGGTTCAATTAAATTTTGTTTGATTTCATCAAAAATTGAACTATTGGGGTTCTTTGATATGCCGAATCTAACCGTGTATTTAGATTCTTAATTTTTGGTCCCATTTTCAAATTGGTCTACATTAAGATCCAAAGGGTCCAAAATTAAACTTAGTTTGATTTTAACAAAAATTGAATTCTTGGGGTTTTTTGATATGCTGAATCTATACATGTACTTAGTTTTTTTATTATGGGCCCAGTTTTCAAGTTGGTCCAAAGCGGGGTCTAAAATTTAACTTTGTTTGATTTCAACAAAATTTGAATATATGGGGTTCTTCGATATGCTGAATCTAACCATGTATTTAGATTTTTGATATGTGGGCCCGGTTATCAAATTGGTCCACATTGAGGTTTAAAGGGTCCAAAATTGAACTTTATTTGATTTCATCAAAAAATGCATTCTTGGGGTTCTTTGATATGCTGAATATAACCATGTATTTAGATTTTGGATATTGGAATACCACAAAGGGATGGTAAGAAATGTCTTTGGGAGTTATGGCTCAAACTGTTAAGGAATAAGGTGCAAAAAAGGGGGGAAAAGGGTTTCCAGGTTAATGGACAATTATAATTACTTAAGTACAAAACATAATTTAAAAGGCAGTGTAAGGTTGGTAATTGAAACTCATTTGAATATTGATCTCACCTAAACTGCTTTTAAATAATGTATATTGGAAATTTGCCAAAAACTTTATATTAATAAATTCCATTGGAAAGTTGCCAATAACTTTAGTTTAATGAACTTCATTGGAAATTTGCCGATATAAAATGTTGCTGATGAAGCTTTTTTGTTTATCTCACCTAAACTGCTTTTAAATTATGTATAATGGAAATTTGCCTAAAACTTTATTATTAATAAATTCCATTGGAAATTTGCCAATAACTTTAGTTTAATAAACTTCATTGGAAATTTGCCAATATAAAATGTTGCTGATGAAGCTTTTTTGTTTCTCTCACCTAAACTGCTTTTAAATTATGTATATTGGAACATTGCCAAAAACTTTATTATTAATAAATTCCATTGGAAATTTGCCAATAACTTTAGTTTAATGAACTTCATTGGAAATTTGCCAATATAAAATGTTGCTGATGAAGCTTTTTTGTTTATCTCACCTAAACTGCTTTTAAATTATGTATATTGGAAATTTGCCAAAAACTTATTAATAAATTCCATTGGAAAGTTGCCAATAACTTTAGTTTGATGAACTTCATTGGAAATTTGCCAATATAAAATGTTGCTGATGAAGCTTTTTTGTTTATCTCACCTAAACTGCTTTTAAATTATGTATATTGGAAATTTGCCAAAAACTTTATTATTAATAAATTCCATTGGAAAGTTGCCAATAACTTTAGTTTAATAAACTTCATTGGAAATTTGCTAATAAAAATGTTGCTGATGAGGCTTTTTTGTTTAAATTCTTGGGGTTCTTTGATATGCTGAATCTAAACATCATAAAATAAAAAGTTTTGAAAAAAAAAATGATGTTCGGTGTTATGTAACGTCTTGACGTCTTGAAACAGAAATATTTCAAAGTCTTTTCAAGTACGACTTTCGATTATTGACACTGTTTCATTTCCGTTGATCAATCATCAGAACGCAGACGATTCAAGAGTAAGAATAGAAACTGTCTGATTTATCATTCCCAGCTACTTTATATTTGCTAGATAAAATGAATTGTAATAGCATAATATTAAGTACTTGGACGAGAAATCAGAAATTACATCTGACAATTAATGTTGACAAAAAATCTATAGACGTGAATGCGAAAAGACAAGTTTAGATATGAAATTCTGTATCTTCTTCACGGTAAGTTTCTAAGTTTACTCTAATTAAAAGAATTAAAATCATCTAATAAAAGTGTTACGAACTGGCTGTTTCTGTATTGGCCCTGTTATAGATTCTCGGTCAGCTGTATTGGCCCTCGACTCTTCAAAACAGCCAGTTCATAACACTATAGTATTGCCCAATAGCACAGTATTGCACATTAGCACAGTATTGCACAATAGCACAGTATTGCACAATAGCACAGTATTGCGCAATAGCAAGAAATCTTCAATTGCACAGTATTGAGCAATAGCACAGTATTGCGCAATAGCAAGAAATCTTCAATTGCACAGTATTGCGCAATAACAAGAAATCTTCAATTGCACAGTATTACACAATAGCAGGAAATCTTCAATTGCACAGTATTGAGCAATAGCACAGTATTGCGCAATAGCAAGAAATCTTCAATTGCACAGTATTGCGCAATAACAAGAAATCTTCAATTGCACAGTATTACACAATAGCAGGAAATCTTCAATTGCACAGTATTGTGCAATCTTGTGTTGATCAAATATTGTAAGTCCTGAAATATCCTAGAAATTCATGAAACAAATTTAAAGTCTTGGAAATTCCTGAAATATCAGGACAACAGATTTCAGGACTTCATTGGACTTCCTGGGACACTTGAAATATCAGGATTTACAAAATGACCAGTGCTGGGATTTTTAAGGATATCCCAGGACTTCTGGGATATCCTGATAGAAAAGATTTTTATAGGACAGCATTTCGCAGGGGTAACCTTGTATTACTTTTTATACGACCGCAAAAATTAAAAATTTTTTGGTCGTATATTGGTATGACGTTGGCGTCGTCGTCTTTGTCGTCCGGCGTCGTCCGAAGACACATTGGTTTTCGCACTCTAACTTTAGTTTAAGTGAATGGATCTCCATGAAATTTTACCATAAGGTTCAATACCACGAAAGGAAGGTTGTGATTGATTTTGGGGGTTATGGTACCAACAGTTAAGGAATTAGGGTCCAAAAAGGGGCCAAAAATAAGCATTTTGTAACTTTCAGACAATAACTTGTGTGTAAGTGTATGGATCTCTCTGACATTGTACCACAAGGTTCCATATCACAAAGGGAAGGCTGTAATTGATTTTGGGGGTAATTGCCTCAAAATTTTAGGAATTAGGGGCCAAAAAAGGGGCAAAAAACAAGCATTTTTCTAGTTTCATGACAGTAACTTGTGTGTAAGTGTTTGGATATTTCTGAAATTGTACTACAAGGTTTCATATCACAAAGGGAAAGCTGGAATTGAGTTCGGGGGTAATTGCCTGAAACGTTTAGGAATTGGGGGCCAAAAAGGGGCCAAAAATAAGCATTTTTCTAGTTTCAAGACAATAACTTGTGTTCAAGTGTATGGATCTCTCTGAAATTGTACTGCAATGTACCATACCACAAAGGGAAGGCTGGGATTGAGTTTGGGGGTGATGAATCATAAGGGGGTTCAAAAAATTTGGGGGGGGATTCTTTTTTTTTCTTTTTTTTCCTTTTTTTTTTCTTTTAAAATTTTCCATTTTAAGTTGGTTATTTCTGATTTATATTTAAAAGCAAATAATAATGATATGGTAGGAGATACACACCAAACAGGATGTGTAAATTTTTATATAATAAGTATTGTGCAATAGCAATAAATTTCCAATTGCACAGTATTGCACAATAGCAAGAAATCTTCAATTGCACAGTATTGCGCAATAGCAAGAAATCTTCAATTGCACAGTATTGCTCAATAGCAAGAAATATCCAATAGCACAATATTGCGCAATAGCAAGAAATTGTCAATTGTACAGTATTGCGCAATAGCAAGAAATATTCAATTGCACAGTATTGTGCAAAAGAAGATACTTCTTATAAATTGCTTATTTCTTGATCAATTTCAATGGGGTTTTATTCTTGAATTCAGTTTTTTGTTATTATCTTAGATATCATTATAATATCTAATATCTAATACTATTAATTATGATTTTAACCTTATTTTACATGATTTCCGAAGCATCAGTAAATACAGGTGAGCGACACAGGCTCTTGAGAGCCTCTAGTTTGTAATGTTAAATTCTCTCTTATTATAAGTAATAGGATAACTATATTTGGTATGTGCGTACCTTGCAAGGTCCTCATGCCCGTCAGACAATTTTCACTTGACCTCGACCTCATTTCATGGATCAGTGAACAAGGTTAAGTTTTGGTGGTCAAGTCCATATCTCAGATACTATAAGCAATAGGTCTAGTATATTCGGTGTATGGAAGGACTGTAAGGTGTACATGTCCAACTGGCAGGTGTCATCTGACCTTGACCTCATTTTCATGGTTCAGTGGTTATAGTTAAGTTTTGTGTTTTGGTCTGTTTTTCTTATACTGTATGCAATAGGTCTACTATATTTGTGTATGGAATGATTGTAAGATGTACATGTCTAGCTGGCAGGTGTCATCTGACCTTGACCTCATTTTCATGGTTCAGTGGTCAAAGTAAAGTTTTTGAGTTTTGGTCTTTTTTTCTAATACTGTATTCAATAGTTCAACTATATTTGGTGTATGGAAATATTTTATGATCTATATGTCAGTCACGCAGGTTTTATTTGACCTTGACCTCATTTTCATGGTTCAGTGGTTATAGTTAAGTTTTTGTGTTTTGGTCTGTTTTTCTTAAACTATAAGCAATAGGTCAACTATATTTGTTGTATGGAAGAATTGTTAGCTGTACATGCCTGCCTAGGCATGGTTCATCTGACCTTGACCTCATTTTCATGGTTCATTGGTCAATGTTTAGTTTACTTGGTAAATGTTAAGTTTATGTGACAGTTGTAATAAAGCTTTATATTTAGGACTATCAACATAATATCAATGATTAGTAAAGAAGGCGAGACATTTCAGCGTGTGCACTCTTGTTATATTGAACATCGAATATAATTATTGACAACTATTTAGTTGGTAAAGATTCAGATGATGAAAAACATTTCTTTTTAAAATGGAAACTTTATAATAAATGAAGAAAGTGTCGTTTACCGTACGGCCTCCAATAATGAGAAAACCCCATACCGTATATTTGGCTATAAAAGTTCTCAGCGTGAAAATGTGGAACAATTTGAACGAGAAAACTAACTTATTTATAACAAAATAATTTCCGTAGAAAAAAAATGACAAACATGAATCAACGACAACAACTGATCTATATGCTCCTGATTTAGGACAGGCACATTCAAAATGTGTCGGTGGTATATGTTTGTGAGCGCCCTTATGGTACGCCCTTGTGTACCCTCTTTCCCTCCCAACGTGTGACAGTGGTCTTACAGTAGTACATAAGAACTATAAAAACCAGTCTAGCGCAAAAGATCGGTACGAAGTAGAGAAACCACTAACGTTAAAACAATAGAGACAACGCACAAATACTGTTAGCTAAAACAAAGCCAAGTACAGCTAATACACAACTCATGTTCTCGAAGACTGAAGTATGTTACATGTAAACATTTCCCTGCTCAGTCCGATTGAAAATCTAACATTTATTCAAATGACCCCTTTTAGAAAAAATATTTTGAAAAAGAACATTATGTGTTGCGAATATTTTCCTGGACTCAAGCTTTTTGCTGGTAGCAATAAACAAATTGATTGCTAAATGATATTTGGAAGAGAGGGGTGGAAATAAGTGAATTTGAATTTACTTTGTGTAATTCCTTAAATTTGAAGTTAGATTTATAAGGGTCTGGATGGAATAGCATACTTTAGAAGTGTAGTATAACTATATTAATTATTTCATATAAAGCCAAAATATATATATATAGTTAATACCAGCACTATGACAGTTAAACTTAAAAGTGGAAACCAGTTTGGAACCTGCTGCAAAGGCAGAGACACAATCCAACAAGGTCCTGTAACTTGCCTCAGAATAAAATTGAAAATAAGCAAATTGGCATAATGCTACATGTTCATGGTTATGTGTTTTTTTTATATCTTTCTAAAGATTTTTTTTATTTATTTCAGCTTATTTATCCAAGTCATGTCAAGTTAACAGATGCTGAGGTAAGTCAAGAACAAAATATCCCCTCAAATATAAATAAGATAGAAAAACAGTTATATTAACAAATGTATAGCCTCAAATTTCTTATGTTGTTATGTTAGAATTTTGAAAATTACATATTTCTTTATCGGAGACCATAGGCAACAATTGGTTGAGACATTTTATCACTCATCTGTGGAAATAACAGAAGCAAACCAGAAATGGCAGAAATTTTCTCCACTGAGTGATAAACATGATCTTGCTATCATTTATTTAACCACAATAAGGATGAGTCCTGGATGAAGCTATGTTCACCATTAAATCTACTAACAGGTACACTGAAATAAACTTTCCAATACTTCCCATGTACATGTATATGTCTGACACTATGCATAACAGAACTCTTGCTTACATCCAATTCATTTGAACTCTGGTGAATAGTTGTCTCATTGGCAATCATACCACATCTCCTTATTGTTATATCTATATTTTTTTTGGTTATATCTTTTGATTTGTTATACTTAATTATATATGTATGTCACTAGTTTTGTCTATTTGCTTGTTTGGAAGTGCACTGATATAGTTAAGATTGTTATCTGGGATGATCAACAACAAAGACAGAGGTGAATTTTTTAAAATTTGAACCTTCTCTTTCATGTCAATCTTAATTGACCTAACTGTTAACTTAGAAAAATTATTGTAACAGCTCTGGCTATATCAAACCCTTTTTGATGAAACATTTTTATTTTAGTGTTAAACAAGTGTTCAGTTTACACAGGTTTAATTTCTAAATGCAATGGTGCTATCTGAATAGATTTTGTAATATAGAATGTATTACAAATTAGGTCCTATATGGAAAAAGTGTTATTTGAAGAAAACGCTGGATGTAAAGAACGTTCACTGCTTGTTTTGATACATAAATTCAACTGAGATAGGTTTTGTTTTACACAGGGTCTGGTTTAGTCAGTTTTTACTGTATTATATAAATCACTTCAAAGAGTATCCTATTTACTTCCTGTAGTGATATACAATTTCTGACTAAAAACAATTTGGTAGATAAAGTGTGAAAAATAATTAAGCAATGCACATAACAAGTACATACAAACAGCAAAAAACAAAACGGAAAGCTCAAGATAGAGGTGACACCAAGCCAAAGAAAAATACAAAAAATCCAATGACATTGAATATTTACGCTAAGGCAGGACACCATTACATTTGTTGAATCAAACATGCAATGACATAACATGTATTTGAATAATAAAATTATTTGCTATTGTGATACTCCTCAACCTTAAAAGTGAAGAAAAATTGCAGGGTAAAATTTTATTGACATAATTTTTTTTATATTATTTAGATTTACGACATTTTATTTTTTCAGAAAGCCAACATCTGTTACCTGTCTTTTCCAGATTCTAATTCAGGTATAGTGTATGAGCATTTTGTTTAAGATAAAAATTAGGGGTTAAAAAATTTCCCTTCCAAATTTTCTCCTTCATTTTTTTGTGAGGGAAATGTTGATTTCTGTTCGTATGTTATCAATTATGCCATCAGATTGCACACTTCGTCAATTTTGTGCAAAAAAATGTTAAAATTGAGACTTTCAATTTTGACTTCTTTCCTCAAAATTTTTGAACAGTGTAGCTGTCTGACCGTCATAACTGTAGTACTTTTGAGAACACAAATAATTGAAGATTAAGAAAACTCGAAACTTGAAAAATAATCACGATTTTGTTTTACTTTATTTTTAGTCAGAAGTTTAACTTTTTTTTAACAGTATCCTGTAAATTATAAGTAAAAATATCTCTTCATTCATCGTGAGACTTCGACAATTTTATCATTTGTATCGGAACTACTTTGCCAAGTTGAACCAAACTTTTTAGCTAATGTGAATTCACAGTTATTTAGTCATTTGTAACTATTGGCGAAAATTGTGAAGAAAGACACATATTAAGTTTTCTAATTAGGTCTAATAACAAGTACTTTTGATAATCTTTGATTTTTTTTGTATATAGCCTACATCTATGTATCTCATTTTGGTGCAGTGGTTTTATTTAGTGGATACCAATAATATGTATTCAGAATGAAACATAAAAAAGTATCCAATTTTATCATTTTACAAATATAGGTAAGGAAGAGCTAATCTTTAGGTTTTTTTTTAAGTGTTTTTTTTTTTAAATATTTAATTTTGGAAAAAGAATCATCAAAATTCAGCCTTTATAGGGCAAAGAAATCTGCTTTTCATAATTGTTCAGACAGTCTCACTGCAGTATACATGTCATACATTACTAGTTTGAAGACAACCATTGATCACATCAAGAAATCTGTTACATGTAGATAATACGTCAGATAGTTTCGATTGGTGGCTAAACAATTAAACTTCATCGACTAAATTTCATGATCATTTTATTTATACTATGAGATTCTACACAAAGTTGATGTCATTCTCATATAAGTTTCAGAAATAAATTTTGCTGTTTCTGTTTCAGGTTGTATGGGAGATACCCAGTTTAATTTTAGAATACGTCAGTCTCCTGGCAGAAAACCAGGCAACAAATCGTTTATTTCAATCAACAAAGAATTGCCAGTTTCTATACAGGTACATTGAAATTATAAAGAAAAAATTTATGTTATAGTTAGATATAGAGAAAAGAAACGCTCATTTAATAATTCAACAATGATTTTGGTCTTAAAAGAGCAAGTTTAGAGTTTCCATATTGTAAAATTCTCAAAATAATAAGTAATGTTACAATACGAGTTGAAATAGTCTCTTAGTCTTTTTCACATAAAAAGAAACAATAGAAGACATTGTTATTATTTAGTAATGGTATTTCATGAGATTTTCTACATCCAGTATTCTTAAGACTTTCTTTTCATATTAAATATTTCATATGACTTAAAAATAAAAAAAAAATCATTAAGATATTGATAGTACAATGTATTTATTTTCTTAAAGTATAATTTTGTGATTTTTATTCTAATGTTATATTTAATAATAAAAAAAAGAATTGACATAAGACAAAAGTGTTTAAGTGTTCTTTTAGAAATATGCATCTGTATATGTTTTTATATTTCTGTAAGTAAAACTGAAATAAATTTCATTTATATTAAAGTGTCTGCATTATATTCTTTAATACTTGTTTTTTACTTTCTTTGTAGGGTGACAATGCTCATTACTGTGGGTTTGTGTACTTCCGTCAGACTAAAGACAAGTCAATTAGAAGAGGATATTTTCAGAAGGTGACAAAAAATACTGTCATTCATTTTCTTAATTAGCAAAATTTATGGACACAATTACACTTCCCATGGTGTTTGGTGCTTCGTCTTTCTGAATGCCTATTTTAGAAGCCATAAATATAAAAATAAGAAGATGTGGTATGATTGCCAATGAAACAACTCTCCATTAGAGACCAAATGACATAGAAGGTTAGCAACTATAAGTCACCATCAGGGCTTCCAAAAAATATTTGTGCCAGCCGGACATTTTTTGTCTTATCCCGATTTTGATCCCTTAAGACTACGTAACAAAAGGCAATCATGCTAATAAGTTGGGCATCATATAAACAATGAATGATTGACATAAAAACGATATTAAACTTGACTTTTGATACAAATTCGATGTACTGACGTAAACTGTTAAATTGACAGTGCATCATTCGAAGTGTGCAACATTAGCGTACTAATATCTGCCTTAGAATCTTTATTTGTGCAAAATTATGTTGTCAAAATCTTTACTTTCGTTTTTGAAGGTACATTTTCTTATACTGGATGTTGACTTAACAATGGTAAAACACGGACCATAGAAAAATCTGTGTACGTTTACAAAGCACAATAGAGTTTAAGTAACTCTTTCCAACGTATTTCTTCAAGAAAATACTTGAAATGAACGTTAGATAAAGATATCAATGATAATTTTAGCATTTATGAAGAATTCGGATGCATAATTAAATCTCACAACTGCACACATGCGCATGTGTGTACTTTGTCTAAACATTGTTGTCCTGACGATTTTTTCGCTTAAAACTTTTATAACTACCTTTTAAAATTTTTCATCAAATCATATTTATATGCATATTTTTGATAATTTAAATCTTTTTGATTAAATTGATTAGATGCAAACCCTCTGAAATTTATGAAAATAACTTCAAATAGACCGATCAATGTCCGGTACATATTAGTTTACCTGTCACCTGAACAGGTAAATTTCAACTGTCTAACAACTAATTAACCTTGATTGTAATGAGAGGGTATTAAAGTAGGGTTTGTTTTCCTAGTACTTATTCACCATGTCCCTTTTATGACCGGAAATGTGGCTTTTTAAAGCTAAAGGTCAGGTCAAAAAAATCGCAAAAACTTCATTTTTTTCTGAACTATGTTAAAATGGCAAACCCACGTTAAATGTTCATTTCAGGTTTGGCACAACAAGTCATATTTATAATTTATCGGTCATGGCTGGAAAATACATCGTTTTGGAAGCCCTGGTCACTATGGGGACTTCAAAACAATGTAAAACACAGAAATGTTAAGATTTAAGTAGTTTTTTTCTGGCAGCAGAGATCAGGGCCTGTTAGAGTTTAGTAATTGTCTCAACTGATTGTAAAATTTTCATAATAATTTTTTTTAAAACATATTTCATGCTCAGCTCTATAATGTTTTCCATTCTCCAGCAATTGAAAGAAATTTATACACAGATTTCTCAAATGCAATTCCATCAGGTGTGTTTGGTCCAATTATTCAAGATATGTCAGTAAGTTATACAGGAAGTGGTTAGAATATTTATATGGCATATTAAGTGAGAAGATCATTTTCAATTATTTTTTTCCTTTTCTTGCTGTGTATTTATGTTTGAGTTTATATCATACATACTGTTATACAAAATCACCTGAACAATTTTTCATGTTACTATATGAGTATTATTCTTGCATCATCTGTAAATAAGCCTTATATTTACCATGTGTTTATATTTCTATTTAAGTAAGTATTACCCTATCTGTTTAGTAAACCTATGTTTTTGATATATGTTTTTATATTTATATTATTTATTGTGATTTAATGTAATTGTCTCCCCTTGACAGAGTCAAAAAGCGAGACATAGGTATGTTGTTTCCAGTGTCGACAGCGGTGGCGGCGTCAGCAATGTATTAGTTTGTGATTAGGTCTAGTTCATGGTGAACCACTAGTGGTAGGTCAATGATATTTGGTATGCAGTTGTATTAGCATTGGCACATCTCATTACCATGGAGATTATTTTGCTCCGCCCCCTCAGTCGAGGTCTATTGACTTTGAAACTTTTCATAGTTTACATGTATCAGTTTGTGATTAGGTCAATTTATGGGGAACCACTAGTGGTAGGTCAATGATATTTGGTATGTAGTTGTATAAGCATTGGCATATCTCATTTCCATGGAGATTATTTGGCTCCGCCCCCTTAGTCATGGTTTATAGACTTTGAAAATTTTGCTAAGTTAACATGTATTAGTTTGTGATTAGGTCAGTTCAAGGGGAACCATTAGTGGTAGGCCAATGTTAATTGGTGTTCAGTTGTATAAGCATTAGCACATCTCATTTCCATGGAGAATATTTTGACCCCGACCCCTCAATCATGGTCTATTTACTTTGAAACTTTTGCTTAGTTAACATGTATTAGTTTGTGATTAGATCAGTTGAAGATGAACTGCTAATGTTAAGTCAATGATATTTGGTATGCAAATTTATTGGCATTTGCAAGTATCGTTCCCATGGAGATTATATAGCCCCACCTCTGATCATGGTTCATTGACTTTGAAACTTTTACATAGTTTACAAGTTAATGTTTGTGTTTAGGTTTGTTTAAAGGGAACGACTTATAATAAGTCAATGGTATTTGGTATGCAGTTGTATTAGCATTGGCACATCTCATTCCATGGAGATTGTTTAGAAATGTACCTTCAATCATGGTTCATCCACTTTGAATATTTGCATACCGGGTAACTTACATGTTAAAGTATTGCTATTTTAATTTCAATATTTGCATTATCAAAATTACAAAAAGTGAGACATATCTCTGTGATAACAGTTTATTTATACTTTATTATTTACAACATTTTAATGGAGAAAAAATAGAATACATCGATGAGACATTAGATCAATGTTTTAGCAGTTTAAAAATAAAGAATGTAAACAATAAATGCTTGTTGTAAGTCTTAACTGATTTTATGTTTAGTTATAAGAAAATCAGTGATTACAGATACCATTTAGATTAATTCTTAAAATGCCTTATTGTTAAATAATTTATTAAAGATTCATATACTTTGAAAGGTTTATTTAATTTTGTATGAAAATGTAGATTGTACAATTTAACATTATCATATTTATTTTACAGTCAGTAGTATTGATATCCATATTTATTTTACAGTCAGCAGTATTGATATCCATATTTATTTTACAGTCAGTAGTATTGATATCCATATTTATCTTACAGTCGGTTGTATTGATATCCAGATTTCCATTTGTTGCCTTATTTTCCGAGCTCATATCAATATTAGCACCAGAATACTTTGACAATGGTGAACCAAGTTTAGAAGCCGGTAAATATTTATAAGCTTATCACAATATACTATAAATAATTTGGTGTCTCTTTTACTTCTACACAATTCAATACTTCTAGAATCCTGTGTTACCAGTTTCTGTTTTAGTTTATTTTATACCTTTATATTTTTAGATTACATGTTACCAAAAGCGAAATCTAGTTGCCCTGTTGTTCACGATACTCGCTTTCAGTCGCTTTCGTCATCGGCAATATTCAATATTTACCAAGTCAATGAAACAGCAATTTTCCATTTAAAAGTAAAGAAATTCAAAGACATAAACAATTAATTTTCTTTAGAAAAGAGGTTAGAGCATTGATTTTAAAGTTGGTTGCATGTTATTTCCATAGAGACAATTTTTTTATCACTTCCAGTACTTGTTACTCGAGAGCGTACATCAAATCATTATAACTTTCGGCAAAATAAGTTTGTTACTTCATTAGAACGTGATGAAATTTGCCTGCAGTAAATTTGTTATCCATATATTGCATTAAAAACGTCATATTCCTTTCCAAATAGCGTGTCAAACATCGTTTATTTTTGTAAATTTTCTTCGTCTGTAATTGAAATTATTGGGCAACTTATTGTACAACTACTGATCAGAGTTGGATTCATTTGAAACAGACCAGCTATGACCGAAATCCTGATTCTTACAATAATGACTTCGGACGCATGAATGGCACAGCTGACAGAAGAAAATTGATCCCAAAAGGAAAAATTACGCATTCCACACGCATTAACATACTTTTGGTTAGATCTACTTGATTAATGTATATAGTTCCATGTATATGCATTGTTTCAATTTATAAATTAAAGTTGCTAAACTCTGGGACTATTACACTAATATAATTATATTATGTCCAAGCTTAACTGTGTTAAATTTATATATCTTTTAAATGAGAAATATATAAACATGATAATAGAGTAGTTTTTTAATTGAATTTTAATTGATATAACAACTTTCTTTTCCTTTTTGATATAAAAAAAAATCTTTTTTATTATTGCCAGATATTTAATTGTTTTTTTCTGACAACAGGACTAATATGATTGTGCAACTAGATATGATAAAATTAAACAACTTTGAATTTGAACTGTTACTTTAATTGTATACCCAGGTACAAATTAAACAATATAAAAAAAATAAGATACATATGGCCCTTTGTATTATACATGTAGTAAAAACCAAACCTTGTAGCGCTGCGAGCGAACAAGCACTTCTCTTTCAAATCTCACCACTTCTCCCTTTCAGTTTCAAAAAGAGAAGTCACTTCTCCCTATGATTCTGAAGTAGTGTGAGCCCTGATGTACTTGACGAAAGAACCTGTAATATTTTGCCATTTCATGTGGTCCATGCTTCATATGTCTGTAGCAGGGATCACCATGACCTATTTCAGCTTGGCTGTGTGCCATGCTAAAATTCCTAGTGCCACGCTAAAATTCCCAGTGCCACACTTATTTTGTTGTCTGCCACACTTGAAAATTTAATAGATTGAAGATAAATTCTGGATATCCCTAATCCAATTATCATGTTAGTGGCAAATAATAAATCTAATTAGTGTTATATGGTGTTAACACTTCCTTACGGGATATACATTGACAGCTGATTGCATTATCTATATTGTCTCGCGTGGTTGAACAAGGTCCAATGAACGATCATGACACAATTTCTTCAATATGAAAAGTAAAATGTGTTTGCAAACTATTCTATAAATACGAAAGCTTTACTGTACCTTAAATGTAATGTATATATCCAAACTAAATTAATAAAAGCAGTATTCCAGAAAACAAATGAATTCCTGACCACATGTTTTGTTGACAACCATCTCACATGTGCTCTTTTGGCGGGAAAATACTCGGGAACACCTCAATTACAGACAACACGGTCTGGTTATTTATAGATAGTTAGATAAACAACTCAGATAGCAGGGTCATTAAAACTCATTTAAAGTATGAATATTATCTAGAAAAAGAGTAAACTGAATATATAAAATTCTTATATCATTTTATTGGAAAAGGGTGGGGGTAATTTTATAATATTGTCATTTTATGTAACAAATATGATCAAATATGCTGGATAGACATATTGGTTGAGAGTGCTTTGAAATTCTGTATGATTAAATATGTTTTTTTTTATTATTAATTCCTTTATCATTTCTATCATTGCATGTGGTTTTCCACAAGGCAATAATATTTAAATTAAATCTAAATTTGTCATGAAAGAAAGCTCCTTAAAAGAATAAAATTGTATAATGAATACTTTATCACATGAAAAGCAATATGTGGATCCATCATTTTAATATCTCTGCAATCTGGGATGCCATATTAGGTTTTTACTTTTCACTGGTTTATTGGTTCCTAAAAGAGTGGTGACCTAATAGGACCAACTACAAAATGTATGTGAGACCCCCTCCCCCCTTTTCTTAATAAGGCATATATGACATCAACTTGTAATAAATAAAATTAGCAACAATTAAGGAATAATTTGTGAGCAAGGACCGAATCGACAACACAACACAACACATCATCTCTGATTTGATGACTTTACTCCCCCCTTTGATTTTCAACTTTTGTCTGTTGAACTTTTAACTGAAAATAAAAAATTGATGCATTTATTTATCCCTTTTATTTCCTGAAATGTTACTGAAGATTGTATTGAAGCATATAAAATGGGCAAAAATTGGTCCTAAATTTGTCTTAAAATCATCAAATCTCAAATTACAAATCCATAGATTTTTCTAAAAAAATGATGTTAATTCTGTTGGAAAATCTGAGATAAATTTTTTTGATCCAGAATGGACATGGTTGAAGATATAATAGGTGCCAGTATACTCATGATTCACTGTATAATGATAAATTAACTTTTATTTTGGCTTTAGTGGTTTTTTCATGATTAGGAAGATTATTTAAGTGTTAAACTGTTTCATTCCAGCTTGTCATGACATAGATCAATGGCCTGCTCCATGCTCTGGTGAAACTGTCAATCTGCCTATATTTGGGACAGTCTTACAGGTAATATTGCATGCCAAACATTGCACCATACTTTTGTATTTACTTTATGATTAGGGCTAAAACTTACATGCTACTGAGTAGAAATCAATTTGTTCATATTTTATGGAAAAAAGAGTAATGGCTTGTCCAGTCCCTGCATGTTTTATCTGTTTTCCTTTAGAGTGAGGTGAATTTTCATTTATTTTAGATCTTGGTATTATTCATTTTAGCAGAATTAGTGAAATTTAGTTCTTAGAAGAATTTGAAATTTTAACTACCAATGGTTATATATATACCTTTTTTCCATAAATTTTATTTGGTTTGAAGTATTCAAATTTACATGCTTTATTAAAATCAAATTACTGTAAACAAATTATATTTTGATTTGTATTGTATGCTTGTTTTTTTACAAAAAATAGTTTTGACATTCTATTCATACATTTTCAAGAAAAAATTCCATTGAAATATTAGATATTTGTTGTTAATTGTAACCCTGTATTTTATTTTGGTGTTGCATGTTGCATGTTGTGGTGATCCCAATGCTTTTATTGTAGGTACGAATACCTTCTAGATCTGATAAAGTTCTAGGTCAAGTTACAAATAAATCTCCTGTTGTGGTGAGTTTCTAGTAATGTTTTATGTTATATAAACTAAAATATGAGGCAATTGGAAGTATTTTATTTTCGTCCTTTGTCTTATGATCTTATAGATGTATTTAACATAGAGTTAAGTGTAGTACAAATGTATCTAGTGTACATTTATAATACAAATGAAAAATAATACATGTATGTACATTGTAATTTGACATAAAGGTGATCTTATGAAACAATTGAATTCATTTTAAAGTAAAAATGATCTATCTGAAACAATTGTATTTATTTATTAATAAGTTTAGAGCATAAACATATTTGATAATTGGTTCATAGTAACAAAAATCAAATCTATCTAGTTGATGACGTAATGAGTTCATAAAGAAGGTTAAATTTGTTTGACCACTTTTGTTTGACCACTGGGTTAAAAAACTTATTAATCATGGAAAAGAAGAAAAGTAAGCATACAAAGTTGACAAAAATCTCATTAAGATTGATATGAATGACTCTGATTTTCAATGTGTTAGGTACTCAGAAACAATTTCTTGTGTTATTTTTCAGCCAATGATACCTGCCCATGTGATTCTACCTTCTCTGTGTGAAGTTGATATATTTAGGTAATATTCTTGTATTAACAATTTACCATTTTTCAAAATTTAATGCATTGTAGGTATTGTTTCCCGAACTATTCACAAAAAACATTTTGTGGTTGGTTAACATTGTAGATACAATAGTGTAATGTTATTTTCAATATATGGTGTTCAAGCAATGTAATTGGCCACAATCTTTTAGATTCTGAAAAATATAAATTGTGAAAAGCAATGTTTATAATTGAAATGATTATTTAAGTCAAATAAAATTAGAATAAGACAGAAATATATCTGTTGCCGGCTTCCCGACCAACCCTAAGTTTGATTGATAAACCTAAAACATTTTATTGCTTTGCCGAAAATTATTAAATATCATTTTGCGTCCTAAAGAGTAGACTATGGAACCTTTTACCGCTGACCTACTTTGTCCAATTGTAATAAAACTATGGTTATATTTTTATGATGAGAGGCAAGAAACGTTTTATATTTTTTTTCCATATCAAACGATAGATTGTTGCTTGCTTATTCAGGATTATGTATATTAAAGATTATGGATTTGTTTTTATATAAGTAGATCAAAACAAAACATGTTATTTGAAATTATTTTGAATTGTTAGTAAAGATAGATTTATTTATATTTTCAGTGGCTTCCAGTCAATTCTACCTCATATACAAATGATGTGGGAATTAGTACTAACAGGGGAGGTAAGTATGTTGTTACTTTTAATCGATACTTACAATATTTATTATTAGAAATTTATTATTAAAATCTTATGATCATCCATTGCAAGATCATTTTTATTATGTTCTCCTCTAAATCAAATTGGTCAATTTGAACATTACTTGAACTATGTTATCCTTATAAAAATAAGAAGATGTGTAATGATTGCCAATGAGACATCTATCCACCAGAGACCAAAGGAAGAGGATGTAAATAGCTATAGGGCACTGTACAACAAAAAGCAAAACCCAAACTGTATACATTTCATTTGATTATTTAATAAATTTCATTCAACAACTGAATAAACTAAGCAACAACTCTGCCTTTATTATAAATATATCATATTTGGGTAGTTAATATAGAATTAATATTTGTTTACTCTGTAAAACTTTAATTGAATTCACTTATGATATTGATTAAGTTCAGGAAATTTAACCGGTTCTGTTTTATTTACTATTTATATTTATAAATGACGAAACATTTTTATACCGTTATGCAAGTGAACAGATAATGACAGCTTTATATTTGTTTACAGCCTTTAGTTGCGATGGCTGCCTCGCCATCAGTTACATCCTCAACAGTTCAAGCACTTATAAGGTAAGGTTAACAATCAAATTGTAATTGCTGTGGCAAATTCTTTCTAGTGTGCTGTTTCTGCATATTTGTGTTTAAAGGAACAGGGTTGGATTAAGAAACTTTTGAAAAAAGGAGAGTTGCATTTTCTTAGGGGAGGGTGTAATTCTAGCCGAATTTGTTTTAGGGGAGGGTGTAGTTCCAGTCTTATTTGAACTATTTTGAACAATTTTTCACAAAGATTTTCAATGAAAATTCTAATACCAAGGAACTCCCCATCCATGAATCTCTCCATACAAAAGCATATCTAGAAACAATTCTTAGCTTGAAGTTCCTATCTGATTTGACACATACTTAGTATTTACTGATGCTAAGCTATTTAGTTACCCAAAACATACATACTGTAAATTTCTTTTCTTTTTTAGTCTCATTAGTCCACTGAAATATTGTTCTGATTACCGACCATACTTCACAATTCATGACAGCGAATTTAAAGAGTATACAACGAAAACACAAGCACCGTAAGTTTGAAAATTTTGAAAGTTTTTGTTTTGTGAAATGAATTGGTTATAGAAATATCAATGAATTAAATTAAATAGATTTAAATTTTGAGTATTTGTTAATGTTAAAAGAATCTGAAAATTATTTTATACTGCCATGTCAGGTAATCTGAAGGCATTCACTGTCTATTATATTGACATTACAATTGAATTGATATTGTCAAATGAAATTTTGTTTTAATTGCCATTAGAATTGCTTTCTCTGAAATTATTAGATTATACATTGTACTATGAATGCACTTTGTTAGTCATGTAGAGTGGGGCGCACATATTCGCCGGGGACACAATTTCGCCGTTTTATGATTTTGAGGTGTAGAAACATCAAAGGATTGCTGAAATGAAAGAAATATGCTGGTAAATTATATTTTTATAACAAATATGATTATTTTTTAAACTTAGAAAAAATTTCGGCACTTACCGCAAAGAACTGAAAAACGGACAACGATTTTCAGCCAATTTCCTGAATGAAAAAAAAGATTTCAAAGAAGTATTTCTTAGTTACTCTTTGACTGATTGCCCTAAATTTCAGTTCTTTACACATTTGAAATTTCTGCTATTCATCTATAATGAAATTGATTTGATAAATATTGTTTAAAGCTGCAGTTATTTGATTTTAAATAGATGTGTAAAAACGGCGAATATGTGTCCCCCTATGACAAAACATCAGGAAATTTCAAATAGCCTTTAATCTAACTTTTCAGATGAATTTTTTCAGAGAAACACGTTTTCAAGCTAAGAATATTTTGCTATTGATGTTATCTTCATATAGAAATATCAGTATACTTCAAAAACTTAAAGGTCTGAACATAAACTGCAGAAAACATGGAAAATTATGGCGAAAATGAGCACCCCACTCTACATATAAAACTTATTGTGGTATGTTTTTCTTCATTTTTTTCAGACCATCAGTCATATTAGGAGTCACAAATCCATTTTTTGCCAAAACCTTACAGCACTGGCCACATATCATCAGAATTGGTGAAATGATGACTCAAAGTAAGAGTTCAAAATCTTTCAGTCTTGTTTTTGTGATAGAAAATATATATGACATTTGTAAAAGCAAGATGGGTTTTTTTGCCCATTTTATGTTAATTTATGCACAGTTAATGTTTTACATATGAGAAAGAGAAGTAGTTTGATGAATCAGACAGAAACCCAGCAACACTGCCAAACCAAAAAGTCTTAACCAAGTTGTAAATGAGTACAGTTGATACTTCCCAAGGTCCGTAATAACACTTAATTTTTGGATAGAAGAAAAATATAACAAATAACAGCTGATGATGAGGTTTTATTTAAAGAGGTTTCTAAGTGTGAAATTTATATTTGTGAACACATTCATTTAAAAATATTTGATATTTTTTTTTAATTTTTATTGCAGCACCAAAAGGCTTCAATAAATTGAAAAAAGCAAGTAGTTTGAAGACATTAGATTCTAAACCAGGTAAATAATGAAATTTATTCAAGTACATGTACAGCATTAAATTTTGAAGTATAGCTAAATAGAATCATTGTCTCAGCATTTCAAGTATTGAAGGATCAAAAATTTGTTTTTATGAAAGCATATAATACAGAATTGAATGGTTAATGTTCTTAATTCATGTTGTAGTTGTTAAATTGACAGGAGGGTACACTGCAGAAATATGATATGCACCTCTCAGTGGTTAACTAGGTCATAAATCATTTATACAACCTATTAAAGAATTGATTCAGAAAGAATGTATAAGTTTCAGTCCTCTAGAAAATACAGGCTTATAAAAGAGATTACACAATTTGTGATTTCCATTTACCTGTAATATTAATTATGGGGTTTAAAAGTTTGAAGTCAGTATGAGTTATACATCTTGAGACTAGAGTGAATGAGGTCCAGATCCCCAGCTGGGTCAAACCAATGACTTTAAGATTAACATTTGCTGCTTACTCTATAAAAACTTGTTAGCTAAGGATTATAATAATGTTTCCATGTAGGATTGAATGTCTCACTGAACGACGGTGAGCTTATGTTTTGAAGATATTGCTAAGACTTTAATTTAATACAAAGCAAGGTTTTCTCATATAAATCACATTTTCTTACTCTGTAAACGTCAAGAATTCCACTATACCTAAAACTGCCGTTAATTACTATAATTCACTGGTAATATTTTTCTTTCCAGTAAGTGAATACTTTATTTTTTTCTAGGTGTTTATACAAGGTATAAACCATTTTTGAATAAAGACAAGGCAATATTAAAGAGATTGATTAAGGTAAGAACATGTATATATGTGTAAAACTCAGAAACGTGTCCTTCCCCCCAAACGTGTCCGATTCCCCCAAACGTGTCCACATGACGTCACTGAACTGCAAAACAAGTCTTAATGTAAAAGGGCGCCAAAGCGTGTCATTTGTATGAACGCCCAAATTAACGTGTCCATTTTTTAATAAACACCTAAACGTGTCCAATCCCCCAAACGTGTCCATATCAACCTTCATTTTTTTTCTTTAAATGAACTATCATTCGTGTCCATATTATAAATACGTACGTTATTTGGTTATTGCTTTTTCATTAACGTAAACTCTTTATACTATTTCATTAAAAAAAAAAAAATTACTATAGGTCTTTTTTTAACAGTATAACGGTTAAAGTGGGGCGTCTGCTAAGCTATGTAGGATGTAAATGTAAGCAGCCACGCTCAGTTAATTTCTGGATATTAAATCAGATACTTCGTGTAGGTAGAAAGTCCCTTTCTCTGCAGATTAAAACCTTTCTGACAACTCTTTCATGGTGCCATCCGTTGTATTTCGGAAGGCAACAATTTTGTCCCTATTGATTTTTTTCTAGTGGCAGTTAAGATTTCCGCAACTTTTATTTAAAACGGCCTCTAATACAAAACTGAGATTGAAGAAGTGTTTTACTGAAGTGATAAAAAAACGGTCTTTACTCGCTCTTAAATATTATTAATATCCAAACTAGTGTTAATCCCGAATACCCGTAAAAATTTAGGCCCAATCATAAATTCCCTGTATAATAATAGAACCTATCTACAGTATTAATTGATTGTTAATTGATTGCTTAACGTCCAGTTGCAAATATTTCATGCATATTCAGGACAAGAACAAATTAACAATAAATAAAATAGGCAGCTTCTGTAATAGAGGCGTCCGGGATGAAGGTCGAAGAAATTTAAACTGCCACGGGAAATGAGGGTATATTGGATTGGGACAAAAATTTTGCCATGCAACAGGTCATCTACGGACCCCTCGAAGAGTTGTTGCAAGGGTTCTTAACGTGCAAAGAGCGTGGCACTCTTTTTAAACGAGGCATCGGATGTAACGTCCCCATTCTGACCGGACGTGGTTGCAAATTTGTATATCCCGCACAGCCTAACGGACGTCCCACTTTGGCGAGGGTTTTACTGCCGGCCGGAGGAAGACCAATGGTGTTCATACTTCTATTCTTGGGGATCATTAATTGTTAACATGATGTCGTTCAAATAATGCATGAAATATTTGGCACTGGACGTTAAGTCTCTCGTTTGTGTGTCTTTAGTGATGCTCGAAACCTAAAAAAAAACACCCGAAAACCAGTTAATGATTGGAGAGCTTTTAAAATATCAGAACTGTTGAAAAAAGGGAAGTCAATTTTGCAAAAAGCCCGCCGTATAACACAGGATTATTATGAAAATGCATCGTCTTAGATTTTATTTGTACAAAATAATTCACTTAGTAAACGATTAATTCAACTGTACTAAAATGATGTGTTTGTTCGCTTTAAATATGCATGAATTACTTGCAACAGTCAAAACTTAATTTATGTGTTACTGATTACATTTGCAATTTAACAAACGACGTTGAACAAACTAATGCTAATAAATAAGCACTTCATCAAATGTGTCCCCCATCATGGAATTGCCGTTAACATGTACATACATGTATTAGCGCTAATAGACGTGAAACAGTGGACACGTTTTTTGGCGAATAACAATTATCGGACACGTTTTGGGGGTTATGAAATCGGACACGTTTGGCCAACATTTAATATTACGGACACGTATAAACCAATGAATTGCAATGTTTATGTTTTTTTTTCTAATTACGCATGACATATTTGCCACTGGACATTAAGCAATCAACATTCAATAGTTAATTATGTGTTGCAAATTTAGCTTGCAATTATGCTTAATAAAAAATAACTGGCGTTGAACAAATTAATGCTAATAAATTAACACTTTATTAACAGTGAAGCACCGTGAAAATTTACGGACCGTGCGATGGCTGTATAGCCAGTCAAGGTCGTTAAAAACTCCCATCAACAAAATTTACATGATAAAATGTATTAAATTTTTAATTGTGAAATTAAAATTATCTGAACTTTATATAAAAAATTATTAATTCCGCTGCAAGTAAAAAATAACTTTTTATTGTGGGATTCTTTTTTAACCTGATGTCTATTTATATGAAAGCAGAAATGACTATGCAGAGTGTAGCTTGTCTTGGACATTTATCGATACGGATTACTAAACTTTCCTCCAGATTTCTTTGGGTAGCTACTTTGATTTTTTAAGAATTCAACCGAACTCGACGTCTTTTATCGTATATAATTGCCGTAAACGTTTTTGACTTCACGGAGTTATATTGGCGCTAAGAGTTTTGAGACGTTGTGGCGTTTTTATCTGGACACGTTTTGGCGAATTACAATTATCGGACACGTTTGGGGATGTGAAATCGGACACGTTTGGGCGATTTATGATTTGAAGGACACGTTTGGGGAGAATAGACACGTTTGGGGGAATCGGACACGTTTGGGGGGAAGGACACGTTTGGAAGTGTTACATATGTATTTATATTTTAAACTTGAATTATCTTGAAAACATCTAAACCTCTAGGACCTTATTATCTTCAGACATGGAAATTTGATATTTGTCACCACATACTATTGGATAATAAGTCTCTTAAGGGTGTGTCCTAGCCATAGCATGGTCATATATTGCAATGCATTATGGTATTTGGCATATTGTGTAATACCAAATTCCTTGCCCCTAAATACCAGTTTTAAATTTCATGTTAATGTTCTTGATAAAAGGATATAAGGATTTGTGTCTGAAAGAATATGAAATATATATTTTTTTTTTTACAGCAAATTTAAGACACTAAATACAAAATTAATTATTTGATTTAAAATATTGCATAGACTATTAGATATTACTGTTATTTTTTTTAGGGTATTCAGACAAAGAGACCAGTTGAAGCACAGAATGCTATATTAAGAAGATATTTCTTAGAAATTACACAAAGTTTTATTATACCATTGGTGAGTTGTTAGCACATTATCCTTCACCAATAAAAACTGACCGCCAAGAAATAGCACAATAGTGTTAAACACCAATCAATTAATCAATGTTATCACATTCATAGCTAGACCAATGTTGAAAAACATACTTTTCATTTATTGTCTTTCATGAGACAGCAATTCTACATTAAGTTTTTGTGTCAGAGACGTCCTCAACATTAAGGTTCAATATTGGTTAACAGTTGTTTTGGACATCAATAGCTTTGTCAAACCTTCATGAAATTTTACAGTACTTGGACAGAAACTTCTTCATGATCAAGAGATAGCATTCAGAGCAAAATTTAGATTTTTTTAATTGTTCCCTAGTTAACTGATAAATGGAATAAGGTGTTTTTACACACATTTAGAAACAGTCTGAGGTTTTTTTTTAGACCAACAGCTTTGTCAAACCATCATGGAATTATATGATATTTAGACAGAAGCTTCTTCATAATCAAGAAGCAAAATTTGATCTTTTTTCTGTATTTTGTACTATTTTAGTGATAAATAGGCTTTTTGTCTTTGCACTAACATTTTATGGCAGTCAACATTACTCTTTTACACTAACAACAGTAGTCACAGGTGAGAGACAAGGGTATGCAAAACGTTACAAATTGTGTTATTTATTTGCCTATCTAATTTAAGGTTGTTAGACATAACATTTTTTTTGTAGTCTGAGTTAGGTTAAATCTTTCAAAATTTACGATTCATGAGTTGCCATTTATTTTTAAGATACATGTAATTTTTACTTTCAGGAACGGTACATGGCAAGTTTGATGCCATTGCAGAGAAATATATCTCCACATAAAGTAAGAAATTCTTTAAGATTTTTTAATCAAATATCTGATTTTTAGCTCACCCAAGTGTGCTTTTCTCAACACTTGGTGTCCGTCATCGTCGTTAACTTTTTACATTTTGAACTTCTAGAGAACCACTGAATGGAATGAAACCAAACATGGCATGAATATTCCTTATGATGTGGTGACCAAGTGTTGTTACTTTGTAGCCGATCCATCATCCAAGATGGCCGCCAGCGGGGGACTTCGTTTAACAAAGGACCTTATGGACAATACATACAAATGTTTTCTTTTAGAGAACCACTAAATGGAATGAAACTAAACATGGCATGAATGTTCCTTATGAGGTGCTGACCAAGTGTTGTTACTTTGAACCTGATCCATCATCCAAGATGGCCGTCAGTGACGGACTTAGTTTAACATAGGACCCTATGGGAAATACATACAAATGTCTTCTTTTAGAGAACCACTAAATGGAATGAAACAAAACATGGCATGAATGTTCCTTGTGAGCTGCTGACCAAGTGTTGTAACTTTGTAGGCCATCAATTATCCAAGATGTCTGCCAGCAGGGTACTTCGTTTAACATAGGACCCTATGGACAATACATACAAATGTCTTCTTTTAGAGAACCACTAAATGGAATGCAACTAAACATGGCATGAATGTTCCTTATGAGGTGCTGACCAAGTGTTGTTACTTTGTAGCAAATCCATTAACCAAGATGGCTGCCAATGGGGGACTCAGTTTAACAAAGGACCCTATGGGAAATATATACAAATGTCTTCTTCTAGAAAACCACTTGATTGATTGAAACCAAACATGATATGAATGTTTCTTTTGAGGTGCTGACCAAGTGTTGTTACTTTGTAGCTGATTTGTCATTGTCCTTATAAAGTCATTTTCTACAATTTCAATGAATTTATTGGTAATTTCTGTAAACTTTACAAAAGACTTCTGCTTTTGATTAAATTATGGGGCCGATATTAAACCAAATTTGGCCTCAATCATTATTAGGGTATCTGTTATGATTTTAATCTATTTTTACATGATTTCCAAAACCAAAGTAGAATCAGGTGAGCGACACAGGCTCTTGAGAGCCTCTAGTTACCTTTTATTTCTAACAATTATTCTTGATCAAAATATTTAAGAGAAGGATTGTGATTAAATTTTTAGTTCGCAGCAGAAGTCTTTTGTGTTGTTGGGTTGATGTTGCAATGACATATACCCCACACACCCTTAAAGGGATATTATTGATAACATTTTGTATTTTTATATTGATGTTGTAAGATTTTAATATGAAAAATCGCTAGTTTTCAGTTCAGCTTTGCAATAAATTTTTATGAGTCAAATTAATAATCATTCATTGTGAAACTTGTCAAAGCTTCGTGTATTTTATACCAACATGACATTTAAAAAAACTTTTCATATTTTCTGAGAACTGGTATGTGCAATTGTTTTTACAGAGTCCTCCAGTTTTAAGACCATTTGATATAGAAGAATTCTTGAAAACAGTAGAGCATTCTGGTCCCCAGCTGACATCAGGAATTAAGGGAGATTGGCAGGGACTGTATCAAAGATTCTTTAGAAGTAGTAATTTTGAAGGATGGTACAAGTTCAGACAACATGAAGTCAACCAAAAATTACAAGTGCTGCATTTAGAGGCTATTTGTGAAGCTGTAAGTGAAAATTACAAGTGATTCATTTAAAGGCTTTATGTGAAGTTGTAAGATAAAAGATAAATATAGTGAACTTTTTGTATTCACCATTAGTGGTTTAATCCGAATTGGGTGTCTGTCCCATCAGCATGTTGACATTCAATAACTTTTGCTGATATAGGTAGAATGATTTTCTATTTAGATAGAACTATATATATAATAAACTTTTGTGGGATAAACCCTAAAGTAGCTAATTAAAGCAGGCAAATATACAGAAGAATTATATATCATGCATGAACTAACAGCACACATGAGAATGTAGCTAGCAGCACCGCAACGCTATAATTTTTTTCCATGACGCTATAATAATTTCCGCGACTCTATAATTATTTTGAGAATGCTATTTTTTCTTGTCTCTATACATTGCCGCAAAATCATTGTCCTAATTTTTGAACTTTCATCTAATAACTGCTTGTGATCATAAAAATCATATCACCTTTAATTGTAATCCCTTCAAGTCGGACAATAGAAGCAATTAAGATTGATTAAATAGGTGTTAATTGCCCTTTGGGCGAGAACTGTTTGGATACGAATATCCCAAGCTGACACTTATGACATGACTAATAACACGTGATCCAATAGCAAATTTTGACATCAAGAAAATGGAATCAGAAAATCATAAACAATTTTAAATCTACGTTTGCATCATGGCATAACCGTCTCCTAAGATAAGAAAAAACCTACACGGAGTACCTCGATGTTAACAAAATGTCTGACCAAACGCAATTTTTTTCACATCAATTATATAAGTAAAGAAATTCAAAGATATAAATGATTTATGCAAGAAAATTAAAGTTGTTTTGTATTATTGTTTGGAGATTTTGAAATCATTGTATGTATAACCAACTTAAAAGTAACTAAGCCAAGAGGATTTACCCATAAATGTTAAGTTGGATACCCAATCAAACAGTGCCTATCTGCCTTAAAAATATAAGATTATATCGCATAAGAGATGGTTCTTATTTTTACAATAGAATGACAAAAGCACATTGATTATCATAAACAAAAATTATTGTAGAATTTGTTGGATTGGATACAAGACAAACAGGAAGTTGAAATTGTAGATCTGATCCTGAGGATTCGTGAAAAATTGGTAAATATGATAGTCTGCTTCATTATGAAAAACACCTATCACTGTATTTAATTTCATTAATTTTTATCTCCCCTGTGAAGAAAGTCAAGGAAAGTGAGACATAAGTATTGCCTTTTCCTGCGCTGGCAACGTCATCAACAATTGTTACGTTTTCTGCCTAAGTCAGATTGATAGGTACCTCGTGTGATAGGTCAATGATATATTCTATAAAGTTGCATTACTATCGGTACATATCAGTTTGAAGACTATTTTGTGGCCCTTGCCCCTTAGGTCATGGTCCAGTGACATTGAATTAGTTAGCAATTTTTAATGTTACTTAGGTTAGTATGATAGAAACTACTTGTGATAAACAATGATATTTTTTATAAAGTTGCATTACTATAAGTACATCTCATTTTGACACGCTGCCCTCTATGTCATGGTCCTGCAACTTTGAATTAATTAGCAATGTTGCTGTCCATCAGATTGTCTTTTTCTGAATTTCTGCATGCAGGAGAGATATATCTCTGTGTCAACATTTTATTCTTATTAAAAATACAATTATTTGTTTATTAGAAGCTTAGTAAAGATAACTTACAGGTATATTAAATAAGCTTCAAACTTAATGATGTACAGATAATAAACTATATGTTATTACAAAGAAATAGCATAATGAAGGCTATTTTTCTTTTTCAGACATTTGCTACAAACAACAACTTAGTTGTGAATACTGAGAATGTAAACAAACTTCAGAAACATTTACAAGGCATTATAACATCATTGCCTGAAGATCTTCAGTCTGTACTCAAAAGCTGATATATATTTATGTCATGTCACATGTCCTATCACATGATATTGTAGTCTGTATCATAGTGAATACACAGAAATTACCAGCTAGATGGAAGTCTTCTGGACAAAGAGTGTTGCAAGGTTTTATATCATCTACATAAAGTTGATTCATATTAATTAAAGATGTTGGATGAAATAGGCCAGCAAAATTTGAAAAAAAATTCTACTTTAATTAGTCCAATATTTGTGTATTTTTCAATGCATTAGGTCTGGGTTGCATGTGAAAATAAAATATGGTACAGTGAGATTAGAAGAAAGCTCATAAGTAATGGTGAAAGAGAAAAATGGTAATTGAATGTTCTGTAGTTGTAAATATAAGATTGCAATAAACAGTACAGGTACTGGTAGTCTACATTAGATACATTTTTGTTCTTGATGAACTTTCATTGACCTGAATTTTATGTTAATTTTATTTGGAAAAAAGATTTTTTAGTTTTAAGGTTGGATGCAGCCATGATCATGTAGAAAATTGAAGATTACATATTCCATTTATCTGTTAAGAAGTTTGTTTAGTAAAGTTGTGAATGTCAGTTCTGTGATTCATAATGATTGATCTGTTTTTACAATTCCATTGCATTTTATAGCATTGGTGCATCATGTGTTAACAAGTCAGGCATCATATGAATTATATCACCATGGTGGTTTGTTGAATTTGTCAAATTTCATTGTAAAAGTGTAAATCAAAATTGTCTTAATTTATATATTTAAAACCATTATCAAAGATACCTAATAACCTAATAAATTTTTACAGTTGAATGAATTTCAGTAGCCTGCTGTAGTATGAATAAAGTTAACTTGGAGAAGATTGCTCTTTTACTACTTTTAAAAAACAGTATTTATGGGACAATTTTTTGAAGTATCAAAGGGGAACTTGAACCAACTCATTATAAACTGCTTAATCCACGTTTGTTCATCATTTAAGATTGATGTTAAGCTTATCTTATCAAGTGTGTGAGAAAGACCTGTATGATTTGAAGCTTCTTGTCAGGTTCTTTTAAAAGACAGTGAGTCATTGTGCTGTTGTTGTTGTTGGGTTCTTTTCAAATGGGCCTTGCCTTCCTTATTTTTTTCCTGTGTCCTTTCTCTGACGTCTGCTTTAAAGGCAGTTTTTCATCATGCTTTTTGTTACATTGGCTAACATTCATTCCTGGTACATCTATACTCTTGTGACCGTAGTTTGCAACTTCACTTTTTTATATGTATCTGAACAGAAATAAACAAAATTATCATATAGACCAATGTTTTATATTTTCCCTGTTTAAGTGGTCACTGTCTGACATAAACCAAGTACTTCATGTTACAACATCTAGACATACAGATGACACAAAATTGTAACTCAGAGTCTTTAAAATCCATATCATTACTAACCAATACCTTCAATTTTAACTGTGTTCTGAGCAATTGCTCTTTAAATAAAAGAGGAGTCTTCCCACAAGTTATACTACAGAAAACAAATGGAAATTAATTCAACTGTGAAATAAAAATAAAGGTGTGCATACTGAATGAAATGACAGATTAGCATATTACCAGCAGTTAGCCCAAGGCTATTAAATATATGATTTTTATGTTGTTTTTTCCCACCTGTTCATGTATTTGTTTTCATATTTTTAATCTGATAATATACATATTTATGTACAAATATATTTCATGTTTCTGATTGAGAGGCCTTTTTGTATAATCCAAAATTATTAACTCTGAAAGAAAACAAGTGTTTAGAAAAAATGATTTATACAATTCTTTAATTGAGAAAGAAGAGAATATATCTCAGAAAAAACGCTATAAGGTAAAAGTAATGATCTCTAGGTTGGGAGGGGGATACCTTAAGAGGTAATTAAGATGTTTGATTTGTTTGGGGTTCAAGATTCCTGAAGAAATCTTTAAGAATTATAAAAAAATTTAAACATTTGATATTGTGAGTGGTTAGGTTTTCAAAAAAAGGACTTCTTGTCCTTCTCTTTATGTCACACATGCACAGAAATACTGGCACACATTAAATTATTGAATATCCATTTATTTTTAAATTGACTATATAATTTGAAGTTTTCTTGTCTTTTTCGCTTTATTGCATTTCAAACTATAAATTAATATGACTAATCACTTTTATTAATGAGGAATTTATCTTTGCTATTTTAAGGCAATAAATGTAATTTTGTACAAAAGAATTTCATATACACAACATGTACTATTTTTCCCAAAACAACAAAATTTTGCATATGTTGATTTTTTAAACCTACATCGTATAATTTTTTTCCATCTATTATAAGGATAAGGGCTACATTATAGTAAAACAACTTATTAATTTTTATTGGTTGTTGATATTTTATTATGGACCAGTATTACTCAAATACTTGCCAACATTGGTTAATGAATGGTTGTATAATTGTGTAATTTATTAATTGTTGATGTGCTTAATGGTGCAACTTTGTATTTTTTCATGAGGTGGTATATTTTTATTTAAGCAAATGATATTTTCTTTACAAAAACGGAAAAATTATGTTCATTAATATAAAATGTATTTCATGTGTTCGCAATATCAAAACATTTTCTATGACTTTATTCTTTATTATAAGACACTAGTCAAGTTATGGTATTGTGACATAATATTGCTAATAGTTAAATGTCATGACTTGTAGCCTTGTTACTGTGCATATCTGAAAGGCTTTGTCCTATCACAATACCCATTTGCTTAAATGTTTAACAAAATTGAAATTTATTTCATCTCTTCAAATGGATCATGTGGTTAATTTTTTAGCTCATTACTTGGGGCTGTTTGAACATGGTTTTGAAGAGTTACTGAAGAGTTTTTTTTTTTAATTCACACTTATTAACTTATCCTGCAACCAATCTGTATTATTGTTTTGTTTTTTTTTTGTATGGAGGTTAAAGCACCAAAAGATCTCATGAATAACTTATACCAAATATATATTAAACTATGCTTCAGTCATTCAAATAGTGTTGAATGTGAAAAGTATTTGTAAAATTTGTAAAATGGGTCTTGCCACTAGAGAACATCATTTTTACCTTACAGTTTCAAAATTTAATAACCTATACTGACTGCTTCTAATCTAATGTTTTGAAAACTCTGATTTATAAGATATTTGATTGAATTCTAGACCACCAATTCACCCACTCCAATTTAGAACATATGTAAAAGTAGCCCTTTCCTGACAAAAAATAATACCTTTGATGTCATTCTTTACTTAAACTAACCAACAATTTGCAGAAATGAAACTTTTGGTGAAAGAGAAATATATTTAGACCATTTTAAGCCAAAATTTACTTGTCCATGAGTTTAAATTTAAAAATGAGGATTAATGCCCTCCATAAAATTGAGAATGGAAATGGGGAATGTGTCAAAGAGACAACAACCAACCATAGATCAGACAACAGCCGAAGGCCACCAATGGGTCTTCAATGCAGCGAGAAACTCCCGCATAAGTATACTTATTTAAGATTTCCAGAAAACCAGGGGTTATTTTTAGTAGAAGTTGCCTTCCAAACGGTCGTGTTTCACTACAAGACTTTAAACACTTGATGAAAATTGGCATGTAGAAAGGTGATACATGTACAATTTAGGATATACCTGGTTTCTATGAAGTTTAACTTAATAGAAAGCTGTGAAAACAGTTATGTGAATTTTATCTGTTATTTTCAAATACTATTTGAAATTGCTATTTTAAGACAACAGGTGTTTTATGTAGTAATGATCACTTCACTTGCTGGGAGGCTGAGTTTTAATTCCAAGGTGCACATGATTGTATGACTTTTCAGATTAGTATTACGTGTATGTACATTTATAATTTTTCTTTCTGTGATTGTGTAATTTAGAAATTTTTTTGGCCAGTAAACTAGTGATTTGATAATATTGAGGTTTTTTGCAATTATGTAAAAAGTAAATTAAGATGTAATTTATTCTTAATCTCAATGGATTGACTTGTGAATGAGGCTTGACTGTTATATCTTTAAGACAGTTTTTACTGAAGTATTAGAAGATTCAGCAAACTATCTTTTGTCTTCTCTTACAAAGAACAGGGTTAAATAAGAGGAATATTTGGACTTTATTAATGATTTTTTCAAACAATCATGAATAAAAGTGGACTTGCTGATTTAGTAGTAGACAAATGGTTATGGTTATTGAGAATTTATAAGTTTTATTAATGAGTCCCACAAAAATATTTTATAATAATAGAAATGCCCAATGTAAGTTTTGTCCATTGTTATTGTGAGACACTTATCCTTTATTACCACCATAAAAATGACCAAATCTTAATTTAGATTCGATGACAATTCATTATAACATGTGACTATTTTTTTAAAACTTTGAATAATAAGGTAACAGCAACATATGTTTTAAAAAGTGTTTTTAGAAGGCTGATCTAGAAATAATATGTTAATAGAGAGGAAAATAACAAAGAAAAAAGTTGGATCAACGTTTGTTTTTATCATACCATGTTGTTAAAGTAATTCTTAATTTTAAAGCATTTAATATTGGGACATGTGCAATCTTGGTCATGATTTTGAAGCCTTACTTACAAGAAGGTATGGATTTATTAAACTATTCAAAATATCTCTATAAAAAGTAATATGCTTGCACATCATAATAGATAATGCTTGGAATTTTTTGCCTTTAAATAGAGATATAAAACTAGTGTTTCAATTCCAATTTGAAAGATTTGATACTATAATACTATTGAAAGTATAAAATCTTTTTCCTTGTTAGAATCTTACTTCTTTTAAATTTTCAGTAAGATAATGTCCATAACTAAACCTTAAAAAAATTATATAAAAATATTAAAAGACAAGAATAATTGTAGTATATTTTATAGATTTATTTGAATGCAAGTAATAAATAGATAAATGCTTTATATTAAACTCTTAGTTTACAGCCTGTCTAGTGTCATGATTCTTCGCTATAATCCACCAAAGCGTTCCTTTTCCAACAAATTAAGGGAGATAACCAAGTAAATTTGCTCTAGAAGTTTTAATATTTCTGTTCCATTTTGCAGGATACTCCATCACGTTTAGCCTCAAAATTGGTTCCAGTTACTAATTTACATTCCTTTCGGGTTTTATTTATTATTTTTACCAATTAAATTTAAGTTAGCTCCATACAGAGTTCAGTGTTTAATAACATTTTTATTTTGACTACTTCAACTTGAAACATACTCACTGTTAGAGAGTCAGAATTGTCAAATTGGTCACAGACTGTACAACTTAAAACATTGATTGTCATGAAAAACTGTTGAATGTGTGATCTCCCCAAAAAACCTATGTTCATTAAATGAATTGATAAAAAAAGAAACGAGTACTATTTGATATCTTATTCATCAAGATATGTCTGTTTTTCCATGTCAATTTACATTGTATATTGTTATGTCTTTTATCAAATAAAACAGAAGAAACAAGACTTTACTTATGTATAATAATGTGAATATTTGATTCCTTCCAATAAATGTTGAATGGAAATCATTTTACACATATTTAATATAGAAGAGAACAATGTAAATATTTCAAAAAAACAAACTGAAATATTATATCTAACTTAAACAGTTATTTCAAAACTAATCTTATGTTAGATTGAAACAAAAGAGACATACAATTTGTCTAAAACCACTCCCAATATTTTTGTCTTGCCTGTAAGACATGATCTGGATCCTTATCTATTTCAGAAGATAGCAAACCTGGATTCCATATATTTATTGTCCTAGACCTCATTTCCTTGGTTCACCAACTGCTTTAAAAGATGTGTTTTTTTCATGTGAATTTTTCACTTGATATAATCCTTGCAGGGTCTAGATGTCCCACAGACGAACTTGATTCTGTATGTGTCTGTCCCACGTCGGGAGCCTGTAATTCATTGGTTGTTGTTTGTTTCGGTGTATCATATTTGTTTTTCGTTCATTATTTTGTACATAAATTAGGCCGTTAGTTTTCTCGTTTGAATTGTTTTACATTTGTCATTTCTGGGTCTTTTATAAATGACTATGCGGTATGGGTTTTGCTCATTTTTGAAAGCTGTACAGTGACCTATAGTTGTTATTTTTGTGTCATTTGGTCTCTTGTGGAGAGTTGTCTCATTGGCAAGACCTCCACCTCATTTCATGGATACAATGAGTATTAAGTCAGCAATATTGAGTGAATAGAATGATTTTAAGGTGTACATGTCCGTTTGGCAGGGTTTATCTGACCTTTATCATCGTTTATAGGTAAAAGTTAAGGTTTCACGATTATAATATAGGTATATTTCTCCCATACAATAAATTTTATTAGGGTATGTAATGATTGTAAGGAATACATGTTGGTATGAAAAGGTTCATCTAGATGACCTTGACATCATTTTCATGGTTAATTGGTCAATGTTAAGTTTTCCTTTTTATACGACCGCAAAAATTAAAAATTTTTTGGTCGTATATTGGTATGACGTTGGCGTCGTCGTCGTCGTCGTCGTCGTCGTCGTCGTCGTCGTCGTCCGGCGTCGTCCGAAGACACATTGGTTTTCGCACTCTAACTTTAGTTTAAGTGAATGGATCTCCATGAAATTTCACCATAAGGTTCAATACCACAAAAGGAAGGTTGGGATTGATTTTGGGGGTTATGGTACCAACAGTTAAGGAATTAGGGGCCAAAAAGGGGCCAAAAATAAGCATTTTTGTAACTTTCAGACAATAACTTGTGTGTAAGTGTATGGATCTCTCTGACATTGTACCACAAGGTTCCATATCACAAAGGGAAGGCTGTAATTGATTTTGGGGGTAATTGTCTCAAAATTTTAGGAATTAGGGGCCAAAAAAGGGGCAAAAAACAAGCATTTTTCTAGTTTCATGACAATAACTTGTGTGTAAGTGTTTGGATATTTCTGAAATTGTACTACAAGGTTCCATATCACAAAGGGAAAGCTGGAATTGAGTTTGGGGGTAATTGCCCGAAACGTTTAGGAATTGGGGGCCAAAAAGGGGCCAAAAATAAGCATTTTTCTAGTTTCAAGACAATAATTTGTGTTCAAGTGTATGGATCTCTCTGAAATTGTACTGCAAGGTACCATACCACAAAGGGAAGGCTGGGATTGAGTTTGGGGGTGATGAATCATAAGGGGGTTCAAAAAATTGGGGGGGGGGATTTTTTTTTTTTTCTTTTTTTCCTTTTTTTTTTCTTTTAAAATTTTCCATTTTAAGTTGGTTATTTCTGATTTATATTTAAAAGCAAATAATAATGATATGGTAGGAGATACACACCAAACAGGATGTGTAAATTATTATATAATAAGTATTGTGCAATAGCAAGAAATTTTCAATTGCACAGTATTGCACAATAGCAAGAAATCTTCAATTGCACAGTATTGCGCAATAGCAAGAAATCTTCAATTTAACAGTATTGCGCAATAGCAAGAAATATCCAATAGCACAATATTGCGCAATAGCAAGAAATTGTCAATTGTACAGTATTGCACAATAGCAAGAAATATTCAATTGCACAGTATTGTGCAAAAGAAGATACTTCGTATAAATTGCTTATTTCTTGATCAATTTCAATGGGGTTTTATTCTTGAATTCTTGGGGTTCTTTAATATGCTGAATCTAACCGTGTATTAAGTTTTTGGATTTTGGGCCCCGTTTTTAAATTGGTCCACATTGAGGTCCAAAGGGTCCAAAATTAAACTTTGTTTGATTTCATCAAAAATTGAATTATTGGGGTTCTTTGATATGCCGAATCTAACCGTGTATTTAGATTTTTAATTTTGGGTCCCGTTTTTTAAATTTGTCTACATTAAGGTCCAAAGGGTCCAAAATTAAACTTAGTTTGATTTTAACAAAAATTGAATTCTTAGGGTTCTTTGATATGCTGAATCTAAACATGTGTTTAGATTTTTGATTATGGGCCCAGTTTTCAAGTTGGTCCAAGTTGGGGTCCAAAATTAAACTTTGTTTGATTTCAACAAAAATTGAATATATGGGGTTCTTTGATATGCTGAATCTAAACATGTATTTAGATTTTAGATTTTTGGCCCAGTTTTCAAGTTGGTCCAAATTGGGGTCCAAAATTAAACTTTGTTTTATTTCAACAAAAATTGAATATATGGGGTTCTTTGATATGCTGAATCTTACCATGTATTTAGATTTTTTATTTGTGGGCCCGCTATCAAATTGGTTCATATTGAGGTCAAAAGGGTCCAAAATTAAACTTTGTTTGATTTCATCAAAAATTGAATTATTGGGGTTCTTTGATATGCCAAATCTAACCGTGTATTTAGATTTTTAATTTTGGGTCCTGTTTTTTAAATTGGTCTACATTAAGGTCCAAAGGGTCCAAAATTAAACTTAGTTTGATTTTAACAAAAATTGATTTTTTGGGGTTCTTTGATATGCTGAATCTAAACATGTGTTTAGATTTTTGATTATGGGACCAGTTTTCAAGTTTGTCCAAGTTGGGGTCCAAAATTAAACTTTGTTTGATTTCAACAAAAATTGAATATATGGGGTTCTTTGATATGCTGAATCTAAACATGTATTTAGATTTTAGATTTTTGGTAGTGTTTTCAAGATGGTCCAAATTGGGGTCCAAAATTAAACTTTGTTTGATTTCTACAAAAATTGAATATATGGGGTTCTTTGATATGCTGAATCTTACCATGTATTTAGATTTTTTATTTGTGGGCCCGCTATCAAATTGGTTCATATTGAGGTCAAAAGGGTCCAAAATTAAACTTTGTTTGATTTCATCAAAAATTGAATTATTGGGGTTCTTTGATATGCCAAATCTAACTGTGTTTTTAGATTTTTAATTTAGGGTCCCGTTTTTTAAATTTGTCTACATTAAGGTCCAAAGGGTCCAAAATTAAACTTAGTTTGATTTTAACAAAAATTGAATTCTTCGGGTACTTTGATATGCTGAATCTAAACATGTGTTTAGATTTTTGATTATGGGACCAGTTTTCAAGTTTGTCCAAGTTGGGGTCCAAAATTAAACTTTGTTTGATTTCAACAAAAATTGAATATATGGGGTTCTTTGATATGCTGAATCTAACCATGTATTTTGATTTTAGACATTGGACCATAATAGGTAAATTAAAAAAAATTGAAGTTCTTAGACCACATTCTTTCTGTGTCAGAAACCTATGCTGTGTCAAATATTTAATCACAATCCAAATTCAGAGCTGTATCAAGCTTGAATGTTGTGTCCATACTTGCCCCAACTGTTCAGGGTTCGACCTCTGCGGTCGTATCAAGCTGCGCCCAGCGAAGCATTTTATTACACCTGTTTCTCATTCTATAAGCAATAGGTCAACTTTATTTGGTGTATGGAATTATTGTAAGGTGTGCATGTTCATCTGACAAGGTTTATGTTACCTTAATCTTATTTTATGGATCTTTTAATAATTTTAAGTGATATTCGTAGTAAAAGCTTGATCTTAAAGACTTTCAACATAAAATTCAACTAAGATCCATAAAGCAGGAGAGAAATCCCTGTGTGTTCACTCTTGTTAAAAGATGTGAGTGGCTTATGGAAAAATAAAACATTAGAAAACTGCACTTACAAATTTACAACTTAACAATACTAAAATGAAGAACTTCAGCTTGTACCATCAATAAAGAATCTTTTAAGCACGAAACAAAGGTCTTGTCGGGTTTATTTCATGGAACTTTTCAAAGTAGGTAATGTTATATCAGTATGTTGACATAGACATGACCTTAATTGAAACAACTAGACATCATTGAGATGGGAGCCATCTCTGTGGGCCCCGCTGTAAATAATGTGTGGTAAAAAAATTTTTGTATAAAGTATGAAATCATAACGGTTCTCAAGATATAGAGCAGACACAATTTGTTAGGGACGTACGGACCGACAGACAGACGGATGGACCTTTGACCTAGGAAGTTGTACACACATTATGACACAACCTCTAGTGTTGGTTAATATATATGTCAAGTATAAACTTTGAAATCATAACGGTTCTCAAGATATAGAGCAGACATGATCTGTACCTTAGGACATGGGGCTGTCAACTGAATCCAAAGTTTTTGACCTTGATCTTTGACCTAGGAAGTTGTACATACATTATGACACACCCTCTGGTGTTGGTTAATATACATGTCAAGTATAAACTTTGAAATCATAACGGTTCTCAAGATATAGAGCGGACACAATCTTTACCGTAGGACATGTAGTTGTCAACTGAAACCAAAGTTTTTGACCTTGAACTTTGACCTAGGAAGTTGTAAACATTATGACACATCCTCTGGTGTTGGTTAATATATATGTCAAGTATAAATTATGAAATTATAACGGATCTCTAGATACAGAGCGGACACAATTTGTTAGGGACGGACAGGCTGATCACTATAGGGCGACCCGCTACTAGGCAGGGCCCTAATTAACATACAGGTACTCCCAAACCCAAATCGGAAATTGACAACACTGTAACGAACAAAAAACAGGAACAAAATTAACTTTATTAAAGATATAACAAGCACTTATCAAATCATGTATATATAGTGCATAAATTATATAATGTACATTTGTGAGTTGTATAAAGTTATATCAAAATTTTGATTTTATACATGGTATTTATAAACATGATTATATCAAAATTATATTTTATAATTTGCAAGTTTCAATATTTGAATTTAAGTCTAAACAGTATAATAAAAGCAATACCACCAAACAAACAAACAAAAAAGATGTAACTATGGAAATTGTTGTAATTGGAATGTTATTAATGTTATTAAAAGTAGGCTCTTCATTTTATTGCATAACAAGTGTTAATGTGGAAGGTTATAGAGATATTTACTTGTAGAAAGGCAACTTCTTTCTTTTATTAAACAATCTAGTCAACAATCAATCAAGACATCTCCAGTTACCTGTAAATGTCTGCCCTTAAAAGAAACCAAAAGAAGAATAATTTAGTCACTTAGTCTTAGAAACCGTGATGGAGTCTGATTTAAAAAAAATATCCTCTAAATTTAATAGGCAAAACCTTTCGGAATTTTTGGTCCTAAATGCTCTCCAACTTCTTACTTTATTTGGTCTTTTTTCACTTTTTTTATTAGAGTGTCACTTATGAAAGTCACACAATAGGTCTCTTAAGAACCCCTGAAAATAGTTGTTGCTCAGGTTCTTGAGCAAAGTGTTTGGCATTCTCCCAGCATGAGCCCTAGTTTAAAAAATGAATATCACATAAACGTCTTTTAAGCGTGTCTTTAAGCTTGTACAATCTTTTGTAATTTCATCTAAAGAACCAAAATGTCAGGCAGATTTAAGTATCTTAAAGAATTTAAACATACAGCTGACTTCTTTAAAAGTCAATATCGTACTAGTATTATGTTCCACAAAATGTTAAAATAAAAAAATGTATACTTCATTCTTTAATATTAGTAATACTCTACATCTGCTACCTAAGAATACATACAAAATATTTAATGGTAAATGTTAAATCAATATATAAAATTACAAAGTATACAAAAATATAGCATATCACAAATATTATCACTTGTAGTATGTATATACAATATATTGGTCAACAATGAACAATTCAATGAAAGCACTAATCACAATAACATATCCACCAAGTGAACATACTCATTAAAGCAATGTTATAATTTATTTGGCAGATATAATGAGAATTTAAACTATAAGCTCCAAAGAGCCTGTACCATTTACCTGGCTTAGATAGAAAGGTCTAATGGGTTCTATTTAAATCAAGTTAATTCCAAAAATAATAATATTTGGACATATCACGCAATTGTATATATTACATTGTCTCAAATGAAAACAGTATTTCTACAGGGATTAGAAACTGGTAGAATACGAGGCCTTAAGGAATATTAATATCTTGTTTCGAGCAGAGTACAATTAAAATTTCTGTTTTGAGACAAAGTTCGCAATCAACAATTATAGAATTAAGTGGAAGATGTGAAAATTTAGAAAACCTACTTTTTTTCAAGTTATGGATAAAACTATGGGAAAAAATCTCAGCGTCATAAATAAGGCTTTATATTGTCAGTGACTGCATAAAAAGAACATCAATGCATCTTTACAGCACAAGTAGCTCAGTTGCAGTTTTTTCATAAATAATGTTTACTCTACCTTTGAGATTCTGGATCAAACTAAAAATCCCAAACAAATTAATAGATGGGGTTCCCCCTTAAAGCTGTTATCCTAATGCTAGCAATTTAAAGGTTTGGTTGGCTTGCATGCTTTGTTTATATAAATGTTTGCTCAAGCATTGTAATTAAGATCGACATCGACAATCAATAGATAGGCGGGACTTCAGTTTGTTTACATTATACATAACACCCAATAACATTTAAGTATCAATAATGTATGAAGACCCGCCTTTCTATTGATTGCAGATGCCAATCTTAATTACAATGCCTGAGCAAACATTTATACAAACAAAGCAAGCAAGCCAACCAAATCTTTAAACTACAAGCATTAGGATAACAGCTTTAATGCCTCCCACCCCAAAAGGCATGTCAAATAGTCGTCTTTTTGGTATAGTAATAGAAAAAAAGTGATATGGAAGAAGTAGTTGTGGATGATGAACACCAACTGAAAGCAATAGTTTTTGTTTTTTGTTTTCAGTGAGCTAAAACACAAATGGTAAGAATAACTGTACAGTAAAATTTAATGATATTATCCCATTCATGAGTTGTTTTTTTTCTGATTATAGAATACTTAATGTCAAGTATTAAAGGAAAATTCATGTTGATAGAAGAAACCAGAGATTTCTATAACCAAGTAATTGTTAGACAACAGTAACTTGATATCAATGGATCTACAATGTCATGTTTTAGCTTAAAATAACAATATTGTCATTAAATTATTACAATCTGACACAAAAGAACTGACCAGATTGTTGTGAGAAGTAATGGACATGGATGATGTTATCCAACACTGCATGGTAAACAATTGACTTATTTGACATCCTACATGAAGTCTACTAAACAAGATTTGTTTTGCTTTATCAACATAGATGTTTGGGATACAAGTTTTGTGTTAGTTAATAGGGGAAAGTCAAATTAAAGGTCTTTGTTAAACAGGTTTTAAACCAAAACATATAGGAGAGGAAGAAGAAACAAAAGAATGAAATTAAAGGCATTATAAATAAACATATGCAGTCACTACAATTATAAAATGGATGAACTCAGCATAATGTGTTTTTTCAACTAACAATGATGAAAACACAGCAGCCAGGGGCGTAGCTAGACTAGTATTAAAGTGTAGGCACCTTTCGCCAGATTGTCAGATTGTGCAATTACCATTTTCTTGGGAAAAACATTTATACCCAAATTGAAAGTCTGCCAATCAGAAGGCATACATTTGTAGATAAACGGCGTCCGACTAAATGGCCAAGTTCGATAACCACAAGTAGTTAGCCAGTTAGAGGTACGGGGTGTGATTATTTTAACATAGTACCTGAAACAAGAGATGCATTATAAAATTCTCTTTGAAGTCGCCACGTTTCCATTCCTTTTAAATATACAATTCCTTGGTTATTTTTAGAATGTCACTTCTAAGGTAATGGACTTCTGGTTATATGAATAACCGACATTAAATAAATCTTTAATAATCTATTATTAATTATTATTGACAGGTATATGTGTAGAATGTGTTGGGTTTAAGCAAGTTTTGTATACGTTAAATAGACTACACGCATACACACAAAGTTGTCTGTTAGATAGTAGCAATGATCACATTTATAACAGCAATGAACAAATTATTGAAGACGTAAAAGGCCCTAGACATTCTTCAAATTTTATTGGTTATTGATAATGGTTGTTTAAGAAAGATGTGCATCTAAACGGATTTCGAAAGAAAATAACAAGTAGAGTTTAGCAGCACATTGAGAAAAAAATGTTTTCATTTTAATCCACGGATATTCATATTCTGTGTGCAGGTCAGATTCTGTGACCAGTTTAATAAAATATGATTAATATTTACATTATTTAGAAAAAAAAATGCCCACCATATTGAAAACCTAGTCTTCTGTGTAGAATGCTAAAGTGTTAGATCGGGAATCTCTAATTGGCAAATTTATGTATAGGCACGTGCCTAGTCGAGCCTTAGGTAGCTACGCCACTGGCAGCAATAAATATAATAAACATAGAACATAGTGACACAATAATGAAAGAAATTGACATAATATAGACAATAATCTCATACACAACCAAGAATAACATTTCTACTACAGGAAAAAAATGAACACATAGATTAGAGAGATCGGCTCCAGGTTAATGTTTATATGCATTCTTTGTTTATATAGTATTTTTACTCTTCTTTTAAAAAAGGGAAAATAAGGGGCATAATTGGTCATGTCAACAGGTCCTGTAACATAAGAATCACCCTGATGGAAAACTCATTAATCAAGGCTTTAAGATTCGCATAAATTTAAGATATTGCAATATTATACAATTTTGCAGTAGAGAATGAATTACTTTTTCATCAATCTATTTTCTAAAAAAAACAATCAATAACCGTTTTTCTATTGCTTTTCCAAATACAAATGTAATTATAAAAACATTACAATGACTCTATTTGTGATGTACATCATTAAATAGATATTATTTTGTTGATCAGTCACAAGACTGCTGTTTTAAATAGCTGTTTGTAAAAATTAAAAAGATGAAACATGGTTCAAATATGTTTACTAAAAATTCAAAATCTTCTTTCATAGTTGTTGGGAGAAATTTTGATGTTCGTCTAATATTTGAACCAATCTGATCCCAAAACATGCCTTCTCTCTTGTTATTGATGGAGACATTACATATTTAAAGATCAATGCAATATCTAGTATATCTAAACTTTAACAAACTTGAACATATATATTTAGTCTGGAATAATAAGGACTCCACAATACAAAGTTTAATCTGTTTAAAGACAAGAACAAAGATACAAAATCACACAAATATTGTATTAAAGCAAGCATCTTATCAAATATTATGGCTTGATAACACGGTAGCATGAAAAATAAAAAATAATGGCAGAATAAATGTATAATATGAAAACAAAAATATCACATTATATGGGTGAATTAGATAAATATCATTGCAAATTGATTAATAATGTTTCTGAATAAGAATTTGAGCTGATCATTAGTAAAAATATGTATTTTAACAGAAAATGAAACTACTACTTGTCTATAAAGATTTTGACTGTTTTGTTTGATTCTACAGAGGTAAAAGTATTACTTTATGCAAAATCTATGTGCAAGTTATAAATTGTGTTACCCTCTTTTTCTAAAAATACATGTCTTGTAAAGTAAACTTGAATCAATTCATGATAATGCACATGCTCCATACAATTTTAACTAACCCAACATACTTTGAAAATTCAAATTTGAATTTTTGGGGGGCAAAAGTGCTAATATGGAAAATATGTCTGTGGTAAATCTTTGAAAAATCAAAGCAAAATTGTGTACTCACTTTCTAAGATATAAATAGAGTTTCTCAAAATATTACATCCTTATCTAACAAACATAAGATTTTTACACATAACAATTAACTTTTGATGGCCATATCTATGAGTATCCTAAACGGTGAATATGAACTTATTTATAAATTACCCTATACTGTTACGTTTGTGTATTAGCTTATGTGTCTGTTCTTTACCAAACAAAGCCAGAGTTAAATAAATTAACAACACCCTACTTTTTAACTATTTTTCTTCGGAATTATTGTGCAGATTCCTTAAGTCATTAATATTGTTTGGAACATTTATTTCCAAATTCATATGAATTAAAAAACCTGGCAAATTAATAAATTTTTATTTCTATCATTCTACATGTAGTTGCTACTGAAACATTTAAGTGGTAAAAAATTCTATTGGTAGTTCCTAAATCAGACACCCTGAGATTTGTTCACTTTTTTTAGAAATGAACAGCTTAATAATTTTGGGGAAAACTACATTCAAATATCTTCACCCAATAAATTTATGATTAATCTCCATATGTAAATTTCTGAGTACATCAAGGCTTATCAAACTATTTTATGCAATAGAAATGGTTAATAAAAATAACCAATTTTAAAAAAAAAAAATTCAAATGACTCTACACTTGGATTTAACTAAATTACATTTTTATTGGAATAAGCAATTACAGTTTCTTTCTAGGGAGCAATGGCAATTTATACACCATAAAGTTCCTTCCAATACCGGTATTTGTGATCAAACTAATAGAAAAACAAAGGCTATAGCCTGTTTAAGCTTGTTTTAGATGGTAAAAAACAATGTGGTACAGAATTAATCCTACTACTAGTACCAGGAATAAAATCTTGAAGTCCAAGCTTGGGCAATAATTCCATCAAAAGTTGGGAAAATTAAACAAAATACTAATTGATCTGTAACAACCCATTATACAATTACTAGTGCTAATATACTTCAATATTTGCTAGCATACAAAATGAGGCTTTAAATGGCCTGTATCACGACCCTAGATGTATGACCATTGATACTCTTCAGATGCTATTTACCCGTAGCCAGCCCTTTACTGGATATTCAGAAATATTTCAATAAAAATTGATCAGAATTAAGAAACACATCTCATTGTGGTCCAAGAACCCTGTTTCCAGAGTTATAGCTTAAAATGTGGATCATAAATGTATTACTTTAACCAAGTTTGGTAGCTATTGATCCTACACACAATTTTTCAGAAATTACACAGTGAAGTTTTTATGGAATTTCCTATTTCAGACATTGTTGTGGCCAGGTTTAAGGGCAAATGGGGGCCATAAAACATAATTCATAAAAGGATAAAAATGTAGTATTAACTAAACTTGTATAGCAACTGGTAAGTGATGGAAAATCCCTTTCAACTAAAAATGTGCCTAACTATATTTTTTTCAGTCTTCAAATTTTTCAAAAGAGCAAACTTGATATTTAAAAATTACATCTGAACATTTGCAAGAGTGACAAAATGAAATGCTTGCAACTGCTGAATATTGGAATGATGGAATGATTTTCTAGGAAAAAACGATAAGCCAATTAGTAGCATTTTACACTTTTTGTCAAAGTCATGAAAATTCCATGAAGTTATGAATGATACACAAAATTATCTTAAAGATGCCGGATTTCAGTCCTGCAGAATGAGGAAATTTGTCACCTTAACATTCAATTAAGACTTATGTTTTTTAGCCCAAGGCATAGTTCTTGGTCCTTTTACTTTCTTCTCTATACGCTCATTAAAACCTGAAAGAAATAAGTTCTGATTAATTGATGGTTGCTTAACATCCAGTTGCAAATATTAACATGCATATTCAAATGGATATTAGCTATAGCATATGTATTATACCCTGTTTGGAAGTAATAGATTTGGCTTTTAAACATACCAGCTGACAAAGAAACAGTATGTAGTGAAAGATTGGTAGGCAATAATTGATTACACCTTTATATTTGTCGTTAGAAAAGATTGTGGCATTCAATAATTTGATGATGTGCCCTATGACAAATTTCATACCAGTTATCAAATTTTGTAGTTTTGCAATTGCATGTGTGGCTTATTTGTGTGTATCATGTCTCAGGCTTAAATTAAAATATTGTTTGTTTGCAGTTTACCGACCGACCCTTGAAAATCTGCCCGACTGTGAAAATTTTATTGCTTTTAATTTGAAGAAATTATTTTTAATAGGTCTATCGACGCAATCCGGAACATCAGGTTGTTTCTGGAATTGTTTTAAAGTCTAGTCTATAACACGTTTCAAGTTTTTTTGTTTTTTTACCTTCCCGTCAAGCGTTCATCAGACCGTTTAATGATTAAAGCACATGAAGATTGTTCAGGTATCCATGAAGTCATTGAGGAGTTCTTTACGCTGTCGTCTTCTGTCAATATTAAGACAAATAACAAACTAAAAAGTTTAATAGTAAACTGTTTATACAGAATTGCACATGGAATTATGTCTTCCATGTCATGTATCATGGACGATGCTGCAGTGGATATTTATAAAACTGACACGATAGTCGATAACCGTTTCTGTCTCAAACAAATTGGGTACAGAATGTTTTGAGCATGACTTTTGGGAACCAATATCAGTGGTTAAACAATTCAACAGTAGCCTGAAGTATGCATTATTCTATAAATTGTTGAGGACGACAAAGATGAAACCACTCCTCCATGACTTCATGGATACCTGTAAACACACCTGTACGGAAATGCTAATGGATAGACAATGCCAAATCAATAAAAAAGCCACCATAACTACACAAAGATGTAGAGAAAATGAATGGTTAGGTTGAAAAATAAATATACTCTCTCTATATTAAATCTATCTTCGCTTGCAATGAGTATGCTCCTTTAGGATAAGGGGGGCTGCCCCACTCATTCCAATTATTCTCTCTCTTACAATATAAAATATACCCAAACTGTGTGGCCTGTGTGAATTGAATTGAAACATGTCCTTAGGAGCTATGCTGCCAAATTTTTTATGCAGTCGAAACATTTCTGACAGTACAGACCATTTATAAAGGAGTGTGATGGATTACACCACGAAGTTTAAGAGTTTTTTGGTTTTCAATGAAGCCTGGTATCAAAATATCTTTCAAAATATAACCTTATTACATGTATAATTAAATATTGTTAGAAATTTGAAAACAGTAAGATGTCTAATATATTTTTTTCAGTTGCCTTTTTTGTTCAATTGAGGAAGATCCAATGGTTATTTTTTTTATTGGAAACACTCTTAGACAAGAAGCCTGGGCAGGTGTTTATAAAGCTTCAAAATCTACATTTTTCTGATGAAAATACTTTACTCTTGAAAGCAATCTAGTCAAGAAGCATACTATGTCAGTGAATATATTTCTTTTAAAACTATTCTAATCAATCCTTGTTTATAAGTGTTTAGTATTTAATAATACCATATTTTGATGTCATATATTGGATGACACTATGTTATAGTTTCAGTTTTGATTAAAAAGTTTTTCATCAGAAAATGCCTGTTCATTTCATATTAGTTTTTTGTCTTTTTTGTTTTAAAATGTTTTTTCTTCATGAGAAACTTAGTTTGTGTAACTGCTTGTTTTAACGTTATTTTGGCTGATAAAATAAGATATTTTTCCTACCTACCGACCCTTCAGTCTGTAGGTACAGTCGGAAAACTGCAAACAAACATATTTTTAAGGTTGGCTTCAGTATGTGAATTAATTGAGGTGATTTTATATTGATTTGGCTTCAAAATTATCAGCAGTATAATTATTTTTTATTGTAAATAAATAAAAACTTAATGAATTTTATACCTACCTGGAATAGTACTAGCTTTGCTGTCTGCATTGTCTGATGAACCTGAACTCTTTGGATTTATATTGAACTGAAAAACAAAAGAATTGAGCATTGAAAGTAAGGTTTATTGCTGGAAGGTTCATCATTTCAAGCAGCTGCTATTTATTTATTCATTTCATGCTATAATTATTTATCTATTGTGTACTTTTCTTTCTTTAAACAGATATTAATTAAATGTATCACTCCTTTTTAGTTAAAAATAACCTTTTTCTTTCCTAAAAGAATATTTCTAAATGAATAGACTATGATAAAAGTTCGTTTTTTAAGTAAATAAAGACAAGTTCACTTATTCTGAATATTCTCCTTCATTGAAAGATATGATTTATTTACATAAGCCAATGTAACCCTATGAACTGAACAGGAAACATAAGGCAGATAGATAGTTTTACAGCTAAAATAAACAAATTTTCAATAGCAAAGGCTGCCTTATTTTAAAAATAACCTCAATACTTAGTATACAAAACAGGCAGATATTCTGTTGAAATTAAATATAAAAGATAGATTCTTTTTTTCATTTCAGGGAAATAAAATGGCATATATAGATAATTTTCATCAATTTCAGCCTTTGAATTTCAGATGTTTTCTACAATATTTACTTAAGATGAATTTACCTAACATTAAAAAATCTGTGCATCCATACTCTGAAACACTGAAATACCCATTTCATTCTATCCCTTACAAAAAGCTAAGCAGAAAGAGGTTTAATTAACCTTCAATAAGCTGAGGTATTGATAGAAAAAAAAACAACAATCCAGTTCAATCTTGACACTGTGAAATTCAATGTTTAGATATAATCCATGTGGCCATGTTAATACAGGAGACCCTTACATTAAGGACTGATCAAGGAATGATAATTCTCTTCTTTAATGTTTAGATATAATCCATGTGGCCATGTTAATACAGGAGACCCTTACATAAAGGACTGATCAAAGAATGATAATTCTCTTCTTCAATGTTTAGATATAATCCATATGGCCATGTTAATACAGGAGACCCTTACATTAAGGACTGATCAAAGAATAATAATTCTCTTCTTCAATGTTTAGATATAATCCATGTGGCTATGTTATTACAGGAGACCTTTACATTAAGGACTGATCAAAGAATGATAATTCTATTCTTCAATGTTAAGATATAATCCATATGGCCATGTTATTACAGGAGACCCTTACATTAAGGACTGATCAAAGAATGATAATTCTCTTCTTCAATGTTTAGATATAATCCATGTGGCCATGTTAATACAGGAGACCCTTACATTAAGGACTGATCAAAGAATGATAATTCTCTTCTTCAATGTTTAGATATAATCCATGTGGCCATGTTAATACAGGAGACCCTTACATTAAGGACTGATCAAAGAATAATAATTCTCTTCTTCAATGTTTAGATATAATCCATGTGGCCGTGTTAATACAGGAGACCCTTACATTAAGGAGAGATCAAAGAATAAAAATTCTCTTCTTCAATGATTAGATATAATCCATGTGGCCATGTTAATACAGGAGACCCTTACATTAGGGACTGATCAAAGAATAATAATTCTCTTCTTCAATGTTTAGATATAATCCATGTGGCCATGTTAATACAGGAGACCCTTACACTAAGGACTGATCAAAGAATGAAAATTCTCTTCTTCAATGTTTGGATATAATCCCTGTGGCCATGTTAATACAGGAGACCCTTACATTAAGGACTGATCAAAGAATAATAATTTTCTTCTTCAATGATTAGATATAATCCATGTGGCCATGTTAATACAGGAGACCCTTACATTAAGGACTGATCAATGAATGATAATTCTCTTCTTCAATGTTCAGATGTAATCCATGTGGCCATGTTATTACAGGAGACCTTTACATTAAGGACTGATCAAAGAATGATAATTCTCTTCTTCAATGTTAAGATATAATCCATATGGCCATGTTAATACAGGAGACCCTTACATTAGGGACTGATCAAAGAATAATAATTCTCTTCTTCAATGTTTAGATATAATCCATGTGGCCATGTTAATACAGGAGACCCTTACACTAAGGACTGATCAAAGAATGAAAATTCTCTTCTTCAATGTTTGGATATAATCCCTGTGGCCATGTTAATACAGGAGACCCTTACATTAAGGACTGATCAAAGAATAATAATTTTCTTCTTCAATGATTAGATATAATCCATGTGGCCATGTTAATACAGGAGACCCTTACATTAAGGACTGATCAATGAATGATAATTCTCTTCTTCAATGTTCAGATGTAATCCATGTGGCCATGTTATTACAGGAGACCTTTACATTAAGGACTGATCAAAGAATGATAATTCTCTTCTTCAATGTTAAGATATAATCCATATGGCCATGTTAATACAGGAGACCCTTACATTAAGGACTGATCAAAGAATAATAACTCTCTTCTTCAATGTTTAGATATAATCCATGTGGCCGTGTTAATACAGAAGACCCTTACATTAAGGACTGATCAAAGAATGATAATTCTCTTCTTCAATGTTTAGATATAATCCATGTGGTCATGTTAACACAGGAGACCCTTACATTAAGGACTGATCAAAGAATGATAATTCTCTTCTTCAATGTTTAGATATAATCCATGTGGCCATGTTAATACAGGAGACCCTTACATTAAGGACTGATCAAAGAATAAAAATTCTCTTCTTCAATGATTAGATATAATCCATGTGGCCATGTTATTACAGGAGACCTTTACATTAAGGACTGATCAAAGAATAATAATTCTCTTCTTCAATGTTTGGATATAATCCATGTGGCCATGTTATTACAGGAGGCTGTTACATTAAGGACTGATCAAAGAATGATAATTCTCTTCCAAGAGTAATGGAAATATTGTCTATACCTCCTAAAATTAACTCAAAATAATGTTCTGAAGTCATTAGCAACTCCCTTTTTAGTTTGTTTCAAGTTGTAGTGCTCCACTATACTCTCATTTGCGTAATTTTTGGGGGAAATATGGCCTTTCTATGGTAAAATAATAAACAAAGTAAGAAATACAATATACATTATATATGATTCTTATAGCAAAATGTACAAAGAAATTGTGTTGCATTGGACATCACCAATAACAAATTTATGACATATCTACATAAACCTACTATAACATCTTCTTTTTTGTTATTTATGGTTTATTAAGTATTTTTAATATGGAATTATTACAAATGTAAACAAAACATTATATTACAATTTTAAAATTTCTAATATCTAAACTCAAACAAAGAACATAAGAGAGCAATATCCAGTAACTTCTTGTTTAATAGTAGTCAATGTTATACTGCTATCACCAAAATTGTCTAGAAAAGCATTTAACCTTTCGTCCTACTAATAAGCTTCTTAGAGAATCATGAGTTAGCTCATTAATCTACAAGCTCTGTAAATGTGCATACAAATTTCCTACATCATGCTTCTGTTCACTGAATAGAAAGGGGGGGGGGGAGGGGGGGGGGGGGGGGGGGTGTTACACTTTTAATAGTATCCCTAGTACTAATATTCTTGAATAAAAATACACAAGCCCATGAATTACAGTATCTGTCTTCCACATTGTGTATTTTTTCCCAAAGAGTGTGCTAAAATTCAACTAAAAAAGTTATGAAGAGGATTAAATTTTCATGAATAATTAAACAATATTTTAAGCATTAAATAAGACAAGTAATTATTGTTGATTAATTTTCGTGTCCACCTTCAACCAAAGTTCTGGTAATGAATTTATATTTTAAATCTAGAAACTGTTTTGTTATCTATTATTCAATGTTGTTTTGAATAAGTATTTTTTTGTTCATGTCTCTTACATGAAATCAAGATTGCAGTATAGAAATTCAACTACACTGTTTAATTCAGGGCATAGATTAAAATACAACAACAACAAAACTGTTATTACAGGTATTTTTGTACCAGCATTTGGCACAACTATACAAACTTTTGGGCCAGCTGCCAAACCCCCCCCCCCCCCCCTATTTGATCATTTGTTCTCCTTAAAGTCAGTTATCATAATGTAACATAGCACACTTTGATAATTAACACATAACTTTTATTCAATAAAAATATTATCCTACTTCATAAATATCCACTAAAAACAAAATGACAATCACCTAACCAATCCCTAGTACAATTATAAGTTTCAGTCAACATTCAGGAATAAGATTAGACAATACTAGATCTCTATGAATCTGCAAATGTCCATAAGATTTTAAGATGACAATAGTGCACATGCTGAAATGTCTTGCCTGCTTTAACGATCATAATCGATTTTATATTGAAAGCCTTTAAATTGAGCTTTACTTTAAGTAAATAATAAACTTAACATTATCAATGATTGGTGTAAATGAGATCAAGGTCTGATGAACCCTGCTAGATAGACATGTAAACCTTACAATCATTCCATACACCAAATATATTTGCCTTTTGGCTTTTATTATCTGAGAAACAGGCTAAAACACAAAAACTTTAAATTGACTAATGAACCATGTAAATGAGGTCAATGTCAGATAAAACATAACTGCCAGACTGACATCTAAACTTACAATCATTCCATACATCAAATATAGTTACCTACTTTTAATAGTATCTGAGAAACAGACCTAATGAATTAACTTTAACCATGATCACGGATCAATGAAATGGGGTTTAGGTCAGTTGAACCCTGTCTGACTTACATGTAAACCTTGAAAATGAGGTCAAGGACAATGGACATATGACAGCAGAAAACTTCGTAACATAAGATGGTAAGAATCATCCAGGTGTTCCCATCTGAAATATACAAGCTTTATAGAAATAGTTTACGCCGCTGCTGGCAGATTTGCATACCTATGTCTCTCATTCTGAGACTTTCTTTGCCGGCGAGACAATAATAAAAAAGTAAATGAAAGAGAGCTTAAATATCAAAGCTAAAAAATTTTAAAGGGTTCGATTAAACCCTGTGTCTCGTCTGCAATTTTTGCTGTAAAAGTGTAAGGTTGACTGCAAAAACAAGGTACATTTATAAGAAAATACTGAGAAATTTTTTTCTCTGGATTATAAGGAAGTTTCAGTCCAAGTGTCATATCATTCCATGAAGGTTTAACAAATTTATTTATGTCTAAAAAAAATTTAACTCCGGACAGATGTCCATAGAACATTCGTAAGTGCCATTATTACATTGCATTGCAGAACTTTGTAGATGATAATACAAAATAACAAAATAGAAAAGAACAAAAAGCAAAAATGACAGAACAAAATACTAACAGGCAAAATTGATGTTCTACTGCTACTAGTGGGCATTAGGCAAGAAACCATGTCATAAATTCTCATTTAATCATTTTAAAAAGCATTTCACAACTAAAACCATAGATGTGTTAACCATTTTGATTTATATGAAAAATTATCAAGAGCTGTTTTAAAAAATATCTGGTGCTGAAAACAAAATTGATTCAATCAAAACTCATGTCAATATCAGTTATAATCCTGAAGCAATCTGTTTCACCTATTTCAACTCTTAACCTAAGAATACAATTCAAACTGAACTGACCCATGGCAAGAAAACTGGTTAACAGGTTTATGGTTTTCATTGTTATAAAAGAAAATTGTTGGGAAACAAATCAAATGCATGCTAAGCTGTATGCAACTTAAAATATTTACACTACCCTAATTTTCTTATTTAACTGAAACACACAGAGATCTATATATTAATGACCATACCAGATATTATACCGGTAGATTACACAATACTATACCTTTCCTGCTGAGCAGCAACATAATAAACAAGGGCGATCTTTGATATAGTACTAAGCAGTAAGGTTTTACTTGTCACTATGTTTTTTTTTTTGTCTGTTGTACTAATATATTACACTGTTAAGTTCCCTTTAATGAATCTTCTTGTATATTTTTGTATGTAACTTTTGTTACCTAATCAAGATTTTTAAGAAAGCAGGTCAACATCTACATATTTTAACCAAGCAGTATGCTCAGTAGTTGTCTTAGGTAAAGTATTATGAGTTTTTCTGTTCTTTGAAGGATTTGATGCTGACAGCAGATCTTTTGAAGTCGCTGATAAATTCATTCACATATTATCTGGATATAGGGCCCATTTAGGACTTGAAATAAGGTATAAACTTGTCTCTAAATGGACTTTAAGTTGCTTTTTTATTTGTGTTAGTTTGCTTTCTATAGGGTTAAGCCGAACATCTCATTTTATTTATATATACATATCAAATGGGCAATATGTAATGTAATATATACATATCAAATGGGCAATATGTAGTTGTAATATATACATATCAAATGGGCAATATGTAGTTGTAATGTAAATCAAATACTGTAAATTCAGAAATTATTGCGAGGTTTTTATTAATGCGAAAAATGCGAATGGGTTAGTATCGCAATAATTAGAATTCGCATTCTGATATCTGATATACGCATCTGTATGCAGATTTTCCAGAAATTGCAATAATTAGTCTCGCATTTTTGTCCATTCTTCAAAAATCGCAATAATCAATGCACACAATAATTTCTGAATTTACAGTACTTTGTTTGATAAAAAAAAAAGAACAAGTTCACATAAAGTTTAGCGACTATCTATAGTTACTGTCAGCAAATTTATTGGGCAGTGAAGCAGTAAACTTTTATCAGATATGTCTATATGACCATTAATAGCAAGTTTTTCTTAAATTCACACATACTTCTGATTTGGTAAGTGGTTTCAAACATGACTTTAAAAATAAGAGCACACCTCTTCTTAATCATGACAGGAAGTTTATCAACACATATAGTAATTGGAATAAAAAAATCATTTTTCCTTTTGGGTACATATTTTCATTAACCAGTAAAGGATCTTAAATACTGTGTTGGTTTCATTTTGAACTGATAAGATCTAAAGTCTCAAGACCATTTACTTCTAAATATCAATTCAAAATATAAAACATCTGTAAAGGTGTATCTGACATTCAAAAATTATTGTTACAGTTATTTATATGCTTTTTTTATACAGAAACTTTTAATATTGATGAAAAAAATATCTGACAAATTTTTAGATGGACTTTGGCTTTATTTTGGAGTGCAATGCATCCTACAGGCAGAATGATATGTAAAAGAATATCAAACAAGCTTCAGCTTTGTTTTCCCCTGACAGTTATTAGGTTAATTAGAAGCTACAGGTATTACTTCCCTAATTACCAACCTCTTGAACTCTCTTTTGGATAGCATGCCCAAACGCATGTGTACCATGAATAACGTGACGTATAGATCTATTTCGACTATGCTATAATCATAACACATTCAAATATTACTAAATGGGAATATAAGTTGAAATCTCACAGGATTATACCAATACCAATTTGAACTAAGTGATAATCTACCTGCCATTTGAATACAAAGTCTGTTATACTATAGGTTCGTTTTAAATAAAATTAGGTTATCTTTCAATTTAAGTCTTCATTTTAACATGTAAAAACCTAGACTGCTAGCAGGTGCTCGATCCCTGAACAGCGAATTGACCAAAAGGTAAAAACTTATTTTTACTGCACAAGACGTGTTAAATATGTAATCAAATTCCTACAATTGTTCAAAATGACACATGACTCCTTTTCACAAAATTGTGAATACTTTGAAGACCTTGATTAACTGTAGTGATGAAATATAAACTTAATCTTAAACTACCTCTTTACCTAAACTTGTGTTTACTTTTCTTCTTGAGAAGTTGGTAAATTCTATTTAAATTCAATGTAGAGCAACTTCACAAAATATCAGGTGCTGAAGCCAAAATTGCTCAGGTTGAACTGAGGCAAATCTAAGGTTCAATCACCTAAAGAAGGCTGTTTCAACTGAGCAAAATTGATTGTTTTACCAAAGAAATGTTTTACAGTAATAGGTCTGGGTAAATTTAGCAGCAACTCAACTGAGCTGCTAGAAAATGAGATAACTTTTTAACTTTGAGTTTAAAAATCAGGTATTAACTAATAACTGCTGTATATTTTGCAGGAAAAAAAACATATATGCAACTACAATTTCAGAAATGCTAAATTTTGTATAAAAGTGTGGACAAATTGTGAGACACATTCTGTAACTTGTAATGCAAAGTCACAAAATTTACAATGTATGACCCTATTTCTTTAGTCTTTTGGAAAGAGAGGTAAGAGTTAAACTGTATCCCCCATAAATGGCTGAAATCTTAGAACATTTGACAATACTATAATTCATAAGTCTTAGGTTGCCAGCTGGAGCAATTACCAGAACCAATCTCTGTCTAAATTTAACACGTTTCAACAACACTACAAATCCATTCTTCCTTTAACAATAAATTTCAATTAAGATATATGGATTTGATTAAAAAAAAGACGTCACATTCTTTAAAATTCCACTAAAGAAAATATTAATAAAGAGGGTAATACCATCTTGACCTGTGACAGACAAATGAGCTGCTAGTAAATCCTACATAGTGCACACATCATTTAATTGATACATGTTTGGGTCTTTGGGAACATCGTCAGTTTACAGAGTTGTAAAAAAAGAGATGTGGTATGATTGCCAATGAGACAACTAGTTAAAAGTTAAACTAGTTTGCTGGTGCCAAACCCTCCCTGTAACCTGGGACAGTTACAATAAAAGAACAAACTAGAGTTAGGTGACTATATTTCAATGGTTTTTTTCTATTCAAAATGCAAGTGAATATACTAAACTATGTAATTTTAGTGTAAAATGGTACAAAAAGATATTGCATATGTATAATAAAATGCTTCGCTGGGCGCAGCTTGATACGACCACAGAGGTCGAACCCTTAACAGTTGGGGCAAGTATGGACACAACATTCAAGCTTGATACAGCTCTGAATTTGGATTGTGATTAAATATTTGACACAGCATAGGTTTCTGACACAGAAAGAATGTGGTCTAAGAACTTCAATTTTTTTAATTTACCTATTATGGTCCAATGTCCAAAATCAAAATACATGGTTAGATTCAGCATATCAAAGAACCCCATATATTCAATTTTTGTTGAAATCAAACAAAGTTTAATTTTGGACCCCAACTTGGACAAACTTGAAAACTGGTCCCATAATCAAAAATCTAAACACATGTTTAGATTCAGCATATCAAAGTACCCCAAGAATTCAATTTTTGTTAAAATCAAACCAAGTTTAATTTTGGACCCTTTGGACCTTAATGTAGACCAATTTAAAAAACGGGACCCAAAATTAAAAATCTAAAAACACGGTTAGATTTGGCATATCAAAGAACCCCAATAATTCAATTTTTGATGAAATCAAACAAAGTTTAATTTTGGACCCTTTTGACCTCAATATGAACCAATTTGATAGCAGGCCCACAAAATAAAAAATCTAAATACATGGTAAGATTCAGCATATCAAAGAACCCCATATATTCAATTTTTGTTGAAATCAAACAAAGTTTAATTTTGGACCCCAATTTGGACCAACTTGAAAACTGGGCCAAAAATCTAAAATCTAAATACATGTTTAGATTCAGCATATCAAAGAACCCCATATATTCAATTTTTGTTGAAATCAAACAAAGTTTAATTTTGGACCCCAACTTGGACAAACTTGAAAACTGGTCCCATAATCAAAAATCTAAACACATGTTTAGATTCAGCATATCAAAGAACCCCAAAAATTCAATTTTTTTTAAAATCAAACTAAGTTTAATTTTGGACCCTTTGGACCTTAATGTAGACCAATTTAAAAAACGGGACCCAAAATTAAAAATCTAAATACACGGTTAGATTTGGCATATCAAAGAACCCCAATAATTAAATTTTTGATGAAATCAAACAAAGTTTAATTTTGGACCCTTTTGACCTCAATATGAACCAATTTGATAGCCGGCCCACAAATAAAAAATCTAAACACATGGTAAGATTCAGCATATCAAAGAACCCCATATATTCAATTTTTGTTGAAATCAAACAAAGTTTAATTTTGGACCCCAATTTGGACCAACTTGAAAACTGGGCCAAAAATCTAAAATCTAAATACATGTTTAGATTCAGCATATCAAAGAACCCCATATATTCAATTTTTGTTGAAATCAAACAAAGTTTAATTTGGACCCCAACTTGGACCAACTTGAAAACTGGGCCCATAATCAAAAATCTAAACACATGTTTAGATTCAGCATATCAAAGAACCCCAAAAATTCAATTTTTGTTAAAATCAAACTAAGTTTAATTTTGGACCCTTTGGACCTTAATGTAGACCAATTTAAAAACAGGACCCAAAATTAAAAATCTAAATACACGGTTAGATTTGGCATATCAAAGAACCCCAATAATTCAATTTTTGATGAAATCAAACAAAGTTTAATTTTGGACCCTTTTGACCTCAATATGAACCAATTTGATAGCGGGTCCACAAATAAAAAATCTAAATACATGGTTAGATTCAGCATATCAAAGAACCCCAAGAATTCAATTTTTGATGAAATCAAACAAAGTTTAATTTTGGACCCTTTTGACCTCAATGTGGACAAAGTTGATAACGGGGCCCAAAAATCAAAAATCTAAATACATGGTTAGATTCAGCATATCAAAGAACCCCATATATTCAATTTTTGTTGAAATCAGACAAAGTTTAATTTTGGACCCCGATTTGGACCAACTTGAAAACTGGGCCCATAATCAAAAATCTAAATACATGTTTAGATTCAGCATATCAAAGTACCCTAAAAATTCAATTTTTGTTAAAATCAAACTAAGTTTAATTTTGGACCCTTTTGACCTTAATGTAGACCAATTTGAAAACGGAACCAAAAATTAAGAATCTAAATACACGGTTAGATTCGGCATATCAAAGAACCCCAATAATTCAATTTTTGATGAAGTCAAACAAAGTTAAATTTTGGACCCTTTGGACCTCAATGTGGACCAATTTAAAAACGGGGCCCAAAATCCAAAAACTTAATACACGGTTAGATTCAGCATATTAAAGAACCCCAAGAATTCAAGAATAAAACCCCATTGAAATTGATCAAAAAATAAGCAATTTATACGAAGTATCTTCTTTTGCACAATACTGTGCAATTGAATATTTCTTGCTATTGTGCAATACTGTACAATTGACAATTTCTTGCTATTGCGCAATATTGTGCTATTGGATATTTCTTGCTATTGCGCAATACTGTGCAATTGAAGATTTCTTGCTATTGCGCAATACTGTGCAATTGAAGATTTCTTGCAATTGTGCAATACTGTGCAATTGAAAATTTCTTGCTATTGCACAATACTTATTATATAATAATTTACACATCCTGTTTGGTGTGTATCTCCTACCATATCATTATTATTTGCTTTTAAATATTAATCAGAAATAACCAACTTAAAATGGAAAATTTTAAAAGAAAAAAAAAAGGAAAAAAAGAAAAAAAAAGAAAAAAAAAAATCCCCCCCCCCAAATTTTTTGAACCCCCTTATGATTCATCACCCCCAAACTCAATCCCAGCCTTCCCTTTGTGGTATGGTACCTTGCAGTACAATTTCAGAGAGATCCATACACTTGAACACAAGTTATTGTCTGGAAACTAGAAAAATGCTTATTTTTGGCCCCTTTTTGGCCCCCAATTCCTAAACGTTTCGGGCAATTACCCCCAGACTCAATTCCAGCTTTCCCTTTGTGATATGGAACCTTGTAGTACAATTTCAGAAATATCCAAACACTTACACACAAGTTATTGTCATGAAACTAGAAAAATGCTTGTTTTTTGCCCCTTTTTTGGCCCCTAATTCCTAAAATTTTGAGGCAATTACCCCCAAAATCAATTACAGCCTTCCCTTTGTGATATGGAACCTTGTGGTACAATGTCAGAGAGATCCATACACTTACACACAAGTTATTGTCTGGAAGTTACAAAAATGCTTATTTTTGGCCCCTTTTTGGCCCCTAATTCCTTAACTGTTGGTACCATAACCCCCAAAATCAATCCCCACCTTCCTTTCGTGGTATTGAACCTTATGGTAAAATTTCATGGAGATCCATTCACTTAAACTAAAGTTAGAGTGCGAAAACCAATGTGTCTTCGGACGACGCCGGACGACGACGACGACGACGACGACGACGACGACGACGACGACGACGACGACGACGACGACGACGACGACGACGACAACGCCAATGTCATACCAATATACGACCAAAAAATTTTCAATTTTTGCGGTCGTATAAAAAGGGGTTTAACACAGAATTTGTTATCATGCCTATTAATATTCAGAAGGAAACATGCTTACTAAAAACAACAAAAATCAAAACCTTTAGTTTTTTTTCCTGTTATTTATCCATAATATCTAACTTTAATTTCTATGCTTTTATATTTTAAAAAGAAAGTCGAATAGATAAATATAGATATTTGGATAAATTAAATATCATTATGTTCAAAAATAATTTTAGTTTTCCTTAAATTTCATCAAAAAAATAATAATAATTATTTACCATTTAAAAACAGCAATCTGATTTTTTTTAATGATAGTTACCATTTATTATTTTCTTAATTAGAAAACCTATATCAAGACCAGTCACAAATAAAGAAACATTTTGATGTTAAAAATTAATAACTGTTAATGCAGAGATATGTTCCACCTGTATGTAATTTTGTTGGCATAATGCTAATGATGAAATTAATATGGCAACACTATATTACATGTAAACAATGCAAAATGTTCAAAGTTAATAAACTATGACTTAAGGTTTGGTCCAAATAATCTCTGTGGAAATGATATGCCAATGCTTATACAACTGCATACAAAATGTCATTTACCATAAGAAGTTCCCCTTAAACTGACCTAATCGCAAACTTTAGCATGTACGCTATGCAAAAGTTTAAGCTAATAGACCATGACAGAAGAGTCTGGGCTAGTATATCTCCTTGAAAATGACATAAGCTAATTCTAATATAACTGCATACCAAATACCATTGACTGACAATTAGTGGTTCCCGTAATACTGAATTAATCACAAACTTTAACATGTAAACTATGCAAAAGTTTCAAGGTCAACAGACCATGAACGAGGGCTCTAATGAAATAATCTCATTGAAATTGAAATGTGCTAATGCTGATACAATTGCATACCAAATATTATTGACTGTCTACTAGGGGTTCCCTTTAGACTGACCTTATAAAAAAATTGAACATGTAAACTATGCAAAAGTTTTAAAGTCTAAAGACCATGACTGAGGAGGGGGGACCAAATAATTGATATGAAAATGAGATATGCCAAAAGCTAATATAACTGCTTACTATATATATTTGACTTAACATACCAGTAAGTGGTTCCTCTTAAACTGACTTTATCACAAACTTTAACATCTAAACTATGCAAAAGCTTTACAGTCAATAGACCATAATTGAGGAAGAGGGATCAAATAATTTCCATGGAAATGAGATTTGTTTATGGTAATACAACTACATACCAAATATCATTGACTTACCCTTAGCGGTTCCTCTTAAACTACCCTTATCACAAAGTTTACATAAATGTTGACTCTGCTGCCTCCACGACTTTGTTGAGACAAGACAATAAAAACTATTACACTGCAATATTTTAAACTATGAGAGAATTATATGAAAAACTATGAACACTTTTTTTAAGCTGAAATTTTCAGGATTTAGAATAAAATCCAAAAATCCAAAATATTTTTTGTGTGTGTAATTCAAACAATATTCTTGTAGAAGCCCAAAAGTTATAATTGAATTTACTCATTTAAAATGTGGTGAAGTACTTAAAAGAATATACAGGTACTTAATTTTACTTTCTTTACTTATGTGACTAATGAGAAAAAAAATTTAATGAAGACAAGGGATTAGTAAAACATCCTATAACAAACTTACTTTCAAGCAATATTTCCAAGATTCATGCAATGTAAAATATTAAAGAAAATAAGGTTTATTAAAATACATAAATGACCATATTATTATAAAATAATTCATTCTTCAAAGCTCACCAGATTAATGATGTTTTCACTCACACAATGTTGTCCGCGGGTCTGTTATAAGAAAATAATCTTCTAAATATAAATGAATTATATATTCAATACTAACAGGTATGAGAAGTCCTAATGTCTTATCTCTTCAGAAGACAATTTTATCATGGAGGTTTTTTATGAACTAGAGAGGTGATCTACGAGATCACAGATATCACCACCCTTGTAGCACCTGAGAGATCATGATTTTGTTTAGTGGTCCAAAACATTTCATTAAATTTCAATTAATTGCAAAAAGCAGTTCTCAATTCATCATCTGGAAACCACAATTCTTTTTAATTTTTCCAACAATCACATATAACTCTGGTGAAAACAATGAAAATCGAACTAAATATGTCTTTTTTAATCCAAAACATGCCCAATAAATATCAATTCATTTTTCAAAAAGAGTTACCTTTCAATCATCTGGAAACTAATTTTTCTTTTTTTTTCAACAATCAAGAACCATTACTCTGGAACGGTACAAGTGAAAACGACGAAATTTGAACTTAATTTCAATAAATTGGTTCTCTATTTCAATTAAGTACAAAAAGCAGTTGTCTATTTACCATCAGGAAACCAAAAAAGTGACGGAGACAGATATACGAACTGACAGATGGGCCGACAGACAGACGGACATGAGGATGCCTATATACCCCTGAATCTGTAGAGGGAAGAAAACTAGCTATTTTCTACAACTATTTTGTATGAAAGGAAAGGACACTCCTAGAAATAATATGTCATAGTACTTACAAATGTAGTAGTTATCTTGCTTTTTAATTTGTCTGAAATAAAAATTATCATTATGAATTAAACTGAAAATTGAATTATTAAAATATAAACAAGAATGTGTCCATAGTACACGGATGCCCCACTCGCACTATCATTTTCTATGTTCATTGGACCGTGAAAATTGGGGTAAAAACTCTAATTTGGCATTAAAATTAGAAAGATCATATCATAGGAAACATGTTTCAAGTTGATTGGACTTCAACTTCATCAAAAACTACCTTGATCAAAAACTTTAACCTGAAGCTGGACAGACGGACAAACGGACAAACAGACGGACGGACAAACGGACGGACGCACAGACTGAAAAAACATAATGCCCTCTACTATTGTCGGTGGGGCATAAAAATAGTTAATTTTTCATAATGGGAAAACCAAGTAGTAATGAAACCACTGCTATATGTATTGGTTAAACAGGAAGTTGATGAGTGATGGATCTAAAAATCAAAGGGCTGGATAGCACCTGTGGAAAGTTTGCAACGGTAGATGTGTATTATTTCAAATAGGTTGTAGATGTGTATTATTTCAAATAGGTTGTAGATGTGTATTACTTCAAATAGGTTGTACATGTGTATTATTTCAAATAGGTTGTAGATGTGTATTATTTCAAATATGTATTTAATCACAGCTTTGGTGTTTTTCCCTAAACAATTGTCTCATCAGCAATTATCAAAAATCACTTTTTTCATATGTTTGTCATGTAAAATTTTGATAATTTCTATTGCAACCTTAAACTGTAGATTTAAAGTAATCAAATATACAGAAAGCTCTGTCAATTTCTTTCTGTACCCATCCCATGTAAAGGGCCTGTGATTAAGTATTTTTTATTGATCAAGGTCCTTCATATTTGTTTGTAGTCAATTGTATTATTACTAATTAAGCAGTTAGTTTTCTTGTTTGAATTGTTATATATTGAACAAACTCAGACTACGATTAGTAGATTGTGTGGTTAACGTTTTTTTCCGACTTCTATAATTTTTTACTTAATACAAGAAATAATTGTAACAGGATGCTGTTACGAAGTCTCCCAAACAAAGCTCCCATAATTAGTCATTCCCATGGTCGCCTGACAGTACAAATTGATTTGGTCTAGTGAAGTGATATGCATAAGCGACGCCGAGGGATTAACCCTGTATGTCATTCAAATCTTCTTGAAATCATGAACAGGAATATATATGGTTTAGGGGTGGGGATCTCGACCGTTTACAAGTTCTCAAAAAAGGGGGGGTTGATTCTCAGGGGACTCTTTATTTCATTTGATTTGTTTTATTATCCCATACATGAATATATATGGTTTAGGGGTGGGGATCTAGACCGTTTACAAGTTCTCAAATAGGATGGAGTGGGGTGATCCCCAGGGACTCCCCCTATATTTCATTTGATTTGTTTTATTGTCCCATACAAGAATATATATGGTTTACGGGTGGGGATCTCAACTGTTTACAAGTTCTCAAACAGGAAGGGGTGGGGGTGACCCCCAGGGACTCCCCCTATATTTCATTTGGTTTGTTTTATTGTCCCATACAAGAATATATATGGTTTAGGGGTGGGGATCTCGACCATTTACAAGTTCTCACACAGGATGGGGTGGGGGTGACCCCCAGGGACTCCCCCTATATTTCATTTTATTTGTTTTATTGTCCCATACAAGAATATATATGGTTTCAAGGTGGGGATCTAGACCATTTACAAGTTCTCAAACAAGAGGGGGTGGGGTGACCCAGAGGGACTCTCGCTATATTTCATTTGATTTGTTTTATTATCCCATACATGAATATATATGGTTTAGGGGTGGGGATCTCGACCGTTAACAAGTTCTCAAACAGAATGGGGTGGGGTGATCCCCAGGGACTCCCCCTATATTTCATTTGATATGTTTTATTGTCCCGTACAAGAATATATTTGGTTTTGGTGTGGGGATATCGACCATTTACAAGTTTTCAAAAAGAAGGGGGATGGGGGTGACCCCCGTAAACTTCCCCTATATTTCATTTGATTTGTTTTATTATCCCATACAAGAATAAATATGGTTTAGGGGTGGGGATCTCGACCGTTTACAAGTTCTCACACAGGATGGGGTGGGGGTGACCCCCAGGGACTCCCCCTATATTTCATTTTATTTGTTTTATTGTCCCATACAAGAATATATATGGTTTAGGGGTGGGGATCTCGACTGTTTACAAGTTCTCAAACAGGAGGGGGTGGCGGTGACCCAGAGGGACTCCCGCTATATTTCATTTGATTTGTTTTATTATCCCATACATGAATATATATGGTTTAAGTGTGGGTATCTCGACTGTTTACAAGATAAAAGCCCATTCTCAAATTGAAAGGGGGTGGGGTGACCCCAGGGACTCAACCTATATTTCATTTGATTTGTTTTATTGTCCTGTGATCATTACTGAAGACCGCGTGTGTCTATCACTTACTGTTCTCAAGTTATAGTCATTTGAAAATTTAAAAAAATAAAATCCCATATTGTTCTTTAGTAAATCCCTCCCTTCTGTAGGCCCCTTAAAATACCCACAAATAGACCCCAAGAAGAAAAATAATAAGAACTGAGCAAAAACAAAAAGTCTCCAAACTTTGTTTGGGAGACTTAATAACAAATAGTATATACGAATTTTGTTATAGTCCGATTGTGTAATAGGCCTAGTTTGTTATAGTCCGAGTCTGTTATGGGCCGAGATGAGATACCAGGTTACTTTCGATACACTCAGGCTTTTACGTCTTTAATAAACATTTGTAATAATCGTAGTAAAAATAGCGTCGAAAAATGTTCATTCATGAAATATTTTAAACACAGTATTTATTTTCTCTTCAACAGGAAGACGGGAGGAAACCCCTGAAACCGAGATATTGTACTCCCGTCGGGAGGTACACATATATGGATCTCACGCATGTCTGGGGAATACCGATAAAAGCATAACTTAGAAACTGCTGTCTCGTGTAGATGTGTATTGATTTTAATTTCCGCACAGCGCAGATCCGCGAAGTAGTGTTTGTGATAGCAATTTTCAAAATGAATCTTTTTAAATTATCGATGAACATTCAGTACATTTTAATTCAAGCTGTAAGCTAATCAAAATAGAAATAACTCAAAATTTCAAAAGCATCTTCCTAGAATTAGTATTCAAACACTAGTACTACATTATCTAGGAGTAGAACACTTGCGATAGTCTGTCCAACTTCCGGTTTGAGGCCGATGCCTTAGGAAAGTATATTGCTACAGCAAGCTATAGTAAACTTTCCAAAAACATCATACTAAGGATTTGTATACTATACAAATCCTTGATCACACTGTAAAGCATGCTCACAAGAAGGTAGATTCCAAATTTCAGAAAGTCCTGAGAAAAGTGCTGCAAAAATTTCATATATGGCTTTTATATGTAAGAATATATAAATATTCTGTAAACAAAAACAGGATATGAGCAATGAATCAGAAAATGCATCACACAGTATAACATGTTAATATGCAGCTTGATACTAAATTCCAAGAAGCTGTGATGTGTAGTTCCTGAGAAATATGCAACCAAATTTTAAACATTACCATTTAACATATTCTTACTTCTATATTGATTTAGCTAGGAATTATACTACTGTGGATTCATTATTATTCTTGAAATACCAATTTTAGTGGATTTTATGGGTGAAAGGTGAAGCAAAGGTAAATACTGATTCCCTGCAGTGCAGATCAATGGTGAGAAGTAAATAGCAAACCATGTGTTATTTTAATTTACAAACATTTCCAGCTTTAAAATCATTTAGTCTGATTACAAGTATGTTCATTGTTGAAAGGCAAAAGACCATAGTCAATTTGTTTGAGTTTCTGAAAGGGCTATAACTGTGCCAAAACCAAGTATTTCTGCATCATATTCAAAGCATATCTAACATGATTGAAATACGGATCCTGTATCCACCCTTAGCTTACGGGATCTGACAATGCTCTGTTCTATTTTCCCATTTAAAGTCCTTTCAGGTCCTCATTTTTTGGTAATGATACATGTACACTTTTAAAAACTTGGAAGTAAAAATTTCATTGGCTGATATAACAATTACCAGAACAGAAAGTAGAATGGAGTGACTGTGTTGTCATAACCTTGTTGGCAAAGTGTGGGCACAGGATCTGATTGATGTATACAAATCCTAGCTCTAATGTTTCAATCTAGAATCCTATACCTTTTATAGGCTTTAACTGTCCTTTCACATCTTCTTTATATCTTACACCTGCCACTAAAGGTAATTATCTTTCTTATTGTATTTTCTTATGATTCTAATGACTTTGCTTTGTGACAACAAAATTATTTCATTAAGCTAAACTTCAAGTTTTAAAAATAATTTCAGTGTTTGACTCATACATTCTGTATGTGTGAGCCTGTAATTCAGTGGTTGTCGTTTTTTGCTGTTTATCAATTAAGTTTTTTGTTTATTGTTTTTTCACATTAATCAAGCCACAAGTTTTTTCGTTTAAATTGTTTTACATTTTTCATTATGGGACCTTTTATAGTTTGCTATTTAGTATGCGCTTCACTTATCATTGAAGGCCGTAAGTCAACCTATAGTTGCTAACCTTCTATGTCATTTGGTCTCTGGTGGAGAGTTGTCTCATTGGCAATCATACCACATCTTATTTTTATATCAAAATTAATACCAATGATCTTGATTTATTAATTTGAATTCCTGCATGATTGAAAAACTAAGGGTTAAATGTAGCACAACACTTTAATTCAGTACAATATACAGATAATGTTTTCCCTTCAAATATCAGCTGCTTCATACATTAAGATTTTAAGCTTGTTTGTGGTGCTCACTATATATTATTATTTCTATTTGCAGCTGACTTTTTACAATATTAGTACACAGGAAACAAAGTTACTTAAATAAACACATATTCACTCACCAGTCATGGATGTACTGGCCTTTACAGTTTCATGTGTTGGTTCAGGGTCATCATATTCTCGTTTAGGAATGGCTGGGGCATCATTCTAAAATATGTTATCATAGCAATAGAAAATAAAAAGATAATGGGTGATTTAAATCTTGCCCTATGACATTGGTTTTCATCCATCATTGATGACTAGATGGTGACCTCATTATATATCTATTCATGATGCAGTGCAGTCACATAGATGTTTACCTCACATATCCTTCTATGCAGAGACAAATCTTGCAATGTTAAGCTTTAATGTTTCAGTCAGCAATTCAAATGCCATGCAATTTTAGATAGGCTTGATATTATACTAAATTTGTTTTCAACATGACCATTAATAAAATGCTCCGCTGGGGCGCAGCTTGATACGACGGCAGAGGTCGAACCCTGAACAGTTGGGGCAAGTATGGACACAACATTCAAGCTTGATACAGCACTGAATTTGATTGTAATTAAATATTTGACACAGCATAGGTTTCTCACACAGAATGAAAGTGGTCTAATAACTTAAAAAATTTTAATTTACCTATTCAAACCATATCATTATTATTTGCTTTTATATATAAATCAGAAATAACCAATTTAAAATGGAAAATTTTAAAGAAAAAAAAGGAAAAAAAAATCCCCCCCCAAATTTTTTGAACCCCCTTATGATTCATTACCCCCAAACTCAATCCCAGCTTTCCCTTTGTGGTACGGTACCTTGCAGTACAATTTCAGAGAGATCCATACACTTGAACACAAGTTATTGTCTAGAATCTAGAAAAATGCTTGTTTTTTGGCCCCTTTTTGGCCTCTTATTCCTAAACGTTTAGGCCAATAACCCCCAAACTCAAACCCAGCTTTCCCTTTGTGATATGGAACCTTGCAGTACAATTTCATAAAGATCCATACACTTACACACAAGTTATTGTCCTGAAACTACAAAAATGCTTGGTTTTTTGCCCTTTTATGGCCCCTAATTACTAAAATTTTGAGGGAATTACCCCCAAAAATCAATCCCAGCCTTCCCTTTGTGGTATGGTACCTTGCAGTACAATTTTAGAGAGATCCATACACTTGAACACAAGTTATTGTCTGGAAGTTACAAAATGCTTATTTTTGGCCCCTTTTTGGCCCCTAATTCCTTAACTATTGGTACCATAACCCCCAAAATCAATCCCCACCTTCCTTTTGTGGTATTGAACCTTATGGTAAAATTTCATTGAGATCCATTCACTTAAACTAAAGTTAGAGTGCGAAAACTAATGTGTCTTCGGACGACAACGACGACGACGACAACGTCATACCAATATACGACCACAAAAATTTTTTTGCGGTCGTATAAAAAGCTTCTGTCCAAGTTTCATTAAATTCCATGAAGGTTTGTCTTGTCAGATGCACAGACCAAAAACATAAATGCCCCTATTGCATAACAAGAGTGCACAGGCTGAAATGTCTCGCCTTCTTTACTAACCATTGATTTTATGTTGATACTTGATAGTCCTAAATATGAAGCTTTACTACAACTGTCACATAAACTTAACATGATCCAAGAAACTGAGGTCAAGGTCAGATAAACCAAACTGGAAAATACATGTACACCTTACAATCATTCCATACACCAAATATGCTTTAAATATAGTTGACCTATAGCACATCTAAGAAACAAACTTAACCAGGAAAACTTAACATTAACCAATGAACCATGAAAATGAGGTCAAGGTCAGATGAACCCTGCTAGACAGACATGTACACCTTACCATCATTACATGCTTTAAATATAGTTGACCTAATGTAGATCGTATCTAAGAAACAAACTTAACCAGGAAAACTTAAGATTGACCAATGAACCATGAAAATGAGGTCATGGTCAGATGATAATTGCTAGACAGACATATACACCTTACAATCATTCCATACACCAAATATAGTTGACCTATTGCTCATCGTATTAGAAAAACCGATAAAAAACAAACTTATCATTGAGCAATGAACCGTAAAAATGAGGTCAAGGTAAAATTAAATATGCCAGACTGACATGAAAATGAGGTCATGGTCAGATGATAATTGCCAGACAGACATATACACCTTACAATCATTACATACACCAAATATAGTTGACCTATTGCATACAGTATTAGAAAAACAGACCAAAACATAAAAACTTAACTTTAACCACTGAACCATGAAAATGAGGTCAAGGTCAGATGACACCTGCCAGTTGGACATGTATACCTTACAATCGTTCCACACACCAAATATAGTAGACCTATTGCTTAAGTATCTGAGATATGGACTTGACCACGAAAACTTAACCTTGTTCACTGATACATGAAATGAGGTCAAGGTCAAGTGAAAACTGTCTGACGAGCATGATAACCTTGCAAGGTACGCACATACCAAATATAGTTATTCTATTACTCATAATAAGAGAGAAAATAAGAATACTAAAAATTTTAACTTTTTTTTCCAGTAGTCACAGGCTCAACAAAAAACTGAAAACCTTCAAAATAATCTTCCTTAATTTAATGTCATAGCAATACAGTGAAAGACAAGTATGAGCTAAATAACTTTTAAGATTTTTGCTGACCTTTAGTAGTTAATTTCTAGATAACTCTCTTATGTTGAATGAAGTTACTCCTTTCTTTCAATATGTTTTGATTAATTTCTTAGTGATATCTTTTGTATGGTAAAATTTTCAAACTTGTGACTTTGCTAAATTTAAGAGGGGTCTTTCAGTGATTTGATCATATGTTATTGAAAAGCATGATAAATGCAGAGTATCCAATTACATTTAACGACATCTTGGTGTACATTTGAAAGAAAAATTGTTTAAAAGACTAGGTGTTATCTACTTACCTCATTATCTCCAACTGGAAAGAAAGAAGAAAATGAATAAAAATAATTTAAGTTGTCATTATTTAGAACTTGTTGATTCATGTTCTAGTAAAATTTCTTCTATAACTAGTGTGAATAAATGGTGTTTTACAGACATTATAAAATTGAGATAATTAACAAGCATTCTGAGAGTATTGCATGGCAATACATAGTCCCCTACCGGTTAAAAAATCATTGTACTGGAACAAAATGATAACTTGATCTATAACTTGTCATGGTGTAAACTATATAACAAATATCAAGTCAATATCTTCAAGCATGACGAAAAAAGTGGAAAACTGATTATTTAAGTGAATTTTCTACATCCAAGGATCATAACTCTGCACAAAATCATCAGACTGGAACAAAATTTGAACTTGATCTGTAACTTGTCATGATAAAACAGTACACCAAATATCAAATCTATATCTTCAAGCATGCAGAAAAAAAGTGTGGAAAACTGATTTCCCGGACTGACTGATGGACAGACAGACAGACAGACAGACAGACAGACAGACAGACAGACAGACAGATGGAGTGCAAACCTAAAGTCCCCTTTGACTTCGTCAGTAGGGGACTAATAAATAAATACAATATGTGAAAATTGTCTATCAAGGTGTGGGATTTTCTCGCTGTGTTGAAGACCCATTGGTGGCCTTTGGTTTTTTTGTTATCTGCTGTTTGGTCGGGTTGTTCACACATTCCCTGTTTCTATTCTCTATTTTATCCCTTTTCTTTTTCTGAAACATTTTTTTATTAAGATAATATGATTAAGAAAATACTCTGCTTTGTACTATACTGACAAACTGAGCTGAATTTTAACTGAGCTAGCTCACAAGGAAACAGTCTGCGAAAAGGCATGCTCCCTTAACTAGACACATAATTTAGACCTCAAGCCAGTCTTTGGCGCCTTCAAACTAGTTTAACCCCGTTACATTCTGTATGTGCCTGTCTGGAGTCAGGAGTCTGTAATTCAGTGGTTGTCATTTGTTGCTGTGTTACATATTTGTTTTTCGTTCATTATTTTGTACATAAATTAGGCCATTAGTTTACTCGTTTGAATTGTTTTAAATTTTTCATTTCGGGGCCTTTTATAGCTGACTATGCAGTATGGGCTTTGCTCATTGTTGTGTATATCTGTGTATGTTTGTCCATTTCTGAAAGGAAATAAGGTTGTTATAGCACAATAAGGCATTGACTCTAATATCGCTATTATTTTTTTTGGATGGAAATGGGATTGACTGAAAAGGTGGTGGTAATTAATTCTTAAATATTTGGGATTACATGTATGAAGGGTAAATGGAAATTTAAAATTTTCAAGGATGGGGCCTAATTTAGTAAATGGGGCCCCACTCTGCATGAACCCTCTAGGGAAAACTCAGAAGTCGACACACGTAAAAATTTTTAATTTTTGTAAAAAATTCTAAATTTCAACAACTCTCCATTTTAAAGGGAAAAAAAATCAATTTTGTGAAAATGACTGAAAAGATCAAAATGGTGAGAATATTAACTATATTCAGTGACTAAACTCTGATCAAGGCAAATGGGATGTCCAGTTCTTCCAAAACAGGAAGACATAATCCAATAATGCAAGTAAAAAATTTTACTTCATATATCATATACCTGCTGAGTATAATCCGTCTGAAGGTAAAACAACCTCCTCATACTGTCTACCTTTTGGTGCTGATTTAATTGATTGCGTCATGGTGATTGTTTCATATGCAGAGTCCTTTGGTACAGGTTTTGATAAACTGCCTTTGTTCACTTCAGAATAAACACTATCTTGTACTGCATGTGTGCTTTTCCCATTACCTTTATCAGGAACTACATGTGTGGGTTTACCATTACCTTTATCAGGAACTGCATATACTGAATCTGAATTAACAGTCACATGATTTGAGGAATTCCTACTTTGTTCTTCAATAGGTTTTGCCAGTTCATAGTTTTCACTACTTGCAGCACTTTGTAACCTCTTAACTGACCCCTGATGACCTATTCCCTTTTGAGGCTTGTTTCCTTGTGTAATGGTTGAATCTGTTTTCGTACAATTAATAACTGAAACAAATTTAGGTTTATTTTCAACAACTGATGATTGTGGTGAAACAGGTCCAGCAAATCTTGGCCCACTCATTTGTAATGGTGGTAAAGAGGATACTTCAGATGGCTGCGGTTTTCCAGAAAAGGCAAATTGAGGTCCACTTGGTGGGGTAATCTGTGAAACTAAAGTTGTTCTAGGGGCTACTTCTGGTAACACACTTTGATCAGATTTGTTTTGAACTGATTTTGTTTGGCTCACAGGACGTTTGGGTGCTGAGTCAGAAATAAGTTTTGGGTTGCTTAATTTTTGGCCTAACTCTGTATGAGATTTGTTTTTCTTTTTCTCAAATGAAGCACGTCTTTGCTGAACTGTTAAAGCTGGAGTTGCATCCACCTCATCTTTTGGTTTTTCCGTATCCTCCGATGCAACCTTAGGTGTTGTATTTTCATAATTTTCTTGAAACACATTTACATAAGGTTTTTTAACCAAATTTTCAATTTCTTTTTCTGGTTCAGGTTCATGTTCAATCTTTTTTACAACATCATTGTTAGTTTCTATAATAACTGGTTCCCTGCTAGAAGTTGCTGGAGATTCCTCTGTACTGTCATACATTCTAACAGTGTCTAACACATCCAATTGTAACTTCTTAAAATCAGATGATGCATCTGCGTAATTATCATCTTCCTCTAAAAAATTATATAAAAGTTTTTTTAACATAGATGAAAAATTGATTACATTGCAAGGAATACCATTGAAACAATACACAGTTACATGTAGTTGTTTTTAATCAACTATTTTGTATCTTTCAGAAAGAAAAATAAGGTGAAAACAAAAAGATTAATTTTAATGAGACTCTTTCCAGTCAATTTTTGTTTATATATACAAAAATATTTCTAAATTTACAGTAACAAGCATTCTGAGAGTATTGCGTGGCAATATATAGTCCCCTACCGGGTAAAAAATCATTATACTGGAACAAAATGCTAACTTGTTCTATAACTTGTCATGGTGTAAACAAAAAGAAAATATCAAGTCAATATCTTCAAGCATGACTAAAAACAGTGTGGAAAACTGATTATATGAGTGAATTTTTCAAGTCCAAGGACTATAACTCTGCACAAAATTATCAGTCCGAAACAAAAATTTGAACTTGATCTGTAACTTGTCATGATAAAACTATATAACAATTATCAATCAATATCTTCAAGCATGATGAAAAAAAGTGTGGAAATTACTCTAACATTTGATGTGATTAATAGTTCTCTAAAATTAGATATGATGTAATACAATGTATATTTATTTTCAAGTTCTAACCAAATAGAATTAAAAGTTCCAAATATTTTTTCCTTCATTTGTCACAAACTAATATAGATTTGTAACTTATCTATAAAATGTCAACAGCATTTATCTATACACAATGTAATGTAATGAAATATATACCTTAATAAAAATAGATTATTATCTAATTAAAAGATTTCACTTCATAACTTTTTTTTATGTATATAGCATTCAGAAAATTAGTTTAAACAAAATAAAAAACACTTCAAACAATTAACCAAAGAATGTCTTTAAAAAAATGAGTTATCTCTCTTTGTACAGAAATATGGTTTCACATACAAAATGTAGTACTCTAACATTAGATATGGACCATGATAACTCTGGACTAAATCATCAAACCGGAACAAAATTCAAACTTGATCTATAACTTGTCATGATAAAACTTTATACCAAATATCAAATCAATATCTTTAAGAACAAAGAAAAAAAGTGTGGAAAGCTGATTTGCCGGACTGACGGATGGACAGACAGACGGACGGACAGAGTGCAAACCTAAAGTCCCCTTCGACTTCGTCGGTAGGGGACTAAAAAAATGCAGGTTGATGTTATTTTCTCTTTTAAAATTTAGTTTTTCAAACACATTACTGAAATGGGAGTTAGCTTTATAAAACATGGAATTTCATACATATATTATATGACAAATACCTGATTGAAAATCCTTATGTGAATGGAAGTTTAATTATTTGAGTGTTTATAAGTTTGTCTGTTAGGTTGACCATCTAATCAATATTGCTTTTGTAAGTGAAAGAATTACATTCATTAATTCACAGAACATAAAACAAAGGGATACCATCAGAACTGGTTTAACAAGATTGTTTCTATATTTTCAATAATCTAAATAATTATTGAGGATTCACAAAACAAACAAACAAGGTTTATATAATACTTTATAACTAACTAAACACTATAATAGTATTGCTGTAAAATTTAACAAAGAGAGATGTTTTTTGTGATTCTTGTTCAATAACCTTTCCATGTAGTAGAGATAGTTTATCATGATTATATAAGAGGTCTGACTATATACTAAATACTGGTACCTATATTGTCCTCTACTTCATCCTGATCACCCTGGAAAAAAAAACAAAGAAAGATTTATCTCTTAATCAAGGTCATATATGTGATTTCCAAAGTCAGTTCTTTCCCTTACTTACTTTACTTAATTAAAAGTCAAACCAATCACTATAAAGGATTCTATTTTTCAATGATAAATTTACATAAAAAATAATGACTCTTCATTCATAAAAGCTGTTACTAAAATCAATTCTACTTTTGATTCATTAACAAAATTCATAATGCAAGTTTTTATTTTTGCAAACCCTATCCTGTCCCAATTTCGCAATAAAAACATCACAAATCTTAATTTACAGTGTTTAATGTCAACGCTTATTTTTTGTTTAAAAGTTCACCTTGTTTTTACAATTGTATATAAAAGCCTATAGTCAAGAATATAGTTTTAGGCCAAATTTAATTTCTGTTGCATTTTTGATTATTGTTTGCTTGACTCATAGCCTCCTCTGTTTGAACAGAAAAGGTGAACACCATACACAGAATTAAATTGTTTTGGCCTAATCATGGTCTCATTTTTTACTGCAATGCATGACCTAACTACTTAACAAACCTGGTAAGTTAACTAACAAAACTTTTGATGAACATACTATTGTAGAACAGCTATAATACTGCAACACTTACATTTCTTTTCAATTCTACATTCATATATTCACTTTCATTCATAATCTCAATGTGTTTCCTGAATAATTCCATCACTGCCAAATGTGCCATCTCATACTGTTCCTGTATAAAAATCAACAGAACGTTAACAATTATATAAATGAAATAGGCCATTTTACCTTAACTTTATGTTTTTATTTTCTTCATATTTTATGCTTCACAAAATAACCATATACATGCATCATGTAATATTTGTACAAGGTCTTTTCTGGTTAAATGGCTAACTTTTCCCCGACTTCTCTGGATTTTTATCAACATAAAAAGGTAGAGGATTTTTCAAGGAGAAAATTTTTGTGATTGCAATTGCTAACAATAGTAATAATGAATATTGAACCCCCCTAAAAAAAAACAAATATAGGGTCAAATTTGGTGCAATTTAACATAGTGTATTTAACATAGATGGATTAAAACTACAGAATACTAAGTGGTTTAACACATATATAATTATCTTTAGTAGATTTTGCTTAAGGAGAAACTCATCTATGATAAGAGGTCATTATGTAATACCAAAAGTGTACAGGAAAGCCAAGAGGAAAGAGCCAAACTGTTTTTAGAAAGGTTTCCTGACCCTGACCACAGTTCAAGCATATTGTTGTGCACATTATTGTTTTTATGACCATTTTCACCTCAAATTGTACCATCTCCATATTCTTTTGTCTAATACTCTGAATACAATAATTTGAATTAAAAATGATTTTCTTTAACACATGAAGTAAATTTAGACATCCAACAAACCATACATATATATAATGCAACTTACAGATGCACAAACTTTACATGTGTAGTTGGAGCAGCTTTCACAACCAAACAAATGTATATTTGAACATTTACACTTTCAAAATAGGCCTATTGTGATCAGCTTTATGAAGAAACGGTAACCGTCCCTTTATAGAATTGAGAAATAATAAACTTACTGGTGTCTGAATCATGGACTGCCTTTGTTCCCTCATACTTTTCACAATTTCATAGAGATTAAAATCCTCGCTCAGTTGCTGAAACAGATAAATTTTGATAATTTAATATTTTTAATGATACAACCCATGAACATTTAGGATTGAAAACTAGTATGGAGTTCTAGTCAAGATTTAATTATGATTCCAATTTAATGTGATAGTAATCTTGCAGACCTCTAATTTACAGATTACCATAGCTTTTATGCTGGTCATAAAGAGCTCTCAGGATATTGTCCTTAGTAGTTTCATGATAATGTGTGGTTTCTTGAGAAGAGTTCTTTCATTCATAACATTTCAACCATGATATGCAACAAGTATTTCAAATTAAAAAAAATTAATGTGGATAGAGCCCACATGTGGACACAGATGATGCCCCCGCTTGCATATCATATAGTTATAAAGGGACATAACTGAAGAACGGTAAAAGTGACGCTACCCAAATTTGAACTTGATCTGAGTTTTGTGGTAATAAGCATTGTGTGTAAGTCTCATAACATTTGCTTGAGGCTAACTTAAGTAGAGAACAGAAACTAAAAATTCAGCAATTTTTCTATTTGTAAACACGCATAACTCTAAAACGGTTGTGTATAAGTTTTATAAGATAAGGTTGAGACAAACTAAAAAATTAAGCAATTTTTATGTTAATAAAGGGACATAACTCAAGAATGGTAAAAGTGTCGCCACCAAATTTAGTACTTAATCTGTATTATGTAGTAATAAGCATTGTGTATAAGTTTCATAACATTTGGTAGAGGCACACTAAAGTTAGAAAACGGAAACAAAAAAATTGTACTTGATCTTAGTTTTGTGGTAATGAATATTGTGTATAGGTTTCATAATGTTTGGTTGGGGCAAATTTAAGTTACAGAATGGAAACCAAAAATTTTGCAATTTGTTGATTTATAAAGGGGTAAACTCAATAATGGTTAAAGTGACAATACCCAAATTTAACTTGATCTGTGTTTTATCAGTGGAAGTCAAAATTAAACATTGCATTGTATAAAGCATTGATTGTTGATTCAACTATAATCATGGACAAAAGAAGATAACTCCAATTTTAAAAATTACTTGATATTTAGAAGAAAATAAAAATTTTGCAATTTTTCCATTTATAAAGTGGCATAACTCTAGAACGGTTAAAGTGACGCCATCAAAATTCAAACTTGATCTGTGTTTTGTGGTAATAAGCATTGTGTATAAGTTTCATAACATTTGGTTGAGGCAAACTTAAGTCAGAGAACGGAAACTAAAAATTTTGCAATTTTTCCATTTATAAAGGGGCATAACTCTAGAACGGTTAAAGTGACGCCACCAAAATTCAAAACTTGATCTGTGTTTTGTGGTAATAAGCATTGTGTATAAGTTTCATAACATTTGGTTGAGGCAAATGTAAGTTAGAGAACGGAAACTAAATATTTTGCAATTTTTCCATTTATAAAGGGGCATAACTCTAGAACGGTTAAAGTGACGCCACCAAAATTCAAACTTGATCTGTGTTTTGTGGTAATAAGCATTGTGTATAAGTTTCATAACATTTGGTTGAGGCAAACTCAAGTTAGAGAACAGAAACCAATTTTGGGACATACGGACGTACAGACGGACGTACGTACAGACGGACAAGGGTAAAACTTAATGGGCATAAAAATCTGTTTTGATTAATGTAAGAACTGTGACAAAATACGAATCACCATAAAAAAAGAATTCACAAACTAAAGTTATATCTCTATTGCTGTATCATATAAATACCAAAATAACAAGGTCAAGGTCAAGATCAACAACACATGTAAGATGTAAGAAACAAATCTAATCCAGAAAACTTAACCTAAACTTTGGAGCATGATAATGAGATTAAATGATATTTGTCAAATGGGCATTTAACCCTTACAATGAATCCATAACTTCTGAGGAACAAACTTAATTCATAAAACTTGTAGCAAATGTTGTAATAAAAAAATCTAATACCCTAACCAAATCTCAGCAGAAAAAAATCTAATTAGTAATACCCTAACCAAATCTCAGCCGAAAAAATCTAATACCCTTACCAAATCTCAGCCGAAAAAATCTAAGGGCAAATAATCACAACCTTTTTCTAAAAAAATACAGAAATGATTGGGAAAGGACATTTATCAGCCAACAGTTCAAAAATATAAATATCTATAAAATAAAATATCAGTTAAATATCTATATATACACTTACACCACTTTTCAGTATTTCCCAGGCATAATCTATTGCACAAATAGTCCCTGTTCTACCACAACCAGCACTGAAAAACAATACAATTTATATTTTGAAAAATATTGCCTAATTATATCTTATGACTTACCTTGGACATATCTAACAAAACAATCAAATATCTTTATATGAACATTACATCTGGCTGAACATGTCTAATTAAACAGTAAATTACTACTTCAAAAAATGCATTTCAGTATAAGGAATAGCCCAGTAAGATCTATTAATTATATAAATGTGTGCTTGACATATAAAAGAAAACAAATGAAAACAGATGTGGTATGACAAGACTAACTGTTCTTAAATAATCCTTTCATTACTTTAATACAGGAAATAACTCCTTTCCCAAATTGACTGATAAAAAGAGTTTTCATAAAATACTTATGCTTTAATAAAAACATTTTTCATAGTAAGAACAGGCCAATCTAGAAATAATTGATAGGGAGAAATTTTGACTAAATATGTGTGACATACACCACGTTTGAAATGATTGCCCAAATTATCCATTATGGGAGAAGTGAGACTTACTGAGGAGCACTTTGATGTGCACTTAAAAATACTTTTTTGTAACAATTCAAATGATAATAAATAACTCTCAATAACATATATACTATATGTTTGAACAAGTAATTTAAATGTAGATAATTTAATTACATTAAACATTCAATTTTGCATGTATAACTCCATCTTTCAAAACTACTTGTTTATTTTTATAGACTGGTATAAGTTATAAAACATTGAAATTTCTGATGATTATTTTCCTTATCAAATGTACAAGTTTGTTTAGATTAACATCAAAATGATATGCTTTGCTTCATGGTATGATAATTTGATAAAAAAAAAATTCTTACTGGAACCAACATCAAGAACACATTAATTTCTGAATATGGTTTAAATACAACTAATGTTCTCCAGCTGCATGAGCCTAGCAATATTCAAGGTAATTTATACACTGTCCAACAGTGCCCTTAAAATCTGGGTTATAACGCTAAAGTGCCCTTTCAGACAACTAGCACCCTTCTGCCCTGAGATTCAAGCTGGAACACTGTGAGTGCTAGTTAGACAAGATTGCTGAGCCAAATAAATGAGGAATTAAATTATGTGACACAATGTGTCATTGTGGTATGATAGTCAAAATATGGTAAAAGTCCAGTTACTCCCATAAAGTGGTCAAATAAAAATGACAATATAATGTGGTCAACTACACATGATGGAAAACAATTCTACCAAGTATGAGAGCTTTCACAGGGTGACACTATTACAATCCTACCAAGTATGAGAGCATTCACTGGGTGACACTATTACAATCCTACCAAGTATGAGAGCTTTCACAGGGTGACACTATTACAATACTACCAAGTATGAGAGATTTCACAGGGTGACACTATTACAATACTACCAAGTATGAGAGCTTTCACAGGGTGACACTATTACAATACTACCAAGTATGAGAGCTTTCACAGGGTGACACTATTACAATCCTACCAAGTATGAGAGCTTTCACAGAGTGACACTATTACAATCCTACCAAGTATGAGAGCTTTCACAGGGTGACACTATTACAATCCTACCAAGTATGAGAGCTTTCACAGGGTGACACTATTACAATCCTACCAAGTATGAGAGCTTTCACAGGGTGACACTATTACAATCCTACCAAGTATGAGAGCTTTCACAGGGTGACACTATTACAATACTACCAAGTATGAGAGCTTTCACAGGGTGACAATATTTATACAATACTCCAAAAAAGTAGTTAAAGTCCTACAACTCCTATAAAATGGGGGGAAAAATATGGACAAATACTCATGATGGAAATAAAAGTATGAGAGCTATCTGTGAAACTGTCTCAGAGGAGATGCATTCACAAATATTATTGCTACATTTCTCTATAAAATGGTTAAAGTCCCATAATTTCTGTAAAAATGGTCAATTCAAAATGGTAGTACAAAACTACACATGACTGCTAATAATACAAATAAGTATAAGAGCTGTCGGTTAAAAGAATTCAGAGAAGTTGTGGTCACAAGGTGTCATTACTAAATTAGTTATAATACTAAAAACAATGGTCAAAGTCAAATAACTCCCATAAAAAATTGTCAAATCAAACTGACAATACAGCATGGTCAAGAGAATTTGGAAATAAATATTTCTGCCAAGTATAAAAGCTTTATTTCAAACATTCTCGGAGTATTATCTTGATTCGGTTGGATGGATGAATGGAAGGACGAACAGAGACCATAACCATATCACCTGTGGAGCGACTCACAGAGACAACAAAGATTTGTAAAATTTCTCCCTCTAAATAAATACCTGGTAATAATAACATCACTGACACTTTCTGTAAACAATCATATTTTTGCATTTAGCACTTTCTAGCTGACTTCAAAGTGATTTGTTTTAAAGGTTTTCTTACTTTATTAAAGAAAACTGAAGTTTGAAATACAGTTGCAACAACTTATATTCATGTTCTTTTTCCTCTTGCAAAAGAGGCGCAAATAAATTGCTTGTGACAATAAGCTGGTTTACAGTCTCCCTTTGATGAACAGTGAGTCAATACATTGTCCTACTAATATAAAAAGTTTTATATATACCCAGTATGTATTTTGAGAAAGAAACAATCCCTTACCTACAGTGAACAACAACAGCAGCATGGTTAGGATCTTTTGTTCTGATATCACGCATACGTTTTATCATTGCCAGAATAACATCAATATCATCAGGTATTCCATGATCTGGCCACCCTGTGTAGTGATACTGGTAAACATCTTGTATACCATTAGAAGTTATCAACTGTAGGTGGCGTTCAGTACAGTCATCGGCTAATTCCTCTTCTCTGATCTGAACAAAAAATATGTTAACTTAAATAAATTTATCTTACTATCAAATTGTGTACAAAGATATCTCTAATATCATAATTCCTCCCCTTTTTTCAGTAGATTAAAATGCATTTATATATCAGTTTATCAATTACTCCTCAAATGTCTCAACTACAGACCCTCTATTAGTGATTGCTTTTTATCACATGCATACAACAAAATATATTAAGAAATTATTTTTGAATTTGTTGGAAGTCATTTGCATTACTGCTTTTCCCTTACTGAAAGTTTAATACTGGCTTGATATAACAAAAATATTATATTATAAGAGTATACCATACTGAAAATAGTTTACATTGAACAAGAGAACCATACCAAACATTAAAAAAACAAAAACACAAAGGCAATAATAGTATGACAGAAAATTGCATCATTAATATTTTCTTTTTACTTACACATGCTACTTCATAATTTCCGAAGCGACCATGTTCAGCTCCTTCTTCAACCCAATACTGGGCACATTTTTTCTGTAATGAGGAAGCATAAGGTATTGCTGTGTATACCAAACAAAAGCCTTATTGTACACTGATGATGATCCATTAATGTCCAGTGCCAAATGTTACATGCATATTAAGATGAGAAAATGTTAATGTTATATGAATATAACCCTGTTTTGTACTTGACTAACACGCTGAGCCAGATTTTCAACTTGCTTGGTCACAGAGTAACATTCCCCAGGAAGACATGTCATCTTATTGAGTTCCCAAAATGTAACTTTTGTTAGATCTGATTTGGTTTTGTAATCATTTATATTCAATAGGTGTTTATCTAATGATTAGATTAGTGTTTACTTAATGTAGTAAATGAGCTGTTTTTTATGGTATATAATTCCTTGGATTATTATCTAGTCCCATATAATAATGTAAAGAGTTTTGTCTTCATTAGAAAATGACCAACATTTCTTTGTGAAAAATGTGTATGTAGAAATAAGAAGATGTGATATGAGTGCCAATGAGACAACTCTCCATCCAAGTCACAATGTGTAAAAAGTAAACAATTATAGGTCAAAGTACAGCCTTTAATATGGAGCCTTGACCCAAAATGACTAGTGTAAAACAATTCAAAAAGGAAAACCAACAGTCTAATCTATATAAAAAACGAGCAACGAGAAACACTTAAGAACCACATCAACAAACGACAAACACTGAAACAGGTTCCTGATTTAGGACAGGTGCAAACAAATGCAGCGGGTTTAAACGTTTTAAAAGGCACCAACCTTCACCCTAACCTGAAATAGTAGTGTAACATTACAACATAGAAAGACACACTATAAAATATCAATTGAAATGGCTTAACTCAATCAAAAAGACATATTAACAAAAACAAGTAAACATACACTGAACGAATAAATTTGATCTATGACACAATGTCAAAAAGACAACTATAACCTTGGACAAACTGGCGTTAAATAAATTAACGTACACAGGTAAATTTAAATATATAATTTTGTTGTTAGGAGTACGGAGATATTTTTTACAAAATAAATAAATTTGTTGTTCATAGTACGAGAACAGCAGTGAAAATTTATCATCATACTAAAGACTTATCAAAGGTGGTACATATTAAAAATAGTGAGACGAGATATAACACAAAATAAGTAAACATTGAATAACAAAAAAGTTTTCACATTATGTAAATATTCTTCAAGGGAGTACTCGAGTATCACTGGGTCACACCAATGAGTACTAAATTAGTAATATAATGTAATATTAGAACTAAATTGATGTGTCATCATGGGTTCCTAAAATCTTTATCATAATCACTCAAGCATGAAATATCAGTCAACATATGTGAATCAAATAAGTGATGGCATTTTTTCATACAAAGTTACATCCAGATAGAGTAGTGTGAAAATATGTGTCACAGCCACAATAAAGGAGATGAATAAAAACAGTTTTGCTGATGATTACCTTTCCAGCCTCGACTTCTCTACATGCCATCATAACAACCTTAACGTTTTGTTCTTCTATCATTCTCCAAAAGTCCTCTAAGGTATGAGGTAGTGGTCCTTGAGAGGCAATATAACCTTCCCTTTGATGGGCATCCTAAAAAAACAATACCAAAAGACAAATCAATTATTGTATGTTCTCACAAACATTTTTTATTACTGTTGATGAAGTTTTTTTATATTTTTGATCCAGTAATATTTGACAGTACACATCTTTGTCCATTCATAATTGTGTTCCTAATCAAAATGTTTAATATAATTTTTTTAAATTTAGAATAATGAGACATATTATAATGGAGACTGTTACTGATATTGTGCATGATTATTTTGACCTATTCTACTTCATCTACTGTAACTAAACACTGACTTTTACAATGAAAGGCTTTGTTTCTTTGATATGTTTATTTCCCTGTATATTATGAGAAGTTGTTGTTTCATGTATATCTATCTTCATGTAATTTTCTCATATACTGTGAATTCATTTTTTTTTGTGATTACAAACTTTTGTAAATTGAGGAAAAAATTGTATTCCTGTTCATACATGACTTTGTGGTTTTGACAAATTCAACAAAAAAACCTCTAGGAAACTTGTATTTTGTTGAAGATTTAAATTCTTTGTTTACCAATACCAACAAATGAATGAACATGACCACAGTGTAGACCATCAGAATCTCAGCAATCACAGAATATAAGAATTCGATAAACATCTGGTGACATTTCTGAAAGACCATCAAAGATTATCCTTCTTTACCGAAAAATAGAGCGGTCGAACATAATGCTGTGATGTATGATGAATATAGATCTTTATAAATACTATTTACCTGTATTATTGGAGCAAATGAAATGTTTTTTTTATGCAAGTGAAATATTGTTTATGGCACACATGAAAGATTTTTTTGGCCAAATTAAATGCCAGTTGGCTCAAAAGCAAAGCACTGATGCATAGATAATGCACCAAAAATACCTACTTCATAATCAAGTGAGTTTTCAGAGTTTCCAAATCTCAATTTTACAAGTCTTAATCTTATCTTTCTTTTATAATTAACAAGAAGCAGTGTCATCTCACGAGGGAATGAAATGGAAAAGAAGCAATATGGTACTATATAAATTCATGTATCAAAACACAGTGAGGCCTTCAACATGGCCCAGAAGTACCAGTTTGGTATGCCTATATAGTATGAGACAACATGGACCAGAAGTACCAGTTTGACAGGCCTATCTAGTACGTGTCAACATGGACCAGAAGCACCAGTTTGGAATGCCTATCTAGTACGAGTCAACATGGACCAGAAGTACCAGTTTGGTATGCCTATCTAGTATGTGTCAACATGGACCAGAAGTACCAGTTTGGTATGCCTATATGGTATGAGACAACATGGACCAAAAGCACCAGTTTGGCATGCCTATCTAGTATGTGTCAACATGGACCAGAAGTACCAGTTTGGTATGCCTATCTTGTATGATACAACATGGACAAGAAGCAGCAGTTTGGCAGGCCTATCTTATATGATACAACATGGACCAGAAGCACCAGTTTGGTATGTCTATCTAGTACAAGTTACCATGGACCAGAAACACCAATTTGGTCTGCCTATCTAGTACGAGTTACCATACTTATCATCATTTGGACAACCTCAGTAAATTATATTTCCTTTTTTCATATTACATATTCTATTTTCTGTAATTTGTAAGTATATATTTCAAGATTAATCACTTTATGCTTTTCCTTATCTAATGACGGAATGACCACAATAGTTAAAACCTACCAGTACATAATTAGCATTGATGTAGTCTGATCCTTGTACTCCAGGTATTTCTTTCAATGTAACTCTTGTATCATCAACTTAAATTAAGAAAATTCATACATTAAGGTATCTGTTAATTTACAAATGTAATTCTGGGGCACAACAAAAAACAAACAAAAAACCACTTGCACACATTTTCTGCATATTAATTCATAGACCTTTTTTGTGGTTCACTTGTATTGTGAAATTATATTCTCATTGATATATTTATATACCCAATTTATAATTTTTTATATCATTAATTCCTCAAGGTTTAATGTGTTGTGGCAGCTGTGCCTAACCTTGTTTGATATATATTCATAAAAAAATCACAAAACTATTCTTGACAGGTACCTAAATTACTTTATACAATGTAAATACATGTATTTGACTATATATATATTGCTAGCTAGGAGATTACACAGATCATACCCATCTTTTTTTAAAAGTGATTTTATAGTGAAATAATAGCTTGATGACATTAAAATAACAACCTTTACTCTTAAAGCTGTGGACAAGGGCCATACATCCATCAAAAATATGTCAACAAAACATGGTTCAAACTGTAGCTCATTATGCAACTTAAAACCAATTACCATGCCAATATAAACAGGCTTAACAACAAAATATGCCCAACAAATGAATGGGAACAAGAAGTCTTTTTGTTATCTGTATCTTTGGATTGTTTTTTTATTGATATTTACATGTGCCTTTTATTCAGAAGAACCAGAACAAATCACACTTATCATTATACAAATATGGCCATGGTCATAAAATTGGAACAAAACACCTTAACCTGTAACTCATCAATTTGCTACTTGAGTAAATTCATCTGATAGTACACAACAAAAGTCCAAACATGTACAATTTTTTTTAATTTTCTTTGTCCAAGGGCCATATTTCTGTTAAAGTAATTGAAAATTTAACAAGAAACTCATTATCAAGCAAGTACTGAACAGAAATGAGAACAATATGTGAGGTCAGTCAAAAAAAGTCCAGACAAATATAATTTCATGAAACTTGATAAGCAAGGGCTTTATCACAATAAAAAATGTAGGTCTTTATTCATTTATTGAAGATCTGTCATATAAACTTATGAAAACAATTTAAGTATGCACAATATATATTCCTGGAATAAATTTCATCAGCTATTCCTGGAATAGCTCCCATCAGGTATTTCTTCAATAATTATCATCCGGGAAACCAAATACAAAAATACAAAAAACATTTGGGGCTTGGAAGCATAGATAGACTTAAAAAGAACAGCCAGAACTTTTGAAGGTCAACTTTATCCAAGCGAGTTGCAGCCTTAGTTTAAGCACATTTACAATCAAAATGAAAATCATGCAAATATTAAGAGCTTTTCACTATATATGTATAAAAATTAGAGGAACATCTCATAATCTGCAGATAAGATGAGGAAAAGCTTGGACAACTGTATAATTTTTTCTACGATGGATATAGCCACATTAGTAACACTATTTGACATTGTACTGTGCAGTGTGATATAAAACAGATTATATGTTCCAGTATTTTTTGTGATATAGTATACCTGTAACACAGAATATGTTCTAGATTTAATTTTTTTAAAAGTCTATTATATCAACTTAGTGTGTTTGACACATATTCCTGGACCACTATGGTATTTTGCATAATATGACATATGAAATGTATGGAAAAAGGCAGAATTTAATTTTACTAATATAGAGGTTATAATTGCAAAACAAAAAAAAATGTAATAACAAACCAGCTTTTTCATTTTGCAATGTATGGAAAAAGGTAGAATTTGATTTAACTAATATAGAGGTTATAATTGCAAAATAAAAAAATGTAATAACAAACCAGCTTTTTCATTTTGCAATGTTTCCTGTGGTATACCACAAGTATAAGTACTTGGTATTTTACACTTAGTATAAACCATATTGGGAAAGAACTCACATCTTTGACAGGACTTAATGCAGATAATACTTAGTCACTAGTTTTTGTATTCAGACAACTTCATCTTGCAAATTCTAATATCTAACTTCTGATTCAAACAAATCAAGACTCAAACATTCATGTAATCTACTAAAGTTAACACAGTTGGTTGTCTTTCTTGTCAGTCTTAGGTTAAAAGTGATTCACCTTTCACAAACTCCCCTATTATTTCATATAAAAACACATTTTTTTAAAACATTGTCAAAAAGAATTTAGAGGTTTGATTTTGATGAAATTTTGAATGTAAAACTCACAAATGTGTACAGTCTTTTGTGGTTATTATGAAATATTTCTATGACGTCATTTCTGAGAAATCATTATTTGTATACAAATATTGAAATTAAGTGTCATTTTTTTCCTATATAGCCATATGATTTTTTCATTCAGAATTCATTTTAGTCTTTAAACAGTGATTTCACTAAAAATATACAGAGACATAAATATAATTCACAACTATTTAAGAAACTGTAGACATTTCTGTATTTAATGAAGAAAAAATCATTTAATTTGGACAAGAATTATCTTCAAACAAGGAATTATTTGAATCTTGAATTCTGGAAAATTGATAAGAAATGTATGATGAAAACTAACCCAACTAAATAGGATTAGCCATGCGTGCATGGCTAAAGTAGGTGAGTTAGTTCATACTGAAATATCAGTGAAAGCAACTTGAACCTTAGCCAGGCACGCATGGCTAACCCACTGAAGTTGGGTTATTTTTCATGATACATTTCTTATCAATTTTCCAGAATCAAAAATTATTCCAGATTAAAATAATTCCTTATTCTCAGTATATTTTTTTATTTAAATTGTGTTTTTAAATGAGATAATAGGGGAATTTCCGATAGGTGAAACACTTTTAACCAAAGACTGTAGTAATGAGGATAACCAATACTTACAAGGTACAATATCTTTATATCTGTTTTTCCTGATATTGTGTTGTATCCTTCCATGTGTAGCAGCCACTTGGTCTCTATTTTTAATGGCTAATTCTCTTAGATCCTGTAATTTATAATTTGTAATAAGTATAACAACATCTGATACACAAATTTAATAATACTTTTAGATATTTGGATGATATTTTGGCTCTCAATAATGACGACTTCAGTATGTATACTAAAGAAATTTATCCTGTTGAACTTACTTTAAATAAAGCTAATACCAACAATGACCACTGCCCTTTCCTCGATCTTGATATCTATATCATTAACGGAAAGCTTAATACTAAAATATATGATAAAAGAGATGATTTTTCATTTCCTATCGTTAATTATCCATTTTTAGATGGTGACGTTCCCTTGTCACCATCTTACGGTGTTTATATATCTCAACTTGTACGATTCGCTCGTGTATGTAACAATGTTTTAGATTTTAACGAGAGAAATTTATGTATTACTGAAAAATTATTACACCAGGGTTTTCGATATCACAAACTAGTCAAAACATTTACTAAATTTTATCATCGGTATAAGGACATCATTCGTAAATATAGCTCAACATGCAGACTTCTTATACGTTCAGGTATTTCACATCCAATTTTTTATGGAAATATTCTTTATAAAGCACAAAAATGTCAGTACACATGTATTCACCTCTGAAGCTAACAAAACCTTTAAATAGACTTATTAAGAAGGGATATAGTTACGATACTGTTGTCAGGTCATTAAAGATTGCATATTTTGGCGTTAATATTGATTCACTTATAGGGTCTTTGCATCGGCACTAAACACATTTATTTAAAAACCAGTTGTTGGCATGACACGGGTTATGTTCTTCTCATATATGTTATGATGGTATGATACTAAACCCCTAACGGGAAGGATTGTGCCTGATATTCATATGATGAAGACATAATCTTTCAATCAGTTTAATTGAAGTCTGGAGCTGGCATGTCAGTTAACTGCTAGTAGTCTGTTGTTATTTATGTATTATTGTCATTTTGTTTATTTTCTTTGGTTACATCTTCTGACATCAGACTCGGACTTCTCTTGAACTGAATTTTAATGTGCGTATTGTTATGCGTTTACTTTTCTACATTGGCTAGAGGTATAGGGGGAGGGTTGAGATCTCATAAACATGTTTAACCCCGCCGCATTTTTGCGCCTGTCCCAAGTCAGGAGCCTCTAGCCTTTGTCAGTCTTGTATTATTTTTAATTTTAGTTTCTTGTGTACAATTTGGAGTTTAGTATGGCGTTCATTATCACTGAACTAGTATATATATTTGTTTAGGGGCCAGCTGAAGGACGCCTCCGGGTGCGGGAATTTCTCGCTGCATTGAAGACCTGTTGGTGACCTTCTGCTGTTGTCTGTTCTATGGTCGGGTTGTTGTCTCTTTGACACATTCCCCATTTCCATTCTCAATTTTATAGCAAGAAAATCATTAGTTTGAGTGATTTATTTATAATAGAAATATGTCAGTTGCTCATTATATCTGAACCCAATTACACTATCTCAATTTGGTAACTCAAACAACAATTTGAAATCAAAATAATTGTTCCATATTTAAAATATACAACACAGGTCTTAAACTTCCCAAAGGAAATCCTAAACAAAGAAGGTAGAATGAGTTGAGATGGCGACAAATGAAACAGATGTTGACCTTTGACACAGACACACCATTACTGTAACTACATAAAGACCATGAGCAATAGATCATAGATGTTGACCTTTGACACAGACACACCATTACTTAACTACATAAAGACCATGAGCAATAGATCACAGATGTTGACCTTTGACACAGACACACCATTACTGTAACTACATAAAGACCATGAGCAATAGATCATAGATGTTGACCTATGACATAGACACACCATTACTGTAACTACATAAAGACCATGAGCAAAAGATCACAATTGTTTTTCCAACAAAGTGAACTATAAAGTAACTTGACAGAGCCTGTGCTCATTGTTACCTAGAAAAATATACAAATATGTTTGATATAACATCATTCAACATTAGTGTCTCAACAAAAATTTGAATATGAATAAAACTTTTGTTGATGTTGGGTAGCTTTGACTGATACAACAATCTAACCTAACAAATGATATCAATAGACAAAGAAATCTTTCAGAATTAAAATCCACCAATACTTGCAAAAAAACACCCTGTTACTAAAGAATTGGCTTATTTTTTCTCAATCTCGTCCTCTATTTTAAACGTTGCCTTTTTTAAAAACCATTAATAAATGGTATGTACATAAAATTTTAGCATGTGTATAAACTTTCTTTCACAACAAACATGGTTAGTCAATCTTACCCTAAGGGCTGAATGGGGTATAGAAATATGGTCATCCCTTGGTCTTCTGACAACTGGAAGTAAAACGCTTGCCAAAGTGGGGCATCCATTTGGCTATGAAAAAAGAAGATGTGGTATGATTGCCAATGAGACAACTCTCCACAAGAGACCAAATGACACAGAAATCAACAACTATAGGTCACCATACGGTCTTCAAAAATGAGGAAAGCCCATACCTCATAGTCAGCTATAAAAGGCCCCGAAATGACAACTGGAAAACAATTCAAACGAGAAAACTAACAGCCTAATTTATGTACAAAATAATGAACGAAAAACAAATATGTTACACAGCAAACGACAACCACTGAATTACAGGCATCTGACTTGGGACAGGCACATACAGAATGTGGCGAGGTTAAACTAGTTTGAAGGCACCAACCCTCCCCCTAATCTGGGACAGTGGTGTAACAGTACCACATAAGAACAAACTATAATCAAAGCATCTTCGATGTTGTGATCCAGCCATATTCATAGCTAGTCTGATAATCTTTCTGAACATACTTTTTTCAATATTTTTTTCTCTTCTTATTTCCAATCTTACTGTAAAATTTCTATGTTATTGTCCATAGGTAGGGAATTTCGCAATATTGATGCAAATATTGATATATATATTGATATTTCAATTTTAGACTCTGTCAGATTTTTTTTTTTTAAATATTTGCTATTTAATGGAATTGACAAGAATGGAAAGGGAAATCGTCAAACAAGTAATATATTCTTTTAAATGCCATTATTAATAATTGGCTTAATAATTTCCAGAAAGAGGCCTTGGAAATGCACTTTCTCAACAACGAAAATTAAAAAAAATAATAACTATTTTTTATCTAAATTGGTGTTCATTATTCATTAAGAAAAAATACATTTCCTGTATTCAAATTTAAATGTTCAAATACCTAATGCTGAGATATTTCCAATTACTGTTAAATAGCAATATAATGGGATATAGATGTAGAACAAACAAATAAATTTTATTGCAGAAAATGCTCAGGTAAGAGTTATGCAATCTTGTTTATTGTTTCAACCAAATTTCTGATAATTGTAACTAATTAATTAGAACTTGATTATTGACTTATGTCAGATAATAATGACACTGACTTTACAAGTGAAATAAAATTTGCTTGCATTTTATTTACATATTTTTTTCATTTTTTGTCTTTTCTTTGAAAAAAAAAACCCATCTGATTAATCATTCAGCTAGCTAACAAAATTAACAGAATATTTAAATGTAGTGTAGATCAAAATAAATAATACATTTGTAGGTATACTATTGAGATCAAGAATGTGTGTATTCAATTAGGTGTATTTAATTATGTAACAGGTCATGAGATATTAACTGTGGTGAATTAAGACTGGGGTTGTTTCCAATTAATACACCTTTGAGTGTATCTATTTGAAAATCATGACAGTTGATAATCATTCTGACTCTTACTTGACTATGGAAAGAATTTGAGTAATACCATTTCAAATAAAATGCTTCGCTGGGCGCAGCTTGATACGACCGCAGAGGTCGAACCCTGAACAGTTGGGGCAAGTATGGACACAACATTCAAGCTTGATACAGCTCTGAATTTGGATTGTGATTAAATATTTGACACAGCATAGGTTTCTGACACAGAAAGAATGTGGTCTAAGAACTTCAATTTTTTTATGGTCCAATGTCCAAAATCAAAATACATGGTTAGATTCAGCATATCAAAGAACCCCATATATTCAATTTTTGTTGAAATCAAACAAAGTTTAATTTTGGACCCCAACTTGGACCAACTTGAAAACTGGTCCCATAATCTAAAATCTAAACACATGTTTAGATTCAGCATATCAAAGTACCCCAAGAATTCAATTTTTGTTAAAATCAAACTAAGTTTAATTTTGGACCCTTTGGACCTTAATGTAGACCAATTTAAAAAATGGGACCCAAAATTAAAAATCTAAAAACACGGTTAGATTTGGCATATCAAAGAACCCCAATAATTCAATTTTTGATGAAATCAAACAAAGTTTTATTTTGGACCCTTTTGACCTCAATATGAACCAATTTGATAGCGGGCCCACAAAATAAAAAATCTAAATACATGGTAAGATTCAGCATATCAAAGAACCCCATATATTCAATTTTTGTTGAAATCAAACAAAGTTTAATTTTGGACCCCAATTTGGACCAACTTGAAAACTGGGCCAAAAATCTAAAATCTAAATACATGTTTAGATTCAGCATATCAAAGAACCCCATATATTCAATTTTTGTTGAAATCAAACAAAAGTTTAATTTTGGACCCCAACTTGGACCAACTTGAAAACTGGTCCCATAATCAAAAATCTAAACACATGTTTAGATTCAGCATATCAAAGAACCCCAAAAATTCAATTTTTGTTAAAATCAAACTAAGTTTAATTTTGGACCCTTTGGACCTTAATGTAGACCAATTTAAAAACGGGACCCATAATTAAAAATCTAAATACACGGTTAGATTTGGCATATCAAAGAACCCCAATAATTAAATTTTTGATGAAATCAAACAAAGTTTAATTTTGGACCCTTTTGACCTCAATATGAACCAATTTGATAGCGGGCCCACAAATAAAAAATCTAAATACATGGTAAGATTCAGCATATCAAAGAACCCCATATATTCAATTTTTGTTGAAATCAAACAAAGTTTCATTTTGGACCCCAATTTGGACCAACTTGAAAACTGGGCCAA